CTCTGTAAGAATCATCTCTCCTTGCTTTCGCAGATTTCGAAGCTCATTTTGGATCGCGTTGACGGTTTTCTCAAGGTTCTCGAGTCTATCGTGCCTTGCGCCTTCACGTTTTTCTTCTGAGATGTTGTTTGTCTTGGTCTGCTCTTGGTTTTCGATGAGTATGTTTGATCGTGTTGCATAATCCTCCTCGATGAAAATCGCTTCATCCAAGTCTTCTCGCAAGATCCTTTCTGCTTTTGTTCTTGACTTGCGTAGCTTCTCTTCGTTCTCACCAAGTCTCTGAACTATACCTGTTGAGCTTTCTGCTATCAAGACGAACGTGTCGGGACAATCTGCTTCTTTCGCCGCCAGCTGAAGATCTCTTTCAAGATCTTCTTTGGTCACGTGAATCGCGATTTTATTCGGAATTCCGTTCGCTTGTGTTGTGTTGATTTTGATAAGTTTCATTGTAAAGATTTGCGTTTGTCTAAAAGCATACAAATTTTAATTCGATAAGCTAAGTGTCTTTTATGCCCGAACAGACTAGACAGTTAAGGAGAAGTGAGAGGTGAACTCCAGTAAAAGAAATTCTGTCATTAGTGAAATAATTTTCGCAATGCGAGATTTAATTCTTCCCGTTGTAGGTGAAAGTTTCATCGAACTTCTTGACATTGTCCGCCTCAAGTTGAGCAAAAAAAGATTCAAAGTCGGTGTCTGCATCGAGGCACGGCAAAGGAGGTTCTAAATTGTTGGAATCGTTTTGATAAGGCTCTCCAATTTCGTTTGTTGGTCGTTTATCTGGTTGAATACTCTTGTTATTATTCCATGATTCGGCACTTTGATTTGGTAGAATAATGTTCATGTCATTATTTGTTGATCCTTGCTCTGAAAGAGTTCTCGCTCTTTTGGTTTGTCGATGAGTTTCTTGGTCAGTAGTTGCTGACTGTAGCTGATTGCTTGGTTCCAGCGTGTGTGTCCCTTCATGCATATTTCCGGAAGAATTTTCCTGGCTACCATCTGAATTCAAAATTTTGTCAACGTTATCAGGCAATTCGTCAGCTTTAATTTTCTCGCCAGTATTATTTGCCATGAAGAAAGAGTCACTGTCGCCGACAATTTTTCGCCGTTTAGCTGGTGGGCCGGTCGCATCAGTTGAGTCGAAAGCTTGTTGGCTTGGCTGAATTCCGCCGTTTCCAGTCTGATTCATCAGTTGTTGGTTCTCTGTCTGCAGGCTTGATTGTTGACTGTGATGTTTGGTAATAATCGGAAGGTGTCTTTCATCGACAGCTGAGACATTGTTGTTCAACGATCCGTAATACACCTCTTGAAATCGCAAATTGAGAACTAGAGGTTTATTTATCTCCATCACTTGTTGTGCCCTTTTCTCGTTTCTCACAGAATGTCCCGGATCTTGACTCGTCGACACCATGCCTGTTTCAGCCTGCCAATTTCTAGGATCCCTTCCCTCAGAAAATCCTTGAGAAGTTGTTGATCTTCCTTCATGGAAAGAATGTTCAATTTTCCTCACGAATTCTTCCATCTTTATTTTGGCAATTCTCATCTCGGAGTTGGTCTTGATCTTTAAGAAGTTTCTCCAAAATTCTTGCTGTCCATTGAACATTTTATCAAACGCAACGCGCACTTGTGTCCCGATTCCCGTTATATTTCCATGTTTTGATTTCCAAACGTCGCACACAAATGTTGCTTTGCAGATCCAGAGAATTAATTGCTCCTTTTGGTCTCTTTTTTTCCTTGACTGGCACATTAACCAATGATTGTAAAGAGCTTCTGATTGTCCGACGGAGAAGTTTTGCGTGGCTATGAATTCCGTCGCGTCTCTACGGATTTCTTCAATAATCGCAATCATGTCGAAAATTATTTGCCATTTCTCTGGTTTCTGTATATGTTCGGTTGGTGGATATATTGACAGGACTCGTGGAAGGACATAGCGGTAAACCATTTCTTTTTCGGTGCCATCTTCAAAATAGTAAAGGATTTGTTTTGATTTGATTGGCATTTGCTCGATATCAAAAAATTGAAAATTTTCAATTTTCGAAGACAAGTTAGTCTTACCTTTTTGAAAGAGGGTGATTTTGAGAGGGTGTGCACTTCCTGAATAATTTATTTCTTCTATCGTCTGATTGGATGCCTAAGTCAATAAAGGTGATGGGAGCCATTCAGAGCACGCGCTCGCCCTTTAATATTAATGCATTCAGCGCCTAAATTTTCGCTTTTGAAATTGGGCGTCATTCTGCATTTTGTCTCTCTTGTGATCAGTCGCACTATTTTTCGCGTATTTTCCAGCTCCTTGAAAGAGAAAATATTGAGAAAAAGATTATTAAGTGATTTTAATCGTTTTTGAAATAGAAATTTTCATGTTATAAATTCCATATTTATTATTGGTTAGATTCAAAAAAATAAGTTATCAATGCCCTCTTTATCAAAAATTATTCAAAATTGCCCTTTCTATTTTATCTTAAGGGTGTAGTCATCACTTTTTGCCAAGTCTCAAATATTAAATCTGGGTACATTTTTTCTTTAAATCCTCATGAAATTCTGAACAAAATATCCGAACTACAATTTTCTCTATTGCAACCTGAAAACCGCAGGAAAACAATTCTAGTTTGTTAAGCCTAGGTATACCCTTAAGATTATTTTTAAGAATACTTTTCAAAAAAACTTCATATTGTTGCCTAAAGGGTTTCCTATCGGTGGCTGCCCTTAAGGATGCAAGCTCCGCTTTCTGTGAAAATCCCTGGCTCTATACCCTTAATAACCCATTTATCCTTACCTTAACAAGTGTCATCTTTGATCGCAAGGGAGGTAGCAGCTGGTAAGCGTGTGGTTTCGGAATACTTCTTGTGTTTTTCTCTGAGGCTGGGTTTCTTTATACTTCTGACACCAATGTTGTAGTATGGCTTGCGTGAAATAAAGACACACTACAATTGTAGTAAAAAGCTAATAAGCGTTTCCGATTTATTCTGCGACGAGCGCTAGCACAGTCTCAGTACAGTAATCTCTAGGCATAAAGCCGTAGGTCTTGCTCAAAGTGACCCCTGAGAACGTTACTGATTTGATGGAGGGTGTTCTCCTTATATAGTGATCACTTTTCTACGGGGATATTCTCGGCCTATTGGAGAATATCAGAGCAGTGCCCAAGAATATTGGGAGAGCGTCCGCGGATATTCTCGGCCTTTCCGAGAATATCGGAGCGCCGCGCGAGAATATCGGCGGAGCAGCCGAAATTATTGGCGGTGTAGTGAACAATAGACATAAAAGGGAAAAGGGAAAGGTCGCCGCGCGTTGGGCGCGTACAGTGATCAGTAGCAGAAATGCTAAGCAGTAAAACAGTCATACGTTATAGTCATACTATAACAGTCCTACGCCCTTAATGCTGGACTTGTCTTTTTGAGGTTATACGTTATGTTTCTAGAGCAAGTTGTTTGATATACCACCGTTCAAACAAAATTTCATTTATTGAACATGGGTATTTATACCCGCATTCGGACAGAGAAATCACTGAACGTTGGTATAAATACCCACATGACCGCTTACAACCGTCAATTTAATTCTCGTCTAATTTACAATATAAATTAATATAAATTATATATCCTTAACTTGCTCTGGCCTTTTCAATGTACCGGTATAAATTTATCGTGCAAAGAAAAAACAAAAGAAGCGATCTAGTTTAGTGCTTTTTTATTTCAGTTTTTAGTAAATGTGCAGGATTATTTTTTCAATGTAATATTCCAACGGACAAACATTGACTTAGGGCTTACAGCGAAGAGCACTATTCCATTTCGATACGGTCGCAACTTCTTCGCCCGCTTGCAAATCCCCTCGCCTGCAAGAGCGTCCACGTCAGCTTCGAATTCAACCGGATTTCCATTGTAAGTGAGTCGCAAGATGACTGACGAACCAAAAAGCCAGAAAAAACGATATTGCATTCGCCATCCATTTTCCCGAATATCAAAGTAACCAAAGTTGGAAAACTAAGGTTTCGATAAATATTACTTTTGAGAAAAATTTCCATACCTTCAAATTGAATTTCGTGAAGCCAGCTTCCATTGCTCGAAGTACTCGTAGCAGTTCGGCTCGATGATGCACATTTCGGACTTCTCCGGTGTCGATACCGCGGTAATGACCGAGTCCATTAAGTGCGGCAAACTCACCAAATGAGCCGACGATTTCCGCTCTCTTGGCAATGTATTCGCCCACTTGTTTGAAGTTCACTTCGATCTCTCGCTTCCATGTCTTGCAGACCCATGAACACTAAAAATAATTGTAACAGCGGTTCGATTCAGTTTAAGACAAAAGACTAAAATCATATTTGCATTTGTTACCTTTACTAGTTCAGTCAATTCCAACTTGGCGAAGACTCGTTTCAGGATCTCTTGGTTTTCGCCGACTTCGTTCGCCAAATCTCTCGTTTTACTGCGAAGACGCATTTTTGGCTATTTCTTTCTCTAAAATTAAAAAAAAACAAGATCTGGGGAAAATAAAGTAGAGTGAAAACCACAATTTCACAGTAAATAAAAACCGAATTTCACAAAAAGAATGATGTCATTTTCTACGCGTCTTTTCAAATGGAGAAAATTTTGAAATTTGCTGATGCGAAAAAGTAAATTCTCGAAATACAAAAAGTGGAAATCTCGAAATGAAGAACAAATCGGTCTGATTCGTCAGTTGGGTTGCAAGGCTTCATTACTCATCAGTTTTGTCCAAACTTTTCTCGACAGATGTCGGATACTCTGATGGAAGTTGATAGTACTACTAAGTATGAATCATACTGTATGATAAGCTTTGTGGAGACAACAACGAGTACTGCAATTTTCGATCAAAAATTTGAATTTGAGTTATTACTAATTATTACTAATAAGCTTAAACTTTTAGTTTTTTCTCGTGATTTCACGCATATTTTCTTTTTAATTAACTCAAATTAACTATGGAGCTAATTAATTGAGGATCAATCAACGCCGGAGATCATTTATTTGAATATTTATTTCTAGTGTTTTACAGAATTATGCGGCAGAGGGTATTCGCAGTGTTCCATTTTGATATTGTTGAAGAAGAGGTGTGAGTGTATCGTTCGTCAGTGGGACTCCCAGATGCTTGCAAAAGCCGTGTTCCTTTCCATCTTTATACACTGTTATTCCTGAATCGGTTTCTCGTAAGTCCTTTTTTCCACTTTTTTTTTCACCTTTTATGTCCGTTATTTTCGCTTTTTGCCTCAAAATTCCAGCAAAGTAAAAGTCTTCAAGCCTAAATTCATGCCTGGCCGTGTTTTCCGCTGTTTCTATGATTTTCTCAGCAGCTCCTCGTGTCAGTAAGCTGCATTGACCGTTGCAGTAAGCGGGAGGAATGTGCGAAGGCGGCCAAATGTCTGGAAAGACAAAGTACTTGCCCGAGTAAGGAGCAGAAGAAGCTTCAATCTTGCTCCCCTTCAAGCATCGAAATTGCGCTTCGTTCGGCGAAAGGCTCTGTTTCGCGTACTTGATGATGTTCGGCAAGTCGAGGAATGTATCATCGTCGGTAAAAGAAACGATATCGTATTTCTTGCTGCAGTAGTCTTTGAGAAACTGGTAGCCGGAAAGAGTCTTGATCGGCAAGTTGTCGTATGTGTCTGCGAAGTCGGCCAGGATAATGTCTCCGTGTTCTTTTGCCTCGTGCTAAATTTGAGATGCTTTTTGATCATTGGAAATTTAAGACTGACCTCTATTTGGGATGATATCTTCGGAGCATCGTCCCTGACCACCCAAAAGGCTTTCCACCTTCAAAGACTTCCACTTCTTCAATCTCGTATCCGATCAGAAAGTAAAGGTAATACTGGTTTTCCGGGAGCAGACTTTTGAACATTTCACGAACCCAATGTCGATTGAGAGAAGCTGGGTTGGAAGTTTTTATCAAAGCCAAGAGCGGTATTTTTTCAGAGCAAGCATTCGGCGGGGTTATCAGGAAATCGAGCGGCTTTTGGGGCGAGTTTTTGATGAAGTGTTCGGGCAGCTCGACAATGGACGCGAATGTCGGTTCTTGCTTTTTTGTTAAAAGAAAGGTTTTTGAAGAATTGTGTACCTTTGACGAGTGGTTTCATACGAATGAAATTATCTTTGAGATGCTCGTGCTCAACAAAGTGCTCGGGAAGAACGGAATTGTCGGATTTCTCGGCGTCTTCCAATTCCTCGAACGAGACCATCTTCAAACTGTAGCCGTCAAAGTTACTTATGCTGGCGTAATTAGCCAAATTAAAGATCCAGAAAGCGAGAGGATCGAAAAGCCCGTTCGATTCAAACCACCAGCCAGTCATTGCCAGTTTTCTGTCGAGAATGTGCGCCAAGGGGGCTATCATCAGTCCCAAAGACTCCAATCTGATCAAAAAAGACGTGGAAATGATGAATCCTCCCTCGCAAATTTCCACAGGAGAATTCATTAAAGAACGTAAACGATCGTTTTTGATGTACCAACCGGGGATTCCGTTTTCTAAAAATGAAGGTCAATTATCTTTGGAAAATCTGACGTTTATACCTAACATGTCTACGATAGTTTTATTCACTCTGGCGTAATCGATAATAGTTTTTTTCGTTTCACAAATCATGTAGTTCTCGTTTTCGTCAAGTTTCTCCAGCAATCGGAGCCGTTTGGAAGAGTACAGCTCGTTGGTCGGGCCTAGCATCAACACCGACCACCTGGGAAGCTCTTTTTTATTCGCTCGATACTTGTTGATCGTCATTTTCGTCAAAAACACGAAACTACTGCGCACTTCTTTTTCTTGCGCCAGAATCGCCGAGAAATACGGATCAAAGTGATAATCAGGATTTTCAACTCGCAGCCGCCGAATATCCATTTTCGCTTCCAACATGAGCTTGAATTTCGCCTTGAAAATCGCCAGCAATCCCGCATCTTTGAGAAGTTGTTTTGGAATTGGCTCCCCGTTGATTTCCTTTGGGTAGTTGTCGATGAACCAGAGGTCTTCAGGTTCCGTCAGGCTTTGAAAATAGAGAAACTTTGTTTTCGCTTCAATGTCTTTTACGTCGTCGTAGGTCAACCCATCGTTGCTCAAAAGACGCTCATGATGCTCTTCGCATTCGTTCTCTGATTTCAACCCTTTCCATTTTCCGACGATGAAAATAACAAAAAGCAGCTCAAAAAAAGTTCTCCACGAGCAAATCGCTCGCAGAGAAAAAGTTCTTTTATAAATCATCACTGCTAAGGCCTCATTTTGACCATTTTTAGCTAAAAATAGTAGTAGAAGGTATTCTTCTAGAGCCGCGCGAGAGTGCCCCGGGCAAGACTCCTCGTTCTTTCCCGCAGATTTTTGGCGTCATGCTTACTTATGCCCCGCTTACTGGATTTGCCAGTACCGACGAGTGTGCCAATTAGAATAAAGGGAAAAAGTAAACTTGGATGATTTTACTTGAATTTTGATCAAACGTTTTTCGGAGTTTCTAGAGTAATTAATTGAAAGAAAGAGCTTAGACAATATGAAATATTTGATTTATTAAATATATATTATTTGAAAATAAATGATCTGTCAATAGAGTCACTCATGCTCATTCTTCTTCTTCTGGTACTTGTTTTGACAGTCCAAGAGGAGGATATGCTTTCACACGGTCGATAATTCTCCTAAAGATCGTCTTTTTGGCTTCTTCTTCTAAAATAAATATCTATTTTTATTTTTCTAGAACAGATTTGTTTTTAAACAAAATGAAGTATACAGTCAGGACTTGCAATTTCTTTGATTTTTTTCGAAAAATCAGCAAAAAAGATATTGCGAATTGCAAGTCCGCAATGCAAGTCAACAATGCGCTATAGAGTGCGATTTATGTTTCGTCTTTTAGCCGCCCTGACTGTTATTTTTAAAGTACAAAGACAAATTGATTTTACCTTGTTGATTTGTCTTCATCATCACGTTGGTCAGAATCTCGTCCAAAATTGTCGCGCATAGCATCGCTTTTCTTTCTTCTTCGTTTTTGTATTCGTGGTACAAAGTTAAAGACTCCATTGTCATCGTTGAACTGAAACTTCGAGGACTAATTTCAGGTGATTTCAGTTTTTTTTCTTCTTTTTCTCGGCGTGCCGAGAAGATTCGGGGAAATAATCTTCTCCGAGGGGTACGAGCACTAGGATTAAATTAAAGAGTATTATTAACCGCTTTTCATACCTAGGGTAGACAGATTCTTGTGCGACCGAGTTTTCTTCTGGATAATCATCTTTTTCACCACCAGCACAAATGAACCTCTGGATAATTTTCTTTGGCATGATGGTATCGCTTACTTTAATGTACATAATTTTAAATACGAATACGTCCAACACTTATTAAATACAAGTTACCTTGAGGATGATGAGGACCGAACTAAATTCAGTTTTCAAAATAACCTCATCTTAGCCCATGTTCTAGAAACATCAGAACAAAATATTCAAAAACAAAACTCATCAATCTCAGAAAATAGGCAATACTGTAGTTCAGTAGGTGTACCGAATATTTCGAAAACAACAACGAGAAAATGCATAGCTTGGATAGTTTTATTAGTTTTTTTTAAGTGATCGATTGGGTTCGTGGCTTTCATCCAGAATTATTAATTGAAAGAGAGTGGCAATTTAATCGAATTAGGGATGAAATGAAAGGCGCTTGCAAGGCGAGTCATTACTGTATCGTTTATTATCCGTTGCTGTATTACAAGTCATCGCAAAAGTCATTTTCTTGAAGCTTACAAAGCTTTACTTCGTTTCGCTCTTCTGAGATTATTTCAGTAGTCGACTCGCTAAATTGATCAAGAAATCAATTAATTAATTTTTAATCCCCGACTTTCCTTTCCACTTCTTTAACAAGAATTTGCTTGACTTTGCCGGTGGACTTTCGCGACGCCCGTCTGTGTTTTCTGATTTCATCTTCTTCCAAGTATTCCAGCTCGTTGCTGATGCTTCAGGAAGATAATTTCAAGGACCACGAGTGGCGTTTCTAAAGATTGTCGACTAGACATTTGCGATAGCAGGGCATTTATTGTCTTATCGTCAGTCTGAGGTCGGCAAATTTTGTAGAAAAACTGAGTCAGGGTTTGAAAGAGCTATTTTACAATTTTTTTGATAAAACTCTTTAAAACCCTGACTCAGGCTTTCTTCACAGGCTGACAATCTTGATAATCTACTTATCGAAATTTCTAGTTGAAGCCTTGATTTTATCCTCCGCTCCTGTAACAACCAGCTAATAATGAAGAGACGCTGTTTTGTGACAAGAGTGAGTCCCGTTTTGATTTGACATTTCTGAAGCTGTCAGAAGGCGGCAGCGACGAGAACTGCAACGAATTAGTAGTATCCGAACGAGCTAGCGGTGCATTGCTCGCAGATACGATTTCTTAAAGAACCCGTCAATTGACGTGGAGAAAAGGGTTTATTTTGACCTTCTGTCGTTTGGGAAATTATGCTCGAGCGTTTGGAAATATAGCTTGTTGCTGGCACTTGACGGGGAATAGCTTCGTGAAAGGACGTCTCAAATGAGGGCGTCGGGGATATGTCTTTTCTTCTTTTCATCTCGGGAGTTGGCGACAACTGCAGAACTTCCTTGCAAGAAGAAATGCTTTCGGAGGAGGACGAACTTGGTGTATTTGCTTTTTCCTTGTTGATTTCTTCTTCTGTTCTTTGGACATTGTCGGGGCTAATTATAATGCTCGTCAGCAAATATCGTCAAACTTATGAGACTTAATTTAGGGTCTTCAAAAATAAACGTGTAAAGATTAGGGTTTTTTTTCTCTTCAAGATTTAAAATAAGGGCTTCTCTATGTTATTTTTTAGAAAAACTCTACGCATATTTTTTATTCAATAAGGGTGTCAACACGAAAACCTATGAAAACCCGGATATGACGGCGCGCGCCCCCTAAACTAAAATATTAGCCCCGCACACTGATTTGTGTTGATTGTTCTGTAACGAGCGTCTTCTGTCGTACTCAAAAACAACGACATTTTTCTCGATCGGGGGTCTCTTCTTCATCTCGTAGTTGATGAGTGACATGTCCATTATGTCCTTATTGTCTGTCTGCGTGTCAGGACTGGAGAAATTCGCGAATGCGTTGCTCTAAAATGAAACTCTCCCCGTCCCAATAAATTTTTTAAAGGGCCACTCACTTTGATTGTGGGAAGCGCTTTCTCTTTCGGGTCCTTCGAGGATTCAACAAGGTGAATTCAATTCATAAGTAAATTCCGAGCAGAGTGATTGTTGAATCCCGCGCCAGAGAAAAACATGAACAGATCATACTTCAGTAGCAGCTTGTAGTGACGAAATTATTGACGATACGAGCGAGTAGCGCCTTGAGAGAGTTAGTTTTTTTTCTCGGCCACCGCGAATTAGCTTTTAATAATTCAAAAGACGATCGCTAAATCAATGAAATTAAACCTTAAACCTGCATATCAATAAAATGACACCCATCCAGCTCGAAAATAACATCAAAAACACCAAGCAACTTCATTTTCTGGGACAATTTCGAAAAGATTCCATTCAGGAAGAGATTTTATTTCTTGAGAAGAGGGATCAGTTTTGTCATCTTTCTGAGTTTGTCGTGAATTTGCTGTTTCTTCTGATTAGTGAAATTCTCCGTCGCAGAAAGAGTTCGGATTCCGAAATTTCGGACTCGAGTTCTTGCAGCTTTGATTTTCCTCTTTACCAGCCAAGGAAGATCTTGGATCTTGGAAAGTTGCATTTTCTTGCTTTTCGAAAATTTTTCGAATTTGAGATATTTTAGAATAATTGGAAATTGAGATTTTCGAGCTTATATTGCTGATCCTTTTCTTCGAGAAAAATCAGATTTTAGCGAGATAGACTGTGAACAAGGAGCTCAAGAATAGTACCGGTTTTGATAACTCCCAAGAAAATCCGAATTTTACTGACTTTTCAATTGCTATCGAAAGAAAATTGACCAAAATGCCAAAAACTTCTTGGGCATTAAAAGCTGGCTTTCCTGCCAAAGACCCTCAGTATGCATGACTCATACGTTGAGTCACGAGAAAAAATTACTATCTTTGAGATTTCGCCCAGCTGAGCTCCAACTTTTAATTGCATACGAAGCTCTGAAATGAGCCCTCCATGGCGATCATTTTTTTTGAAAAACAAGAGAATCAGAAGACCTCCAATAGACGAAGACAATCCGCGGTATCGAATCGAGCAAGAAATGCTGCGAAAAGTTGACATCATTTCGATGATGGAAACGTCGCAAAGGGATCTTGGAAAAGTGAGCGAGGGCAGATATAACTTCGGAATTCAAATACCGGGAATGGATGATTCTCAACCCCAAATCGGGTCTTTTCTGGAACAATTGGTCGACTACCCACTTTTGGACTTGGACGGCTACGAAGCAATTCTTTTGACAAAACGAACAAAATTGAAGAAATTAGTGGAATTGTTTGCGAAAATATGCGACGATCCTGGAGACGACGCCTTAATGTTTAACAGAGACAGTTATCTTCTCCTTCCAAAAAAGCCATACGAGAACTGCACCTTGTTGATTTCAAAAAATAAAAATGGTAAAATTTTTCTGCCGCCTCTTTTTTAGAAATTCCCCAAATTTAGTGCCAGCAATTAAATTCGATGCTGTTAATGATCTCGAGGCAGCCCAAGACCCAAGATTTCTTTTCCCAGTTTTATATTATCGTAATAAAGAATACAAAATCCCGGAATGGGTCGAAGACGAAGATCGAAAAGCAAAAACAAAGTTAGAACTCGCAATTCAAAAATCAAAGAAAACACAGAAGAAGCAGCCCGCGAAAAAAGTCGACCAGAAAAACAAGAAACAAGAAAAACCGATTATTGAAAAGAGTCAGTTACAAAAGAAGAATCGAGAGAAGGATTCTTCATATTCCGATGCTCCTGCTTCTCAGGTACTCTTTTCAATTTATTCATCTCCGTAAATACTTGGTATTTTAGCTTGAGCTCGATTATTCTGATGATGATGCTGAGTGGGTCACAGTGGAAAAGAAAAAGACAAAAAAGAAAAAAGAAGAAACGCCGATTAAACAGAAGAAAGTAAGTGGTGCCGTTTCACAAGAGGAAGTATTGAAAAATGAAATGGAGAAGGACTTCAGAAGGCTAGAAATGGAGGTAAAAGACATTAGGAAGGAAAATCTTTCTTCTACCAATTCGATTGCTCCAAAGGTAAGTTATTTTCATATTGACTAGCTCTACTTGCAAATATATTCAGCTTGAACTCGATAATTTTGAAGAAGCAGTCTGCCAGAACCAATCAATAGAAGATGACCAAGATCTTCTGAAAAGAGAAACAGAGGTCATTGAGCCAGATGAAGCTTTCCAGTATGGGAATTCAGCCTGGGAAGCAGAAGTTTTGCCATTTTTTACAAATCCTCGCCGAGAAGTTAACAATAGCGACAATGAAACGGTAACCCTAACCCCAACCCAGCCACAGTCACTAAACATATAAGATTCATTCGGGAAGTACTTCTTTTTGTTCAACGAGATGGGCTCAGTCTTCTTTGGCCATTAGTGAAAGCATAAGGTAGCAACGATGTTGAATCTTAAAATTCAAAATGTATTCTTCAGTAAAACCGGACGAACTAGGGCAATTCCGAAAGTTTACCTTCCTCCATTTCATAAGAGACCATTCAAATACTTGCAAGGAGGATCCGGGCGTTACAATCCGATCACTGGCGAAGTCGAATACCCTAATCGCCATCCGCAACATTGAGAACCTAACTTGATTAGTGCCAATTTTATCAATAAACTGCCTTTAATTACCAGTAGTTTCCAATCGGAATAAACATTTTAAGAAATAAACTTCGATGTTGTTTTTTGTTTGCAACGAAATACAATTGAGTCCTCAAAGTATCAATAAAGTCAAAAACAAAAGCAGCGAAAAATTCGTTAATTTGCATTTTTGATTCGGAGTCAATTAAAATGTGCATTTTCTGATCGATGATCCTTTATTCTTCCTTTCAAAAAAACTTTAAGTCGTTTTTTTATTCTCCTTCAAACATGCTTTTAAACCCGTCAAAAACGCTGCCCGTGCTCAGTCAGAATGATCGAGTTCGAGGAAGAAACAGTTTTTAACAAAATAATTTAACAAAAAATTTCTCTAAAAATGATGAAAAAATTGAAAACTAGCGCTAAGAAACCGAGAGAACTTTGCGATCGACGTTCTGCCCCTGTTTTCCGAACACTTCTCAGTTTATGAACAGGTAGCCAAAAATAAGGCCGTGAATGATTGAGCTGTTCTTTGAAGAGAAGCTGTTCGATCCGCTTTGCGAGAATTTATCAAGACAGAAACGGAACTGCCGACGATAAATCATATAATGAGAGCTTCCAGACAAAAACAATCTCCAATCGGTTATTCGGGCTTGAAATTGATAGAATGAGGAAAAATACAAAGCTTGTTTCTTATTCTACTAGCACTTGGGATCGCCTGAACTGAGGCTGTCTCCAGACCTAGGGTCGGCACCGACCACCGACCAAAACCCGACCTGGTCGGGTTCGGTCGGGTTGATTAGAGTTCCGACCAACCCAGCCTAAGATTTTTCTTCTTAATTTGGTCGCTGGTCGGATTTGGTCGGACGATGGTCGGTTTTAGGTCAGTTTTGGTCGGTCGGTGAGTGTTTTTTGGTCTGATTGGTCGGTTTTTGGTCGGAAACCTACGTTCAACTGCCTCAATAAAATGCCTCGAGCGCTCCCAAATTGAAAAAAAAATGATTTTTTATTGTCTTAAAGACAACCCGACCCGACCAAAAACCGACCACCGACCGACCAAAAAGTAAGGCGACCCGACGCACCAAAGCGACCACGGATTTCGCCCAATTTCTGGGAGACCGACCAACCCGACCTGGGAAAATAGTGGTTGGTGCCGACCCTAGCTCCAGCCACAACAGAGCCTGTCTAGTAGACAAGAAGAGGTTTAGTGAAAATAGCTCTCCGTTCGAGAGCGGCAAAAATTCGATAATCATTTCGAAGGCTGTGTTACCACTGCCGCTGCAGGCAGAACATCTGCCCAGACTTGATGACTACCTGCAGCAACGTCTACATTTGCAGCTCATGCATTGGCTAGAGCAACACCTTGCTCCTGACCTCCCGAGCCATTAATTGAGACCCAACTCGAAGAGCAGATTTTGCTCTTATGGTCTTTTTCCTCAAAATTTTTTTCATCGATTTTCTTGGTCAAAACTCGGTTTCTTGGGTAATCGGACATGCTGAATCCGACTGTGACAATTAAAAACCGATATTTCGATTAATTTGAGCCTAATTCTTAAATTTTATTAAAAAATGTTTTTTGTCTGGAAAGCTCTTCCACAATTCTTCTTGGAACGGAATTCGCTGGCAAATCTACTGTAATGAAAATAATCAAGAGCAATTTTGACTCCGACTGGCCGGACAAAAACGAAGCCAGAAGAGGCACAAATGAAATTCGAAAATATCTTTTGGACTCATAGGAACAAGCTGCCAAGCGAGTAATGATCATTTATAGCGACAGTAAAAAGCTTGCGAAAGAAAATATAGCAAAGAAAAACCTCGAAGTGAACCGAATCAATTCCAGCGACTCGTTTTCAGCCCAGTTTGTCATCAGCGCCGCCAAGAACTTGACCCAGCCGAGAAATCGAGACAACATCGAAACCGTCTTGGAGAAGAGTTTACCCTTCATGACTTCCCAATCGCTGTGGTTCACCATTCAAGAAATGGACGAAGAGCACAAATACTTTGAAAAGTTTTTCTAGCGCAGTATCAACGGATCATTTCCGACAGTTTTTATCCGACGACTGAAGAAACGGGCTACTTCAACATTGAAATTGAATGTTCTTGTTATTTTCTTTTAGCCCTAGAAAGATTTGCTGAAGATCTATTCCCCAACAGTCGGTGGAGAGACCTTCAAAATCAATCTTGAAGATACTGCTGCTACTTTGATTACAGATGTTGGAGGCAGAGTCCAAAAGATATTTTATCTCATTCCTGAAATTTTTCTAAGAAGAAAAATATGGGAATTTTTCCCATCGTAAATTTCCATGAATTGAGAGATATGGTCACTTTTTCTTAGTTCCCATAATGGGACCTATTTTTTATTTTCATGGGAAAAATTGAAAAGGAATCGATTTCGGACTCGGTTAAGGGACCTTGGCGAGCTGGCTGAAGCGCGACTTCAGGAGCGCTTCATTGATTTTTGACATGAGCTATTTTCAAAATTCTTTTTGCAAACAAAATCTACAGACACTCCTCTTTCTATTCTTGCTTTTAGTTTTTCTATCATTTGTAATTCAGGCGCTATGGTCGAAAAGAGAAGTTCATCTTCAAAAGGATTCAGCACTTTCATTTTTCAAGATATAAAATTATAATGACATTCACCGGAAAGCCCAAATTCTGTACAAAAGTTACCTAATGGGGTTATGATAACAATAACCTGCCGAGTGCAAGGTGAGTTTTTCCGGAGTGGATCGGTTCCACAGCGGGCGTTCGCGCTCCGCGAGGCATTATTTTGGCTTGTTTGCGCTTGATTTCCGCGAAGCGCGCGCTAATTACTATGGATTACAGATTCTTACCACTACATCAATGATTTTCATAAAACCCCATTAGGTAACTTTTGTACAGAATTTTCTGGGCTTTCCGGTGAATGTAATTATAATTTCATATCTTGAAAAATGAAAGTGCTGAATCTTTTGAAGATGAACTTCTCTTTTCGACCATAGCGCCTGAATTACAAATGATAGACAAAAACTAAAAACAAGAATAGAAAGAGGAGTGTCTGTAGATTATGTTTGCAGAGAGAATTTTCAAAATATCGGAAGTCAAAAATGAATGAGGCGCTCATGAAGTCGCGCCTCAGCTAGCTCGCCAAGGTCCCTTAAATGGGAGCTTATGCGAGCGAGCACGCTGGCTGCAGTATTTGAAAAACACGGGTCAGATCATGTTTGTCATCGCAGGTAATTTTGTTGAAAGCGGCTTTGACAAAACTTGTGGCTTCAAGTTGATGAGTTTGACGAAAAACGCCGCGACGGGTTGAATAAGCTCTTTTACGCTGCGTCGTTGTTTTACCAGACGATTCGGATCTTTGGCTTGCCCAAATTTGGCGGCAGGATTCGCAGGTCTTTCAGGTACTGTTCCCCATTAACCACCTGTCAATTGATGAATCAGGCCAATCGTGGTGCTGAACAAGTGCGACTTGCTGCAGAAAAAGCTGAACGCAGGAGTGAACTTCTCCGAGCACCACCCCGAGTTCGAGAACAAAGGACGGCCAACGCTCGCAGAAGTGCTGGATTGGGTGAAGGAGCGGTTTACCGACGCGATGGAAAGACACGTCGACGAAATGATTGAGTCTGGCGACATTCTTGCGGCGCCAGATACGCGAGTTACTTTTTCGAGCTCTCGGCGCATGACCAATTGAGCAGACTGGACTTCATCGACAACTTCATCAAAAACATGAAATGGGAAAACAACATGGAAACTATTGATGCTCTAGGAAACGGATTTTAAGCGAATGTTTCTTCTTTTTGAAGAATGAGAATTGAGAAACAGCGAGCTTGAAATCTATTCTCAGACGTTTACGACAGCGAAAATAGCTCAAAAGCAGTGGAGGAAGCGCTCAAACTGATTGAAAGCGGTAAAAGAAAAGAAATCTGATAACTGTAAATTTTGCTTTTAGAGCTCGAGGAAGATTTTCGAAAAAGCCTGCAGTAGTTATTTTTGTTTCCTGAATGAATAAAAACTCCGTCGTTTTTTGTTTGTCGAATTATTGACAATGACGTTATATTTATCAGTTTTAAAGTTTTTACAGGAAGGCAAATATACAGGTGAAAAATGGTTATGTTCAAAAATGATTCGATGAATTTACAAAAAATTATTATGTGCAAAGAAAGAAAGAGCAAGAAATGGTTTTAAAAAATAATGATAAAAAGAGGCATTTTTAAATTTCATAATCGTCATGACGGACGGGTTGTTTTTCGAACAGCTTTGCCAGTTCTGCGAGTTTGTATACGCCGGTATGGAACCGGTAGTGGACGCATTGTTCTGCCAGCTTCTCTTTTGAACACGCGGATCTGATTCTCCGGGGAGAAAGAAACGCGCTTTTTCGATTTCAGCTTCGATCCTCTTGATTTCGGCGATGGAGGGATGAAATCTAACGGGATATTTTATTTGATATAGAAATGGATATGAATTACCTTGCGGCTCAAGCTTGATGAATTTGTTTGTCGAATTGTCGTTATTATTGATTTCAATCTTTATTTTCTTCGTCGACTGCTTTTCAACTGAATCGCGGCGCGATTCTCCTTTCGATTTCAGTTCTTCTTTGCATTTTGCGAGCTCCAGCCTGATCTTTTCCAGCTCGCTTTCGTAGTTGGAAATGTCCTTTTCGTACTGAGCCACAAGAAGAGCTTGTTTTTTCTCATCTTCTTTTCGCTTATTTTCCGATCTTTCTTGCTGTGTCCGCAAGAATCCATCGTTATCCGAAACATACTTTTCTAGCAGTTTATTGTGCCTTTCGTACCTGGGCTCGGAAACCTGTGTAGAATACCTGACTCAGGGTTGAAAGCCGCGCTATTTCCTTTCCAATCTTTTCGGAAAGGCCCCGTTGCTTTTCATTAAAGATTTTTTAACCCCTAATTCAGGCATTCTACACAGGTTTTCAAGCCCAGTTTCGTACTCAGCAAGCTCCTCCTCCATTATTAAGATCACGTCTTTTGTGTTGCGAAGAGTGCACAGTTTTGTCTGAAATAATTTCCATAAAACGAGCTCATAGTTGATTTCTTACATGACGCTTCTTTCCAGGACAACGCTTCCTTTTAACGAGATGTTTTCGACTCATTTCGTTAAGTTCTTCCATCGCCTCGTTCATAGTCTTCGCCCGTAATCTCGCTTTGGCATTGCGGGTAGAAATCCGACTTTGAGAATCAACTTCCATTTCTCTATCTTTTTTCACGCTCTTTTCTCGCTCAAATTTTCGAAATCAGAGAACTCAACGGCGAGAAAAAGTGCGCCGGCGCCATCGAACCATCTGTTGATCAAAAAGACTGATCGTGGTGCTGAACGAGCGCGGCGAATTAAAAAAAAACGAATGCGGAAATATAAAATAATATTTTAAATAAATTTATTCTGCGCTAATTTAAAAAGCCTGTACTTATGGTTTTAAATCTTGAATAACCATAAACTCCATGTGTTTTGATGTTTGTCGAATCATCGACGATTGTATATTTTCCATGATTTTACAGTTTTGAAGATAAGTATACAGGTGAATAATGGCTGCCGGCGGATTTGCCTGCGCGGGGGTTTGACCTGGCGGCGGATTTGCCTGAACGGGGGTTTGACCTGCCAGGTAAATCCGACGCTCTGGTCAAACCCCCATTCAGGCAAAAGCGCCGTTTTTTGGATGGAAAAATGTGACTTTCTAAATTGAAAATTATTCATTTATTATTAAGGATATAGCCGTTCTCAAGGCACTTTCGTAGCGCCAAAAGGGGACGATAAAATTTTTTCATTTCAAAAGGAACCCTACCTAAAATTGCCTAAGAAACCCGATTCTAGTGTTTTTTTTAATTTTTTAATGGAAAAATTTCTCTCTAGAGCAATTTTAAATCTTACGATCACTTTTTCTCGAGAATTTTCCATTAAATCGGTCGAGTTTTTTTGATAAATTAAAAATTTGGACCTTTCTCTACATTTCTAGGGCTTAAAGTTTAATAGATTCAAATTATTTATGGTTCTAGAGCCATTTTTATGAGGCTTACTTGAGTAAGCCGAAGCGTCAGACAGCGCTCTGGTTTGCTGCGCTGGGCGCCCTCCTCCATCGCGCGGTGAGGCGCGCATGTGAAAGAGCGCGCTGATTGGCCCAGCGCCCTGAACGCAGCATTTATGAAAAAGAAAAGCCAAAAAGAAGAAGACGCTAGAATGGAAATTTGCTCGGGTTTTGAAATTTTGAGGCCCTAGGTTGATAGATTAGCAGTTATTTATAATAAAACACGGTTTAGTTTTAGCGATTTAATTGAAAAAATTCGAGAAAAAGTGATCGTAAGATTTCAAATCGCTCCAGAGAGAAATTTTCTTTGAAAAAAATTAAAAAAAAAATCAGAATCGAATTCCAGACATAATTTTAGGTAGGACCTGTCTTGAAATGAAAAAAATTTATCGCTCCATTTCGGCGCTACGAAAGTGCCTTGAGAACGGCTATATCCTTAATCAAAATTTACTTTAATCTTATCATGCGAGAATGTTTAACCTTTTTGCCACTGTGTATCAGTTGTACGCCGTCACTAGGAGAATTTTCTCCTAGCTCGTATTTTTGCGAACTAGAACAATTTTCTTCTAGTAGTAGTTCAAGAATTTGCAAGCAAGGAGAAATTTTTAAACTCTAGAAAATTCCACTTCCGGTTGACGACGGAAGTTGACGAAATCAAGGTTGGAGGGTGAAGTGTGAGATATCAAATTGATGCACAGACGATTTCCTTTCATTTGAGAAAAGAATCAACTTTACCGGGGATCAAACCAAACGGATAAAACAGAAAAAATATCAATTTATGCCTTTTTTACATAATTTTACCGGTCGGTTTGACCACGTTTGGGACTGTTTCTTCTGACATATTGATTATAGGATGGCTCAAAATTTTCTGGGCATCAATTTGATAGGTCACACTTTACCATAACTCCTAACTTTCTTCAACATCCGGCTATAGAATCGACCGGAAGTGGAGTTTTCTAGAATTTTATACCTTCAAAGTTCGTAAAAGTTTCTAAAAAGGTATCGCGTATGGGGGTCTATAAGGCGGAATTGAGCTGGACAACTCCATTAACCTTAAAAAAGCACGTCTTAGGGTTACTGAAGCCTAGCCTATCCCCCCTTGTGTGAGTTTGTTCCGTCCTTTTCCGTAAATGAAACTTTGACCAAACGGGGATTTGACCTAGCGTCAGATTAGCCTGACGGGGGTTTGACCTGAGCGTCGGATTTACCTGGCAGGTCAAACCCCCGTTCAGGCAAATCCGACGCCAGGTCAAACCCCCGCTCAGGCAAAACCCCCGGCAGCCGTGAATAATAGTTATGTTCAAATAATGATTTGATGAATCTACAATGAAACCTTATAAACATATAAAGAAAGAACGATAAATGATTATTTAAAACACAATTCAAATTTCATACTCGTCATGACGGACGGGTTCGAGTGGCTTTGACTCGAAAGAGCACATAGAGCACACATAGCAAGACCAGCAATAGCAAGTTTTATTTGTGTTTTTGACTGCCAATTTGCTCTTCTGAGTCTAGAGAATTTGAGATCGTGCTTTCTGACTCTTGGACAGAAGTAAAGAGCTGATTTTTCTTCGATTTTCTTGGTTTCGACACTGGAAGGATGACAACTGAAAGAATATCTAATTTTTAATATAAATGATTTTGAATTACCATCGGATTGATCCTCAATGATTATGCAATCTTCGTTATTGTTGATATCAATCTTTCTTTTCATCGGCATCGGTTTTTCAGTTGTAGAGCTTTCTCCAGAAAGAGGATTGTTCTTGTCGATGAAAGCGTAAATGCGGTTGTAAAGGGAGCCGTGTCTTGACTGTTGAGGAGAAGGAGCATCCTTATTTTCGTTGGGGATTGATTCTCTTTGTTTTGGCACTGGAGGGATGACTTCGAACACAAAAAGTTATTTTGCAAAAATATGATTTTGAATTACCGTCCAACTCATCCTCGATGATTTTGCAATGCTCCTCATGGAAGGCCTCGTGGAAGGCTTCGTTGAGATCCGGAGAGTCGAAATATTCTTTTCGTACACCTCTTCGTCTCGCAAGGGGTTTAATGCAGCCTTTTTCATTTTTCTTTTTTAGGTCCTTTAATTAGATTGAGTAAAACAAATATAAGTCGGAAATTTACATGATGAAAAACTTTGCACTTTCGACACCAAATCGGCACAAAGAAACAGTTGTGGCAGTCTTTCTGACCACAGTATCCTAAATCTGTAAGATTCATCCTGAAGACTTTGCGGCAGACATCGCAATTGTCGAAAACTGATGCACTGAAGGTCATTCCTCTTTTTCTCCTCTTTGACTTTCAAATTTTTGCAAAAAAAGGCGGGAAAAAGTGCGCCAGCGCCATCGAACCATCTGTTGAGACTGTTGAAAGACTGATCGTGGTGCTGAACGAGCGCGGCGAATTTAAAAAAAAACGCATGTGGAAATTTAAAATATTATTTTAAATGAATTTATGCTGCGCTAATTTAAAAAGCCTGTACTAATGGTTTTAAATCCTGAATAACCATAAACTCCATGGACCATGGGTTTAGATGTTTGTCGAATCATCGACGATTGTGTATTTTACATGTTTTTACAGTTTTTACAGTTTCGAAGATAAGTATACAGGTGAATAATAGTTATGTTCAAATAATGATTTGATGAATCTACAATGAAACTTCATGTACATATAAACAAAGAGCGAGAAATGATTAAATTAAAAGCGACACTTCAAAAATCACAAATTGTGATTCATTATCGTCATAATGAAACTTGCTCTTCCGGCTTTGAAGAGGGAACGGCGAGATTTTCAGAGCTCTCCTTGCATCTGATCAAGACGTGAACCAGTTCCAAGAGTTGCTCGTAAAGGAAGATGTCTCCGTCCATGCTTTTTTGAAGCTCAGATTTCTGAGCTCGCTCGGCGGTCTTTTTCTTTCCTTTTCCATGGTCCAGATTCAAGGTCATTTTTGCTGATTCCTGAGGAGAAGAAATACGGCTGTTTTTCTTAAGCTTTGATGTTCTTGGTTTTGGGATTTGAGGGACTTTTTCTAAAACGAGAGCTTATTTTGAATAAAAATTGAATTTGAATTACCATTCCCTTTATCCGCGAGGATTATGCAATCGTCGTTATTGTTGATATCAATCTTTCCTTTCTTCGGGGACTGCTTTTCAGACGAAAGCGAGCAAACTCGCTTTTCCGGTTTTGGAGCAGGAACAACGAGCTTTTGAGAACTCTCGCCAGAAGAAGATTTCTTCCTGTTGATGAAAGCGTAAACAAGGTACAAGAACTGCTCGTAAAGAAAGCTCTGGCTGGCCATGCCTAAGTCGATCCATGATCGCTCGCATTTCTGATCTGGTTTGGGAGTCTTTTCAAGTCCATCAGCCTAAGCGCGAAATGAGCTAATGAATTCAGCATATGATCTTACTTTCCCGCCTTCTTCAACATCTAGATTCAAGATCACTTTTGCTGATTGAAGAGGAGTGTTGCGGCTGTTTTTCTTGAGGAGTGATTTTCTTGGTTTTGGCACTGGAGGGATGACTTCTAACAGAAATACTTATATAAAAAAATGTTTGAAATACTACCTGATTCATCCTCGATGATTATGCAGTCAGGCGTCTGAGGCAGAACAACCGAAGAGCTGAAATATTTTCCCCCAATATTTCCTCGAAACGCGTTCTGTCTAGTCAAGGTTAGGTTCATGGAGCCCCTTCTTTTCTTCTTTTTACGGTCCTAAATAAAATCAAAAAAAGAATAGTTTTTAGACAAGTTACATGAAGAAAAACTATGCACTTTGGACACCGGATTTTGTCAAGAACACAGTCGGGACAGGTTTTTCGAAGACAACATCTCAATTCTTCGAGATTGAAGCTGACGACTTTGCGGCAGACACTACATTTTTTGTTGACGATGAAGGTCATTTCTCTTATTTTGCTCTTTGAAAATTTGAAAAAAAATGATCAACGGTGGAAAAAAAGTGCGCCAGCGCCATCAGCAACTAAATCTGCATTTTCAAATCAAAAATTTCAAAAAGATTTTAGAAAAAGGCTGCAGTAATTGCTTTTCTTGAAGAAACTCCGTTTGTTTCGTTGTTTGTCGGATCATTGACAATGAAGTTATATTTAACAAATTTTTAAATTTTACAGTGAAATGGGCTAGTATACAGGTGGATAATAAATATCTTCGAATAGTGTCTAGAGGAATCTACAATGAAACTCTATGTACATAATAAGAAAAAGAGCCAGAAAAAATTAAATAAAAGGAGACGCTTCAAATATCAGCGCTGACTTTTCTGCGATTTCTTTTTGGATATGGACGCATAGGTTCGTCAGTTTCTTTGAGAAACGAGCAAACAGAAAGAGAATCAGATGAGAAAGTGACGCGCTTGCTTTTCTTGAGGATCGATGTTTTTGGTTTAGGCACAGGAGCGATGCGTTCTAACAAAAAAGCTTATTTAAAAAAAAAACAAAAATATTTTGAATTACCATCGGATTTATCATCCTCGATGATTATGCAATCGTCGTTATTGTTGATGTCAATCTTTCTTTTCTTCGGGGATGGCTTTTCAGTTGTAAGGCTTTCTCCAGAAAAAGGATTGTTCTTGTCGATGAAAGCGTAAATGCGGTTGTAAAGGGAGCCGTGTCTTGATTGTGGAGGAGAAGAAGCATCCTTTTCTTCGTTGAAGACTGATTCTTTTTGTTTCGGCGCTGGATGGATGACTTCTAACACAAAAAATTATTTTGCTAAAATTTGATTTTGAATTACCGTCCAACTCATCCTCGATGATTTTGCAATGCCTCTCATGGAAAGCCTCGTGAAAAGCTTCGTTGAGATCATTTTCAATAACCGGCGAGTCGAAATATTCTTCTGGTACACCTCTTCGTCTCACAATGGGTTTAATGCAGCCTTTTGCATTTTTCTTTTTGAACTCCTTTAATAAAATTAAGTAAAAATATAAGTCGACAATTTACATGATGAAAAAGTTCGCACTTTCGACACCAAATCGTCACATAGAAACAGCTGGGGCAGACTTTCTGACCGCAGCATCCAAAATCTTTCAAATTGAACCTGAAGACTTTGCGGCAGACATCGCAATTGTCAAAAACTGACACACTGAAGGTCATTCCTCTTATTTTCCTCTTTGTCGATTTCAAATTTTTGAAACAAAAAAGGCGGGAAAAAGTGCGCCAGCGCCATCAGCAACTGAACATCTGCATTTTCAAATCGAACAATTCAAAAGGATTTTAGAAAAAGGCTGCAGTAATTGCTTTGCTTCCTGAATGTTAACTCCGCTGGTTTTGTTGTTTGGCGAATCATTGACAAAATTTCTCAAATTCGAAAAGGAAAAGCAACAAAATCCGAGATCTTCCGTGGCTGGTAAAGAGCAAAACCAAAGCTGGAAGAACTCGTGTCCGAAATTTCGGAATCCAAACTTTTTCTGCGACAGAGAATTTCACTTATCAGAAGAAACAGCAAATTCACGAGAAACTCAGAGAAAACTGATCCCTCTTCTCAAGAAATAAAATCTTTTCCTGGTTCTCAATATGAACTACTGTAGGATAGTTTTGTTTTTTGTCGATAAATCATTGACATTGATGCTATATTTTTACAAATTTTTACAGTGTAGATAACAATTGTACAGGTGGATAAAAGTTATGTTCAAATAGTATTTTCATGAATCTACAATCAAACTTTATGGTCATAATAAGAAAGAGCGAGGTATAATCGGCTACTTTGATTCCTTAGCGGTCGGTTGGCAATGGACGCATAGGTTTGTCTGTTTCTTTTAGAAACACGTAGACAGAAGAATTTGATGAGAAATAAACGCGCCTGCTTTTCTTGAGGATCGATCTTTTTTGAGGTTTCGTCACTGGAGGGATGCGTTCTAAAAGCAAATAGTATTATTTTATCAATTAATGATTTTTGAATTACCATCTGGTTCATCGTCGATGATTATAATATCGTTGTTATTGTCGACATCGATCCTTCTTTTCTTGTGACTTGATTGTTGAAGAGAAGTGGCGCACTTGCTGTTCTTGAGGATTGATTTTCGTGGTTGCGGCACTGGAGGAATAACTTCTGAAAGAAGCTTATTTTTATGAAAAAAAAAAGGATTCTCAATTACCATCCAGATCATCTTCGATGAGGATGCAATCGTCGTTATTGTTGACTTCCATCTTTCTTTTCTTCGGGGACTTGTTTGAATTGCCTTCCGACTCATCCTCGATGATAACACAATCCTCGTCGTCATGGAAGTCTTCATGAAAATTGTTGACTTCAGCATTAGGCGTAGATTTCTTAAGAACTTCCACAACAGGGAGGGAGGGGATGGGTTTCGCAAAGCTTTCTCTGCTGGCGCCATTTTTCCTTTTTGGTCCCTTAAAATTTATGAGTGAAGATAATTTTTCGGCCATTTACAAGAAATTGATGGCACTTTGGACACCAAGCCACTAAACCGAGACACTCGGCACAGTACTGTTGATGACAGCATCTCAAACTTTCAATCGGGAACCAATAGCTCTCTATGACGACTTTATCGCAGAGAACGCAGTTGTCGGGAATTCTGGCGTTGGAATTCATTTCTCTCTCTTTGACTCTCAATTTTGCTCTCAATCTTTGAAATCGCGAAATTCAACGGCGGAAAAATTGCGTGCGCGCCATCAAGCCATCTTCAACAACAAAAAACGAAACACCTGCATTTTGAAATCGAGCTGCGGCGATTGCGAATCTTTCTCTTCACTTTAGCGAGAAAATATTTTTGCAAGAGTGAAAAAGCGATAAAAAAAGGCAATGTTCCGTCAAGCGCATGTTCTTTCGCGAGCTTCAGCTCGTCTGCTGGGATATCAGAGAGGCGGGGAAATGAAGCCTGACTACTCGATCGACACGGGGCCGATGGTGCCCGGTCGCAAGAGGAGCAAGCCGAGCAAGGGCGGCAAAAATAACGACAGCGAAAAGACTCCCTTTCTCTTTCCGAGATGGGAGACGAAATATGTCGACAGCATTGATGTTCTTGGTAAGCAAAAATTGATGAAAATAATCTTTTTTTTTTTCATAAACTTTTCAGACGCTGTTGGAACAAACATCCGCATCGGCGCTCGTTTCAACAACATCATCGACATTCGCGCCTGTCCGAATCAAGATGTCAACAAAGACTTCGCAACCGACAAGGCGCGTTTCAGCTACGACGGATTGAGCAAGGCTAGAATCACCGAACCAATGATTAGGAATCCTTCCGGCGCCTTGTCGACCCACGGCTGGGATGAGATCCTTCAAAGTAGCATCTTTTCTTTGATTATTTATTTTAATATTCCTTTAGTTTGCGGAGATGTGCTGATTGACGGGGAGAGCGAGTAGCCGCTCTTGCCGGGCCGTTTACTGATGCAGAGACTTTGACAGTGACGCGCGATTTGCTCAACATTTTGGGCTCAGAGAGTTACTTTACTGAAGAATACTGCGCCGTCAACACGGATTTTAGGTAGGCTCAGGAGTTTATATTCTGATTTTGAGTAAAAAAGAAGATGGGACAAAGTATTTGACATTTTTGCTTCAGGAGTCATTATCTGATGAACATGCCTCTTACTGGAATCGAGTATGCGGACTGCATCATATTAGTCGGCTTCAATCCTCGTCTGGAAGCGCCACTAGTGAATACACGAATCCAGGTAAGAAAAAACCTTTGTTCTCCTAAAACCATTTCTTTCAGAAAACATACCACGAGAACAAATGCAAAGTCGGCATCGTTGGATTGAAAATGAATCTGGGCTACAGCACCAAACACTTGGGCGCCTCGCCAGACACGATCTCTGAGCTTGCTGATGGAACCCACAGCTTTTGCGAGGTGAATTTCTTCGTCGAACTTGAGAGGTTTAATTGCGCTTTAGACTCTGTTTAATTCGAGACGGCCGATGATCCTCTGCGGCAGCGGCATTCATGCTAGACCTGATGCGGTGGCGTTCAATCACGAAATTCAGCGACTTACCAATGCGATCAAGGGCAATCTTATTGCGAATAAAGTTAATGAGACGGACATGATGGGCGAATTCTTCATCAACGGTACTCTTTTTTCTTTCCTCCGAAATTCGCTAGAAAGCGAGTTCAGGAATCTTCAACACTGTCCATCTTCACGCGTCGCTCCAGGCAGCATTGGATCTCGGTTGGAAATCGGGTCCTCTCGGAATCAGACGAACCAAGCCCGACGTTCTCCTGCTCCTGGGCGCGGACGGGCGTAAAGTCTCCAGAGCGGATTTGTGCAACGAGTACCAAATCGAGGGTTTCTCCGACCACACGACCGTCATCTACATCGGAACACACATGGACGCTGGCGCCGAGCTCGCCGATATCATTCTCCCCTCGGTCGCCTACACGGAGAAATCGTCTACTTTCGTCAATCTCGAAGGAAGGCCACAGCGAACGCGCCAAGTTGTTACTCCACCAAGTATGTTTCCTAAAAATTATCAAAATGCCAAAAATATTTAAAATATAAGTTTTATTTGATATTGTTACTAGAAATGGCCTACTTCGGGGAGGAGGGACAAAAAAGACAACTAAAAAAGAAGGCAGCATAATTTGAGAAAATCATTTTCGGAATTTCTAGAAAAGAAAAACCATAAGATTGGATAAAAATGAAGAATACTTCAATTTTTAACTAGCTGTTTAGGTTGATATAAACAAGTAAATCATAATATTCTGATAATTACACAGATGACGATTACTTTGACAAACTCAAAATTGACCGCCTGGACGCGTTTTCGCGGGTAAAAACCGAATAGAACGGAATCAGGTTGAATAAAAACTGACAATAGTCGATGTCAATACTTACACTGTCTTTACAACTTTACAAGTGTGTTTAGTTTTAACTAAATTCTTTAAAGAATCTATATGATCTTGGAAAATCGCTAGAAAAAGATCGCCTTTTTTCATTGTAGTTACTCAATGATATTCACTTTTTCATTAACATTAATCTTGTTCATTTCAGGCGGCGCAATCGAAGACTGGAAAATCGTCCAAATGCTTTCCGAAGAACTGCACACTACGCTTCCGTACGAGACAATTCAATCTGTACGAAACAGAATGTACCAGATCGCGCCGAACCTCGTCCGAATCGGCTTCTTCGAGCCGAATTCATTCTACGATGTTGGCTCCAAATACGCCGATTTGAAGCTGGGCGACTCGCGGGAGCAAATTCGAAATGATGTTGTGCTCAAATCGACCAGACGAGCTTCCGTTGCTGCTGATTACTGGATGACAGGTACAGTTCATTTTTGATAGCGGAAAGATGGTCATTTTAGATCCAATCACTCGAAACTCGGAAACAATGGACAAATGCGTGCGCCTCGCCGAAGGAAGCTCTTTTGACAACGACATCGCAATCATGAGCTCTTACGGAAACTGAATTTTAAAAAATAGCTACTGTCACAATTAAAAATAAAAATCCCGTCTCAAAGAAATTGCCTGCGTGAGTCGAGTTTTTTCTTAGGATTGATTTTTTGCGAATGAATATAGAATCATAATCCAGCGCGAATAAGCCGACGTTGAAATAGAGTTACCGGGGATTGAACTAAGAGGATGAGAAATATCGCAATGATTTGTCGAGACCACGTTTTTTCACCAACTTGCAAAACCGATTTGTTCGTGGCTAATTCGTAGGCCTTGGGCTTAGAGAGTCATTTTATTCGTTATTATTTTTCTTCTTCTTTTTCTCTTGATATTCTAACCATGTTGTTGACTGCTCTAATGTTTCTGGAGAATTCATTTTGTACTTGAATCGAAAGACAGACATTTTTAATTTTTTTATTCTTTCAATTTTGAGCAGATGAAATGGCCGATGAATTTTTTTTATAATATATCATATAATTTATATGCTGTATTTTTTCGAATGGACAATCTCACTTTACATTTGCGCTCATTTAATAATATTATAACATTTCTTTATTTGAAATTTATCATTTTTTGGCAATTTTCAACTGTTTATTCATTTTCTCAGATTTTAAAGCACAGTCATTATTTTTTTTTCTCTTTACGTTGTGACAACGTAACCACGAATGGCGTCTTGAGCAAATAAATTCATTTTCAATTTTTGAAAAATTACGATGGAAAAGATATTTTTAAAAGACTGACCGCAGAAGGAGAGCTATCGCTACAACGGGCCATCAATTTTATTCCAAGATTTTATTGCCACTTCAAAAGTAACTCAATTGTGACGAACTCTTTGTTCAAATCTTTTCTTTTTCGTGCTCTTTTGATCTTGCCTTGAAAGGCGTAGTCAAACTCACCCTTTTCGGCTGGAACGGATTCGCTAAATCGCTGTCTTAGACGAGGATATAGGTTTCATGTTAGCTTCATCCCTCTAAGCCTTCAGAATTGGAACTTGTGCAACACTCAACACCAAGCCTAAAGCCTCTTGCCACCGTAACTCATTAGATCTACTCCATTCGAACTTTCTTTTTCCAGTCTTTGGGACTCTCTTTCTTTCCATAAAATTTCGATTAAATAAATTTTTAGGCTCTTTTTTTTTTGATATTTTTTATAAAAGCAAGTTAAAGCAAAAACTTGCTAAATTTTTCTTTTGACCAGATTTTTGGTCAATGCAGTAGTTTGAGTTAAATTTGAAACAGACGAAAAATGAGCCCTAGAACGTGATGGTGAGGTTTTTAAGATGAATTTGCTTTAGTCGAATTAATTCAAAATCGCCTTCGCAGTCGACTGTTGCTCAATTTGCGGCGCGCTAAATTCGCCGAATCTCGTGGCTTGAATGTTTTTTGTCGAGTTTCTAGCTGTTCTGGCTCGGTCGCTTTGAAAAGCATCTGGGCAGCTCATTTACTAGTGAAATGGCTTTAATCGTTTACACAAGATAAGCCGAGCTTTGTAACCGACACCGATAAGCCCCCGCCGTGAACAGTTTCACCAAGTTGCGAATAAAAGCCTCTGAGAAGAAGCTCAGATACTCACGTTTGGTTGAAAAATATCAAAAAGAGAATTTTTTTTTGAAACATAAAAAAAAGAAAACTTTTTTTTTATCGAAATGAGACTTTTCGCTCCCGCCTGCATGACAGTACTGTACTCGAGTTCTGTGCACGCTTTTTGCAAGAAAAGAGAATGCACAGAATATTGCACGCAAGTGCGGACTGATGTGCCCATTCAGGTTTGAGAATTTTAAGAGATAAGATTGGTGAGGAAATTGCGTTTTAGAGTTGCATGTTGGAGTGTACAGGAAAGTGTGACCAGAGCAAAGAGCAATTCTTGTAAAAAAGTAAAAGAATTTGAATTTTAATCAGCTTCAAATTGACCAAACTTTATTTAGGGTTAGGGTTAGGCTCAGGATCCATTTGGACAAGTAATCCTATATTCCAAAGCTTACTCTTTTCACCTGAATCTGAAAGTTGAAATCAAGACAAAACCATTCTCAATATGAAACTATAGGAAATTTTCAATATAAATAACTGTTCAGACTATTTTCTATCAAAATCTCGCAGATTTTCTCTAGAAAAGTTCGTTTTTTTAGAGACCATAAAGTTATTAAAAACCCTGTCAATATTGTTTTTTTATCTAGAAGAACGAGTGGAACTCATTGAATAAGAATTGAAAAACTTAAAGTGATCATCTAAGATTTTGATTTTAACTCTGAATAACACTAAAAGGAAACTGCGAGGCATCGAAATGCTTCCGAAAAATCAACAACGAGTACGATTCGAACATTTTCGACATTTCACCCGTTGAGTTCGTCTTTTCGTCAAAGACCAAACGAGCGGAGCCGATTTGGACGGTCACGTGTCGCCACACAGAAGGTTACATTGGGGCCATTTCAAAATTCAGCAGACTGGAATTTCTGCCTGCGCCAAAGATTCACATTGGCTGCAGAAACGAGGCAAGTCACACTTCTAGCGCGCTTTTCCTATTTTTCTAACCAACTTTCTAGGGACACGAAGCCTTCATTTACACAGACAGTAGGTTAAAATTTTCATCTGAAGATGATTTAGGGAACGTCGTTACAAAGACCCAGCGCGATGGAATCAGATCGATTGGTAAGTTTCCATTTTCAGTGAATTGAAATCAACGAGGATTTTTTAGAATTATTTTGTGGGGAGACAAAATGAGCTCAATCGCTGCTGATGCTTGCTTGTATAAAATAAGAAATGCGAAATCGTCAACAAAACTACCTGCCAAAAACAATAAACTAGACTTTTTTTCTTACATTTGTCTTTTAAATTCGTCTTTTTTGAAAATTCTCTTTGACCTTTCTTTTTAAAAAATGATAAAAAGAAGCTTGGGAAAGCAAAAAAAAAGATGAGAGAGAATATCTGAAAATGACATGTGTTACCGTTACGGGTATATATTTTATACTTTTTTGAGTGAATAATTGATCGCCCAGGAATGGGTGGAAAGGGGGATAGCAGTTGTTGCAGGAGAGGGTAGCAGCAACACCTTCGCTTGAGTTCACTGATCCTCGAGAGAGGATTATATTGAACCAGCCATATCGAAAAAGGGCCTGCCATTTCGAGCATTCGCCACAGCAATTGCCAAAAATGACAGCTAGAGAATGATTGAGAGCGCCCGATGGTTCGAAAAAATGAAAAAACATGAAGCTGGAATTGTAAGTTTTTCCTTTTCTTTCGCTCTAAGAAGGTGACTTTCTTCCTTTTTCAGCACCTTTTGGCAGTCCATTTCGATTGTGATCTCTTCTGCAGCTTTGTTTATTCTTCTTTCTTGTTGCTGGTAAAATTCGATCAACAGTTTATTCAATCAGTTCTTTAAATACAATCAGGACTTGCAAAAGCCAATCAAAATTGCCGAATTTTTATTCAAAAACGAACAGAATTGCCAGTTTTTCGACATTTTTCTTTACTCAATTTGCCAGTCTTGACAAAACAAGCATATAAATTCTAGTGCCTATCTGGTGTATGGTGAGACAGACACAGATTCCAGCGACAAAAGCCGCGAACGAAGATTTACCCCGCACTCGAGAGTAGGTTAATGGTTTTGTGTTCAAAAGAGAGAAATTACCTGCGATAAATTTGAGCACAAATTAATATTTTATTCTCGGGCAATTCTTAATGAAGGGGATAACTATCGTTTTAATGTCACCCCAAGCATTTGGGCAATAGATATGTAGCGAGCTCGGTGTTTAGCAAAAATTAACAGCTATAGAATTGAGAAGGAGAAAATCCGAAATCAATGCGAATTATTTCAGAGTCGCCACCTTTCGCGCATGAATTCAAGCGCTGATAATTCAAAGGAAAGGGCATCGTTGCTTTTTTTAACCATTTTGGGGGATTTCCTATAAAAAAATTAAAATAATCTTAATTTTGAAAATTAAGAAAATATCTCAAAATGATGCCTAAAAAGTGCTCCGAGTGTCGTATTTCCTATCAAGGTAAAAATCAGCAAGCCCTTTTTTCATCCCTTTTATTTTACTAAAAAAGGCTCGTTTCGATCTGTGGCAGATTCTGTCAAAAGCTTTCAAGGAGTTTCTCCACCGCGTCAATCACTCCCAGTTCCAAGGTAAAAATGCAGCCTCTGTCAGTTCTATGCACTCGATGGAGCAATTCAATTGATGCCTTTTACTTTCGCCCTTTGTTGAAGATGCAGCGTTCCAGCGACCAGTCCTGCCAAAGCTCGCACGCAGCGCTTTTGAAGCATGAATTTTTATAGCAAGATTGTTTATATTGCTGAAATAAATGAATAAAGTATTCCAAAGAAGATTGATTTTTTATGATTTTATTTTTTTAATTTACTCTTTTTACGCCGAAAAAAACGCTGACTGTTGAGTTAGAAGTTTTCCTTTTTGCCATTCTGCAAGAAAATATTCAAGATAAACGAATTGGAGTACTCTGCACCTTGTATTTTGGGGAAAACAGCGCTGGAGACGGCTTAGACTCTAATTCTGTTGGTTACCAAGCACGAAAATGGTTCCGAGAACATGTTGTTGCTCCACATACGACACTTACTTGGAAGGTGCTTAGCAGCATATCTAAACGCTTGGCCTTGTGGCCAATTACGGTAGAAAGTATGCGTTAAAATATGTTCTATGCGGCATAGGCTCTACGCGGATTTCAGAGTTATTTTCAGGGTAATTTTTTTCAGAGTAAGCCATCTTTTTGACATCATTTTTGAGAACATAATTTTAAAAATTTTGAAAATAAATTAAAAAATCGCAATAATAGCTCTTCTGATAACCTGAGCTGAGCGGCTCTGACTAGCTCAGAAATCTTGACAAGATGATAAGCTCAGCTAAATAATTTTTTATAAAATGGCCAATAGACTATTTGCCTAACCCAGTCCCTAAGTTAGGGACTCCCTTACCCTAATTCGTTGGTATTATCATGTGATATACTGTATATCATATACATTATTATTAATAGTTTATTTCATCGGGTTTATTTGATATTGTGAAGGTTTCTTTCAAAAAATAGCTTCCTAGTCATTTTTCAGAAGCTTAATTGCAGGTAACCAGGGTTCTAGGTGGAAGGAAAAAACTAGACATTTCGAAATAGAGCAAAAGTTACGCCGGTGCAAGAACGTGGAAATTGGTGCTCTCGAGTACATCAAGCGGGCGCGGCGCTCTTATCAGCACTTTGGCGATATAAAATCGTACTTCGAATCCCTCAAAATCATCATTGAAAAGAAAATCTTTTCGAAACTGATCAGAGAATGAAGGTAAGAGAAAATCTGTGTGTTAAATTTTTTCAAAATCTGAAATTTCTAGGTTCTTGCTGCTGTTGTCTCCGCTGCCTCTGCGGTCGAGGTTGCGAACGATGCCTGGACCCAAGTTGCCGCTGCTTACGGCGATCTCTACGACGCTGTCTACGCCGCATACGTTGATAGAAATTTCCGTGATCACAATGCTAGGAAGAAGGCCAATCGACTTCGCGACTTCTACAACAAAGTCGAAAACTTCCCCGGCCGCGTCTCGGATTCCTGCGTCGAATTTGCCGGCTCCGGTGACCCCGACGCTTTTGTCCCTCCCTACTACGACAGTGAGGACATCTGCCACTCGATCAACAACTTCATTGCGTCCATCAAGAGCTACCACGACGCCTTCGTCTGCATGGACGATGTCAACCTCACCGACAACAACGGATGGGCTTCCCACAAGATGACCAGAACCATCCAACGACAGCGAAACATGCTTTTCAAGAGAAAATACAAACAGCTCCAGTGCGACCTTCCGATCGCACCAACACCTCCTCCTTGCGCAAGCGACCCATGCGACGGCCTTGACAACTGCCAGGTTCTGGTCAATGGCTGCAGCGTCGCACCTTCTCGAAACAATCAGGTTGCCACCGTGTCCGCTGCTCTCAACTACAAATTCTCCGCTGATGTTCGTTGCGACCATAGCAATACGCTCGAGGGCTTCTTCCAGAACATCTTCCACGTGAGCGCGGGAGACAACTTTGGCGCTGCAGGTGATCGAACCTTCGCGCTGTGGCGATATCCCAGCTCTGCTGACATGCTCTACTTCACGGTCAACGATCCAGCCGGTGATGATCACTCCAAGTACAACGATTACGTCTGCACCGACGGTGAGTGGAACACCTACGCCGTTGAAGTGAAACAAGTCGATGGCTCCCCCAATACCTTGCGATACGTTGTCAGTATTGATGGAACCCAAATTGATGAAGGAACTTACGGCTACCAAGGATCATTGACAAGTGGCGATCTTCAAGTTTTCGTCTCCGACGACTGGTACGACGCTGGATCAGCGTTTTCCGTCCGCAACTTCTACTACCAGACCTTTGCCGATACTCCTCTCTGCTCTGAACCATGCGATGGACTTGAAAACTGTTTCAATATTGTCAACGGCTGCGACATTGCCCCAACTCAAAATAATCTTCTCGCAACCGTGCCAGCTGCTTTGGGCTACAAGGCCTCAGCTGAGGTCTTCTGCGACCATAGCGCACCGATAAACTCGGAATACACGACCGTTCTTCGGCTTGGTGCAGGCCCGGATTACGGTGCACCCGGCGACCGAACTTTTCTTCTCATGCGAGAGCCAAATGGCAACAGAATTCACTTTGTAGTCAATCATCCAACCAATTCTCCGTCTTGGGCTCATCAAATATATACGGATATCGTCTGCACTGACGGTCAATGGAGCACCTACACAGTCGAAGTCACGGATGCTGGTAACGGAAATGTCAACTACGTCGCAAGTGTCGACGGGAGCACCGTTATGTCGGGAAGCTACGCCGCGGGGGGATCGAAATCCACCGGCGATCTGACAGCACACGTCGCTGACAATTACCAAGTAGGCCCCGCCTCTGCCTACAGAGTCCGAAACTTCTTTTACCAAACTCTTTAATTGTTACATGTATTAAATCTGATAATTTCTCTTTATTTCGTTAATTATTTTTTTCTCCCTTCACTGTACTCCGGTTAGGATATCCAAGATATAATGTCGTTGATCATTGATCAAATAAGTGGAATTTTTATTGAGATCCTGATATTCTCTTTACTACAATCATTAATAAAAGAATTAATGCCCAGACATTTGGTTGATTTTTCATTTCTTTTTTTCTGGATCAGAAAGGTTCGAAGCTACTTTAAGAAATAGAATTTAACAGTGAACTAAAGAGGAGCAGATGCTTAGTGAGTCTTGTAGACATTGTTGTCAGTAAACTCGGCGCGGCAGTTGGGGCAATTTTTCTGTGGAAGGGACGAGATGCAATTATAGCAGAACATGTGCGCGCATGGAATGATGATCGCAGATGGGCGGTCTTCAGTGTAGGACTCGAGGCAGAGTCTGCATTCGAGCTTCTCATTCACTTCCTCTTTCCTCGGCTTCTTTGCTGGTGGCTCGTCTAAAAATAATCAGTAAAAATCAACAATTTTCGACTAGATCATCTTACCATGTTCTTCAAACGCAGCTTTTGTAATGACAAGAACTCGTTTCTCGCTTTTCTTTTCCAATTTTGTCAAATCTCGATGTTTTATTCTCGCGTATCCAAGATTCACTTCTGCCGCTAGAACTCTCTCTTCAGCCTTTTTCAGTGCTTCTTTTGCTGCTCGCACTGCATTTTTCGCAGAATACAGCTCACCTTCAGCTTCGTCTATTTTGGAATTGAAAGAGCAGCGCGCCGTTTTTATTTTCATATAAATCTTGTTCATCACATCGCGCTCGTACTTGGACTCTATCGATATAATTAAATTGATAAGTTCTTTATTTTTAAATCATTACCCCAAACATTGTCGGAAATTGCTTTCGCCGCATCCTTGCAGCAAGACCCAATTAAGATCTCTCGGAAGGAGAGATTTTTCGCCCCGCATTTACCAGCACGGCACTTGAATCTTGCATCTGTCTCTTGAAATTCGGGCTTTTCGTCTGGATACTTTTCTTCTTTGCAGTCTTCGCAGAATCGTTTTTTTCTGATCAACGCAGTTGCTTCGGAATGGCTAAAATCCAAAGAGTTAACAAGAGAAAAAAGTTTTGAACTTACAATCCACAGTCACTGCACTTTCCAAATCTCCCATAAGAAGTTATGTAGTCGTCGAGATGTCGGACCATTTTCTCTCAAATTTTATTCAAAAATTTCAAATTTGTCAATATTTATCTTCAATAAGCCAATAAAAATTTTGCTTCCGCTGCAAGTTGGGAGGGCGCGCGCTTTATGCTCTAATAAGTAGGCCTAATTCGGAGCTGAAAATAGAATTTCCATTAATCAAACCATTCTGATTCGAAGTTTTACGAAAAGAACCACTTCTGTGGCGGTTTTTAGATATCGAACCATCCAAAAACCGCCGGTATTTGCACGATATCCCGCTGAAGAGGGAAGAACGCCCCAAATTTCCCCGGACGAGATTTCGTCAATTTGAAATTCTATTTATTTCGACAGTTTATTGCTCTTATCAATTTCATTCAACGTCTTCTCAACCTTCTTCGCAAATCGAGTCAGATATAAAGGAAGCAGCAGGCCCAACAAAGACAGGACCAGCACCAGAATATTCAACTAAGAGCGATTTGCCATACAAGTACTTTTTTCAACTTACCCAGAAAGGATCCTGGTCGAGAATATTATTAACAATTTTGAAGAGCGGATCATTGAGCAGGCAAAAGATCGCAGAAACTATCGAGCCCAGGCCAGTTAATTTTCCCAAATGAGCGTAATGAAACACATTCACATAAAGACCACCTAAGGAAACAGTTAACTGTGGTTTTTACAGTAGTCGCTTCATACCTGCAGTAGAGTGAAGAAAAGTACGAATCCAAGTGACGAGTAAAAATGTAATGTACTGCGCCCAGATTGGAATGGGAAGAACCATCAGAATTCCAATCGCGAGGAGGCACGCCTTCAGAGGATAAAAGTCAAGGAAGACATTGAAAAATCACCTCTGTGATGAGATAGGCGTTCCTGGTGTTGCGCAACGCCTGGACTCTTCTGAACGCTTGGGTCGAGTTGGAATCTCTGCTTCTGACGCCGGCGATTGGATCGTCCCGGCAGATTTCCAGATTCTTGTCGAGGACGTTTCCGATGACAGGAGCAACGAGGAGACAGAAAAGCTGCATCCAGCCAAAAATCGTAACGTAAAACGTCACTTTGTCTTCTCGGTCGACGACTGGAGTTTCGTCCGTAAAGTCAGGAGACGATCTGAAAATTTTTAAAGTGGCCATATTTTTGAAAGAAACCTAAGGAAAAGAGCAAGTTGTCCGATGAACATGACGATTCGGAGTTGAGTGATGCACATCGTCAACAATGAGAGAAGACAGGGCCAAGAAATAATCACTGCCAAAAAACTCTAGTAAAAGTGTTTGACAAGAAAAGTTATAAATTCGATAAAAACTTTCGAGCAGGGCAAGGTTAGAGTCGGCCGTACTCTACCGTGGTGAACTCGAAAGAACCTCCGGAGTTGGTGAATCTCCATCAACAGTTTTTAATCGCATGGAGGCTGCCTCTACTGCGATTCGAACAACACGTGAAGATTTATCGCGAATAGCTCGGGTTTTGCCCTCGACTTGGACCACCAAACCAAGCCGCCACCGAGAGACGCCAAGAAAAATCGTGTTATAAACTAATTTTCTTAAGGATATAGGCTATATCATATAGCCGTTCTCAAGGCACTTTCGTAGCGCTGAAATGGGACGATAAAATTCTTTGATTTCAAAAGGAACCCTACCTAAAATTGTCTAAGAAATCCGATTCTAGTGTTATTTTTAAATTTTTAACGAAAAAATTTCTCCCTAGAGCATTTTTATATCTTACGATCACTTTTTCTCAAGAATTTTCCATTAAATCGGTCGAATTTTTTTGATAAATTAATAATTTAGACCTTCGTCTACATTCCTAGGGCCTCGGTTTTAATAGATTCTCAATATTTATGGTTTTAGAGCCATTTCTGTGAGGCTTACTTGAGTAAGCTGAAGCGCCAGACAGCGCTCTGGTTTGCTGCGCTGGGCGCTCTCCTCCATCGCGCGGTGAGGCGGGCATGGGAAAGAGCGCGCTGATTGGCCGACGGCTCTGAACGCAGCATTAATGAAAAAGAAAAGCCAAAAAGAAGAAGGCGCTAGAATGTAAATTTAGTCTAGTTTTGTGATTTTGAAGCCCTAGGAAGTTAGATTAGCAGTTTTTAACTATAGAACACGGTTTTGTTTGAGCGATTTAATGGAAAATTTTCGAGAAAAAGTGATCTTAAGATTTCAAATCGCTCGGGAGAGATATTTTCTTTGAAAAAAATTTTTAAAAATGCCATAATCGAATTCTAGGGATAATTTTAGGTAAGATTTATCTTGGAATGAAAAAAAATTATCGTCCCATTTTGGCGCTACGAAAGTGCCTTGAGAACGGCTATATCCTTAACCTAAAACTCATGATTTTTACCGGTGGGTTTTGCTCCGCCGCAGCAAAGATGGACTCTCGTCTAGGCGCAGGTATCTTCCTAAATCAAAGAGTAAGCTGGAATGACCTGAAGCTAAAACTCACAGTTTTTGAGCAGTAACTTCCGTGTTTGATCCTTCATTCGACTCGTTGACATCACTTTCTTCTTCAATCGTAAAGGCGTTATTCTGAACAGCGAGAGCAGTGGTGTGCCGCCGAACAGAAGTGCGTGGTGGAGACTTTTTGCTCCTCTGCTCTTCTAGCGTCGGAATCGGCTTTACTGGAACATTGAACCAGCTCTCAACAAGAGCGATGAATAAAAGCCCTCCGTGAACGAGCATCAGCACGGGAAAACTGACGCCCATTCGATACAAGTTCAAGAACAGCGTGTAAACAAATGACGACGCATTGTACGATCCTAAAGTTTCAAGCTCAGCTAAAAAAATAAACTTGCTTTCTCACCAATCATTACAGCGATAACAGTGCTTCTTGCCGCGGAAAATAAATTGCCGAATTGAAATGAAGTAAAAACGATGGTGATGCCGCCGACACCGTTGAGTATCACAGCTGGAAGCATAAGCTAAAAATGGATGGAAAGAGAAGAATCGAATGAATGATGCGCTACCCAGGATAAATCTTCTGGGAAATATGAAATGGCAGTGAAGGTTATTGTGGAGAGCAGGAACATGATCATTCCGACTATTCTTTCTAGCTTTAGAAAAGCGCGATCGTTTGAAAAAAATTGAGTGGACTAAAACATTCCTTAGTATTCTCGATCCATGTGCGTCCATAATTATTCCAAGAAGCATAGTCGAGCCGGATAAAATCGAAGTTCCAATCGTATAGTACTGATTTAACGTGTCTTCTTGCAATTTGCAAGCCATGCGATAACGAGTTCCATTTGGATACTTTTCAGTTGGGTCTTCTTCTTTTGTCGTAATAAAATATTGAGAGAAAGTGAAATATTAGATAAGCTTTTAATTCGTTGTAAGTTTACGAGTTTTTAACGCTGCGACGAAAATATCTTACGGTACTTGTCATTTTGATTCATCTTTCCGGTCCATCAGAATTTATGATACATCCGACTATAAAATAAAATGCAACCGTAAAAGTGGAAAATTGTAAATAACATAAAGATAAACAACTAGAACTTAGAATCGACTCTCTTTTTGGACCCAAAGCCTTTTGAACGAATCCATCATAACAGCCAAACTCCTCGTGATTAATAGCATCTTCGCACATTTCACGGCAGACGTGAGAAAAGAAGCCTTCTTCCTGGAGAACAGGCCTTATTTTCAATGATGATTAACAAGCAAAAATGATAAGTGAGTGTACCGAAGTGAGGAAAATCCAAAAAGCGGGGCTGCGTAGAGCAAGTTCCAAATAATGCCCATGATAAAAACGCATCCGATTCTTCGTCTGATCGCCTTCAAACTCGGCGCACCCCACTCGATGCATCTCCCCGAAGATTCGACGCTAGAAAGCTCTGAAAGTGAATAAATGTAAAGCTGTCCTACTCGATTGGCGCGCGCAGCTTTTGTCCACTGATCGAAACGGTTGACCCGAGCATCACTCCAAAATCAACACTTGTTCTTTCACTCGGATCTTTAACTTTTCCAACGCTTGATAAGCTGGGATTATTTAAGACCCTTAGATCCAACAGTTTTGGGCAAATCTTCAACCGCGTAAAATGAACCGCTTCGTCTTGAGTGGTGATAATTTTCCTTGAACAGAGTTAACGACATTTACCTTCGTGGATACCCTTATTTTTTATGAAAGAAAGTCTTGATGAATACTCTTCATTTTTTTCAGAGAAAAAAATAGTCTCGCTAACTCTTTCTTGATTGAAATCATGGAAGAGGACACCGTGTTGTAGGCCTTGCGAGACATGCTCTGCATTGACGCTGAAACTCCATGGAGCGAAAGTCGACTGGTTGCGGTATCTTTGCGACCCCAAGTTGAAAGAGGTGCAAATCATTTTTATTTCCTTTTCGAATTTAATTATTTAACGCGCCTCAATATTCGATTAATCAAAAGAAAGAAAAAGTGAACTTTTAAAGAAAAACTTTGAATTCAAGCTTTTGATGTTTTTGATTATTTTTATTTTACGATTTTACGATAATCAATAAATGACGAGATGTAAATCAAAAAGGATCATTAATAAAAACGGATATTTATAGGCAATAAATAAAAGCTTTGATTTTGGAAAAAATATTTCCGCCGAGCCGATTTACGATGCTGCACCTCTGCCTAAAGCTGGTCACTGAACCTCTGGAGCAGTCGGGACCTGTGCCTATGCTCGTGCCGGTGTTAACCCGCGGCCGAAAAGGGTCCCTTCTCGGCTCGCCCGGAGTAGTCGGCGTTCTGAGCTCATCCTTCTTCCTTTCCCGCCTAAATTGATCAAATTACTACTTCTCGGCTGACTGTTGCCAATTCACCCTGTCTGATTAAGTTTTTTCAGCGTTAATTCGGTCGGAGCTTCGCGACTCATCTCTCGAGAGTTGGAGAACTGAGCCCTCAGCAGCCCGTATATTTCTACTGTTTGTGTAAATAAAACTACAATCAACTCATTCAAACTCCATCGGCCAAGTCTCTAAGTCAATAACTAAATTTTTATCAATCAATTTCGCAAAATTGTTCACAGCGTGTGAACAAATTTTTTCTCGATATCTGTCTTTGAAACATGTCTTCTTTTCTGAATTTGGAATAAGCGCTTCTTCAGCTATTCTCTTCAGAGTTTTTTATTAAAAGAACAACTTAGACCAAGAAAGGCACACCGACCACTCAAAGACTTACTTTTTAATATTTTCAGTAAGAAACAATCTTGGGCCCATTTTCGAATATTTCACTGACAATCATGGATCCTGGGCTCGACAACCTGTGTAGAAAACCTGAGTCAGGGTCTGAAAGATCTTTAAAGAAAAGCTGCGCAGCGGCTTTTTCAAAAACCTGAGCGCTAAGCGGCTTCGCATATTTTACCTATCTGATCTATTTTTAGACATTTTCGACATATCTCTTTTTGAAACACTCAAAAATTTCTGTTCTCTTGCAAATGAAGTTTATTTGTGTCATTTTTGAGAAGTGATTATAAAGAACATTTCTGTGGTATTGATAGTTGAGCGTTTTATTTTTATTGATGAACACCGCAAATTTTATTTTTTTTCGGGCAGATGGGCGACCACGAAAGATGCAAAAGGGAAGACACGAGAAGCGGGTCGATCTCAAAGTAGACGGCGTGTGGTAGGGTGTGTTTAATTAGGTGAATTGAAATTTCACGTAAAATTCAACAGGAACTGCGCTAATTAAGAAGTAAGGCCATCGGGCGGTGATTTATGTCCTTTTATAATATAGGGGTAACAAATGGATCAAACTTGTCGACTGTGACCTTGGTAAAGGGAGAGTGGATTAGCGACTGGCCAGGTTTTGGCATTTGCGCTGTCATGCTTCTTTGAGCGCTGCTATAAAGGCATATCCGCTTTGCTTCCGCCCCAAATCGCCCTCACTTCATGTTCTATGTTGATAATGTTGAGCTAAGGGCCCTTTACGGGCCAGTGCAAACTCCCAATCGTAAATTAGGGAGTCCAGTGGTGGCGACAACAGCTGCCTCTAGCTCCTCAAAGTGAGAGTCTAATCCATTTACTAGTAATGTAGGAACGTGCCCTGGGGCGGGGTCAAGGCACACACTCTTTCTTAATGACGCTCCAGGCTGCCTCCTAAGACTAGCAACAAGCGGAAATCATCAGCCAAATTGGAAACGCTCGAAATTGGAGATTTTTCTGGAAGAAATAACTAAAATATGAAGCATCCGGTTTCATGAGTGATTGCTGAACAAGTAAATCGCTAGAAAATTAACTTATCGCAGAAATAATTTGGGCCCATTCGTTTTCAGCTGTTCCCTTGACTGTCGCCACCTCGCCACAAGAAACGACAAGTGGTCGAATTATTCGCCTAAAACTAAAGCCCAAGGATAAAAAGCGCTTTGGATCGCTGCAAATCAAGGGGGCCCTGGGCAACAAGTGCTGATCTTCGACATCTCTTGGAAACGACTCGTCAAGGAAGTATTAAAAACTATCAAATTAGGAAACTAAGCCAGGGGTACCTGAGTAATGCGCTTGGAAATAAAATGCGGTAGATATTTACGTCAAGAAAACATAACATTTTAAGGGTCTAGCCTTCGAAATAAGCCAAAAAATAACTAAAAGATCGAATAAATCAAAAAAGATAGGTGGCGTTTTGGAAGGTATTTTCTGAGTCCCGTGCTTGTTTGTCAAGAATTTCAGGACAAAACAGTAATCAACGATCGACAGTAGTTTTGACGAGACAAGCAATCAAAATGATCGAAATCAACAAACTGTTTATTTCGATAAACGATTAATGCCGTGGCACGTCTGCATTGTTTCCGAAGCTGCTGCATGAGCCGTATTGTTTCCCAGGACGCGAAGTCTGTTTTCGATCTCTCACGCCCGAAGAGCGCCTCCATGGGCTGCTCGATTTCGTGGTGGTGCTCGATTCCTCGATCCGGAGTTTTACGATGAGTGGACGGAGGCGTCACATTTTTTGGCAGTTGGAGTCTGATTGGGTTCATCGAGTGGGGTGTTGATTTTGCGCACTAGAATTTACTGGCATTATACTGTATCAAGAAAAGGATCATCCAGAGTGTTGGGACTGTAACATTTTGATGTTGGATAAGGAATGGGATGAGCACTTTGGGCACACGCTTTGAAGAGGAGCACACAGTGAAGAGGATTGTCACCAAGGCTCGGGGATTGCAGCCGGCCACTGAAGCACAAATAGAAAAGGTAAAGAGCAATACCGCGGTAAGTGATCCCTAATTCGACTCCCCCAAATGATCGACCCCCCCTGAGGGAACACCAACCTTCTTAGTCGTCTGGCAGCCCGTCCTCAGAGAAAGCAGCTGGTCCCGAAATAGCTAATGTTCTGTCTGTAGCCACTAGTTGCGGTTCCCCCACGCACGGCCATTGTTGCCGCCCAAATTATTGTTGTTAAGGGGATAGAAGCCCGTTTTGGCTTTCAAGGCATCGAGATTATTTCAGCGAAAAAAAAGATTCTATTAAGAAAAAAAAAGAGAAGATTGACTACGGTTATGGCTGATTCTCATAACATCTACTAGCGTTACTTATCTAATTACTCAGGTATGCTCGAATCTACTTTCTAATCTGGACAATTAAACTCTCACTCGAAATACAAGCGATCCGGTACACGGAAAACAACTGAAACAGTCCATCCCATTTCGCGGCGAAGTTAACTCTCCCTTCTTTTCGTATTCGCTTTTGTCATTTTCCCAAAAGGATAAAAATGAATTCCCCCGAGGGTGGAGCTGGAGGGCCGGTCCGGGATTGCTATCTGCGTGTGCCCGAACTCCGCCGCCCCCTAATGGAGAAACGCCCCGAAGGGGCGAAATTACGCTTTTTGAATTTTTAAACTTTCGAGAAACAAGAAAAAAAGAGGCAATCGAAAGAGATGATAGAGCTGTTCCTGCAAGAAATATCAGAAGGAGACGGCAATTAAGCGGCAACGGCGCTTGCCCCATCTGGTATTTTAATTCGCGCCCGTTGTTTTTTTTGATCTTCGAATTCGTTCGATTCATCCCTTTTTTTCGAGACAAGCGAATCGGGGGCGAGGGGGATGTTTTGGACGGGAGAGACAGCTACGGAATGTCGGATGATGGGAATAATTGTGATTGCCCTGATAACTTTATATCGGCCAATATATAATCGTCGAATCTGCACGAGGCCACGGGCAGCCAAATTTGAGTGCAGCCAACTCCAAGAGAACCTATTCGACAAGTATTGATTCGCACTGTCACGGCATAACCGTCAATTTTTTATAAAAAATGTATTTTTTCTCGTCGCTGTTTTCCGCTGCCCTAAAGCCGGAGATCCGGGCCCGATTCTTTCCCCCCATCTGCTCTCGAAAAAAACAAACATAACAATGAACAGGCAGATGAACCTAGTAATAATTACGCTTTATGTATTTTTTGAGAGAAGAAATTTCGCACTTTTGGATCATCTTCAAAATGCAAAAAAGAAAGCCGCCAAGCTGCTTTTTCGTATGTGTAAGCCTTAAATAACCGCTGTAGAATAATTCTAGAGCTAGATAAGGGATGAGAAAAGATTGTTGAAAATGGGGTTTAAAAAAATTGCTTTTGAAAATGATCGAAAGTGACATTTTTTTGGCCGAGATGCCAATTTTTGAAAACAAGAAAAAGGTACTTTTTGGAGAGAAAAAAGGTCATTCTTGCCTTGATTCATCCATTTTTTTTCGAGAAAAATGAAAAAGAGCCAAGACAGTGGCAAGCCGCTCTTGCGTATGTCTAAGCCCAGGGCCGACCGCTGCCTAGCCTCAAATTAATTCGAGCAAGGAGCTGCTGGATTTTTGGTGCTTATAAATTACCATAGAGTTGATTTATAGGAATTGCCCCTCAGTGCACCCTCTCCCCTCTTTCTCCCCGCCCCAGCGTTTATTCTCCTTTCCACAAACAGAAAATAATCATCTAATAATGAACCTTTGGAGCGGACCTTTCAAAACAGAAATCTTACAGTCGTTTTAGAACTGATGGGGCTGCGTTAGCCGACTATCATGGGTAATGAAGACGGCATGGGAAGTCAGGAATCGTGCACCACAGAAGAAAGTTGCCAATTTAAAAATGATATAGTCCCTTTTTTTTAATCTTGCAGATGGATTAATGAACTCGAAAATGTGTTTTATGGCCTCTAAGGGCTGGGCTAATTGGTTAAAAGATTTCATGCTCGCCTGGGAGGAGCTAACTTACGTTAAAAGGGTCGAAAAGGGCCTTTTCAAAAGGCCGCTCGTTAAGGGCCCCTTCCAGGAGAAGCTGCTGCTAAATCAAATAAATTCCGCCTTTTTTATTATGGAAATCGTCTTCCTTGATTGCGGGCGATATATTATGGCAATTAATCCAACCGCCCAATTGTCTCGAAAATCAAACCTCGTGACTTTCACTTTTCACAATTCTAATTCTAATTCTAATTCTAAATTAAATGGTAATTACTACTAACAATAAGCAATACTACTAAACACTTGTGGTGCCGAAAATAGGAACAGTACGCTGATGGAGCTGCCGATTTGCGAATGACTGATGTAAGTACTCTTTTTTTCTCAATTTTTTCGCAAATTTTTTCTTTGAATTTCCTCCCCTAGTCTTTTTCCTCGATCCTTTTTCCACTTTTTATGATAATGAAGTTATCAATAATCCTCACGGTTAGCTGATTTTTGGGGATAAGCCGGCTCAGATTCGCTCAGTAGCTCAAATTCAAAGAGAGAGAGAATGTACCCCTGGTTCCCAAAAAGGGTAGAAATCGAGTATTCCGAGAAGAACGGTCGCTACGAATACGTTTTCTTCCTGGAAGAAAGTCGTCCTCTTTCTGATGGAGGCACTATCACTATTCACCGCCGGGTACGTTCGAAAGATTCGTCAAGCGCAAATTCGTTCAGCAGCGTCACGTGATAGCTAGGATGTACAACCCATATGGGGCGCATCGCTCATAATTAGCCGGCGAATATGTCCAAAAAACAAGGAAAAAGGGCTCCTAGCCGCTGCGATTAATATCAATTACTACCTCCTTCTCCCCTTTTTTTCTCTCTGTAGATTGATTTTCTGATTTTTATTTTAATCATGAAAACTATTTTTAAAACACACAGTCTCAGGAAAAAAACCTAGGGCAATTAAGCGAAATTCATAATGCCTCCTCTCACACGCATCGTAATCGTGTCATTTACGATCTCTTTCTCCTTACCCTTTTTTTTCTCGCATCAGAAAAAAAATATTCACTGGAAAGAAAATTTTAAAATAAGAGAAGACGAAAGCCTAAAAAATATAAAAAAGAAAACGAGTACAGGAGCGCGTCGCAATTAGAAAACCACAATTTTTTTTTCGTTGTCTTTTAATATTTAAAATGAGTAATCACGAGAAAAAAATTTTTTGATTTATTTGATTTAATTTTATGAATAATAATAAATCGTAGAATATTTTAGAAAATTATATTTAATAAATCGATTTTGATAAATAATAAATTATTCGATTTTTAAATTATTATTAAAAATAATCGAATTAAACTTTATATTAAATTTATTTTTGACTCAAACTATTATATTTATTTATTTATTGAATGACAATTTTAAATAAAATTAATTAATAATAATTAATTATATATTTTTAAAATTAATTATTATTAATTAATAATTTTCATTCAATAAATTTATAAAAATAAGATGTTTAATCTACTTAAAATTTAATACTAAGTAATTGATAAAGAGTGAGTGCTATTTTATGAATTGATAAGAGTTTCGAGTCGAAAAGGAGATGTTTGTTGTATTTGGATCTGAAGAAAGGTCGATTTAAATATGCAAATCCGACTTCGATCTTTTTTAAAGTCGAAGCATGCTCTTTTCTGATCGAGCCCGTTGAGAATTAGCTGATTGTTAATTAGCGGCGCGTGTTAATTGCAATCCCCACTTTTTTCTACGATCCATTATCTCCCCCTTTCCTTATCAATAATTCACCCGCCCGCTAAGTTTCATCATATATCAACTGAGTTTTAAAACTCTTCCGCGCGCTCGTTCGAAGAATGAGTTAAAGAGTTAAGGGGGTACTGCGAAATCGCCCGCAATTGATGCCCAAGCGCCATAATTTATGGCCCATAAACTCGATGATGAAGGCGTCCTTAATTTATGGCGACGGGGCAGAGGTTGAATTCTGCTTTATTTTCTGTCCTCGCCCAGGCGCGCTGCTAAACAAGTTAGGCAAGAAAGAGGCATAGAAATAATTTGCGGTGTAGCTATTAGACGGGCCACGTTGAAATGTCAATTGCTGATCAGTGCTAGGCTGCGTTGGAGTTTCCCGCGCCGCCATCAATTAATAATCCAGAAATCCTTTCAATTTGTCTTTGAGCCTGATTTCCTCCTCCTCCTCGCGATAACTTGAGCCCGTCAATTTTGCAAACACTATTTTCGGCGAAACTATTTTTTTATTTTTAACTTAGTACATCCCTTATTTTCTTCGCTCAGAATCAGGATACATGAGTCAGGTTTCCACGAGCATCAATGAAAAGCCGCGTCTTTAAAAATCATTTATTCTCTTCATCTGGGCTCGGCAACCTGAGTAAAAACCTGAGTCAGAGTTCATATGATTGCGGCTTTTAAAAACGAAGCCGCGAAGCGGCTTCGCCAGCAGTTAAAAATAAGATTGATGAATAATATTGCGAAGCCGCTTCGCGGCTTCGTTTTTAAAAGCCGCTACGCGGCTTTTCATTTGCAATCATATGAACTCTGACTCAGGTTTTTACTCAGGTTGCCGAGCCCAGCTTCATAACCTGACTCAGATTTGCTACGATCTTCTCTTTCTTTGGTTGCAAATGAAGGTCTTAGTCTTGATTTAAGGGTGTCACTTTGTTAAAAAACTGCCGAAAAGTCGACGAGAAATTCCGGGGTCGTGACCCCATAAAGCAAAAGAAGGGGAATAATTTTGAGAACTTGCGCTTGGCCGCAGGCTCGTCTCGGTTTTACGAGGAACTAGTGATTTTTCTCCGATACTTACTCATTTTTTTTTATCGTGGATTTTTCTGGTGAAGTTTGAGGAAAAGATTTTTTGACCGACCGAATGTCACGATAATTGTGTCTAATTGACAATCGCCTGGGCGGTGGGCGACAGCTACAAGAAAATTTTCGAATATCCGACGGTTGTAAAAAGCTGTAAAAACTCTCCGTTTACAATTTGGTTGTTTGCGACGCGCGCTCTCAGCAGTACTCAGGGCGATGGCCAACGCTGCCCAAGTCTACTTACGTTTTTGCAAAAGAAAGCCTCCTGATAAAAACCACAAAACAAAAAATACAGAGCAAAACAAAACAGATCCTCGGGAAAAAGGAAAGGAAGCTCCCTTTTCCCTGAAATCATGGAGGACAACCACATTTCCGAGCTGACCAAACTGTCAGAAGAAGATTACATTAAGCCACCGGTCCACCCTCCTTATTTTTTCCATTTTTTTAACAGAGAAAATTTGAAAACCGTGAAAATAGAAATCCAAAGAACGCCGAGATGAGCACCGCCGGCAACAGGCTAAGCTTAGTTTTGAAAAAAAACATAAAAGAAAAAATTTTTAACAAGAAAAATATCAAATTTTTTTTTTTATTTTTTTAATAATTTTTTGGAAAATTATTTTTTTCAACTAAATGGATAGATGGCCGAAATCAAGCAGCAATACGGCGAAGATTTTGTCCCACCAGATTTTATCAAGAGAAAGTTTTCGACCAAATATTCGACCAGTGAAGAACTCAAGTTCAAGGTAAAAAGAACGCACTCCCCGCGAGAAAGAAAGAGAAGAGAGCCAGTTTTAAAAATATAACTCGGCCCGCCGCTGCTACTAACCCGGCTTGTTTAACGACGCTGGAGAGTCCTGCGCATTTGATCTTCCATGAAGTTATTTATGAAATGCCCTTCAATGCTTGAGCATGAATCCTTTTAAGGCTAAAGCTTCCAGCCCTTTTAAAAGTGTCAAAGGGCTTGTCAGACTGTTCGTTTTCTCAGCGCTGCGGTATTTATTTATTCGATAGCCTCCTTTCTTTATTTTTATTTTACAGCCAACATATTGACCACGCTGTGAAATCTATAAAATGGATGGTTAATAGTATCTAGGGCGATAAAAATCATATTTCATCAAATGTCGCGTTATTTCCGAAAAACACCGCGTAATTATTTTTGCCAATCAAAAACATTCATTTAATAAATGGCCAAAAATGACCAAAAATCGGAAAATGTCGACTAAAAATAGCTAAAAACGCGATTTCAGGTCGACTTCGACGCTCGATTTCGTCGTTTTTCCCTTGAAATTTTTTTTTTAAACCAAGCGGCCCACACAATTTCAACCCTTTCTAACTTTTTTAGATTGAGAACAAAAAAATTTTTTTTCGAAAAATTGAGTTTTTTAGGTTGAAAAAATCCTAATTCTCGACCACCACCCCCTTAACCATTATGGTTAGATTTAGATTTAGTCCGATAATCCGTAGAAAATTGAAGAAAGATTTATTAGCAAATAGAATTGAATAAGAATCAAAAACTAGCCAAACTCACTTAGTCTAATGGGCAATTAGCGAATTGGAGCCAGGGAGGTACAGCCCCGGATCTTGAAATCGTGATCTTTTGAAATCAGCTTTTGAAAATTGTTTTGAGCAATGACAGATTTACGAACTCAATGAGGACAGTTCAGCTCCTCCAGTTAAGCGTTACTTTACTCACTTTCTTTAATTATAAATCAAAAATCACCAAATCAGAAAGATGAAATAACCGAATGAATGGTTAGTTAGACGAAAAATAGAGAAACTTTCCTTCAGACAAGACTCGGCAGCCTGTTTAGAAAACCTGAGTCAGGATCTGAAATAACCATTTTAAGGGTGTCAAATTTGGTTGCCAAAAGTTTGCCGAACTCGATGTTGACACCCTTAATCAATCTTTTTTGATTTAAATCCTTTCAAATCCTGACTCAGGTTTTTTAAACAGGTTCTCGCGCCCATTTCAGAACTCTTCTATCAGAATAAGATTAAGGGGGTTTAGGGGGTTTGTTGCGTCTGAGACTGGAAAATAATAATTCTCTGGAATTCTTTTTTATTAAAATTCTCGATAGTAAAATAAGTGTGTCGCAATTTTTAAATGAGGTGCGTGAGAAAATCGAGTCTTGAGATTCAGCGACTTACTATCTTGATTATAAAAAGGTCAGAATCGTGGCTAAAAAACCATCGAGAAAGGTCTGTTCTTCAAGAAAATCCTAGTTTACGACGATTTTTTTAGGATAACTTATAAATTATGAGCGATATCAATATTTTTATCAATCAAATCGAGATCTGGTTTTATCAATTGATGAATTCAAACTAGATGTGTTTTACGGCTTTATTATTAGTATTAGCGCCTCCTTTTTGTCAATAAAAAGAGCTTCTCTATTGAAAATCAGACGATTCTGATTCTGAATTTCAGATGCTCAGGATCTTCATTTCAGAGCACTAGTAGCAAGGGTGTCATTTTTCTCGTCTTTTTACAGTCAGAATGCTTCAATTTTTCAATGACCAAAAAAAAATTTGTAAAATTGTTAATTTTTTTCTCTTAAAATTGGGGAAGCAAAGCTAGCAAAAGGTGGCTTAAGTCCAAAAGCCTAAGTAGCAAAGCGAGTTATTCAGTGAATAGCACACAGGTCTTGATCTACTAGGGACCATCGGAGATGAATTTTTATGATTTTGGTCGTTTAAACTGGTGTGGCACGCACCAATAACCTACTTCGTCTAGCTATCTTTTTTTTCTTCTTAGCCAGATAATTGCCGAAAAACATGGCTATTTTTTGATTTTGCGAAATTTGAAAAAGAGAGAGAAGGAGAGATTTTATGATATGAGAAAAGATGAGTTTTTCGGAGGAAGGAGGCAACGTTCCGAATGCGGCGTTCTTGCAGAGGCTTGTCCAGCTGCAAGATCAGCTAAATCAAAACCAAGAAAATCTGACTCAAAATGGGGTTGAGAAAAAGGTTGAGAATTAAAAAGATAACTTCATTATCGTTGTTTTTCAAAAACCATAATGCAATATTTCTTTGTGGAATCTAGGGGGCTCTAGTCCAATAAGAAGCGACTTTTTTCTATCTCCGCCAATCAGAAAAGACTAGGGAATCTCACAAGAGCCCTAGTTAGTAAATACTAACTTCTTTTGGAAAATTAGAAATAAGGTCCATCCAAGTTATGTTATATTGATAAAAAATAAGAATGTTAACGAGCTCTTGTTAACAAGGATATCTTCTTTGAATTCTTGAATTCTTGAATAAACTTTAATTTGAACGAAGGACTAATGTTTGCTTCAGAATGCGGCTAGCATCATGAAGGATGATCGGAATCACCGGTTGTTCGACCGGCAAATGCTTGAGGAAATCAGGCAGCGCCGCGCCGATCAACAAATTCAACCGTCTCCAGAAGAGGATGGCATGTTCCAAGGAAAGGTTACAGCAAGAAACGAGGATTCTAGGGGAAATAACAGCGGCAGGTCAAGAGAGAGAGGTAGAAAATTGAAATTAATCGACGGTACGGATATTTTATTGCCCGCCGAGCGAGTGATAGATCGACCAGACTTGAGCCACGGAAAACACGGCGTTTTTACGAAAGAAACAAACTAGGTTAACTGGCTCTTTTCCCGCGACAGGACAAGCAATGGTCCATGGATAAACACGAATGTCTCGATAATACCCTTCAATCTGCCCTAGATGCTGCTAAAATAGCCATAGCAATAAATGTTTCTCAAAAGCACCGGGCACGCCTTAAAAAGACCATTTCAAGCAATAGTTACATTTACAAAGCCCAATTATTATAACACTATAAAAAAAATGGCAAAAGCAACATAAAACATAAAAAAATGGCTCGGACTCTATAATTAAATAATTTTACCCCTTGATTAAAACTTAGCTTATTGACAATAACTAATTGTAAATTCTGGGTGGACATTGGGCTTGAAAACCTGTGTTGAAGCCTGAGTCAGGGTCGTCAGAGGCCACAATGGCGATTTTCAGGACCCTGACTCAGGTTTCTACTCAGATCTTTCCCTGGTCTTAAAATAAGCGCCGTCTGTTGGGCTTAAGGAGGGGGTCGACGAGAATCGGGATTTCCGTGACCAAAAACGGGGGAAAACCTGATAAGATAGGCAAAATCTGATTTTACTGGTGGATAGAAAAGGGTTGTAAAAATCAGGCTGCGAAAACTAGAAAAAATTTTGGCCAGAAAAAATCGGTCAAAAATCCCGTCAAAGTAGGGCCATTTTCGCGAAAATGCACCAAAAATGGTCAATTTTTTTACAATTTTGTTCATTTCGACCCCTAAATCTAATTTTTATCAAATGATTTTAGGCTCAACAGATTTGGGAGAATCTGTAGATTCGAAAAATATAAGATTCATATCCTGACTATGCGTATAACTTATACGCAGAGTTGCAAATTTGCTGAGCTGAGTGAGCTGAGCTGGCTGAGTGAGCTGAGCAGTCGCTCAGCTCAGCTCAGCTCACTGATTTTCGAAAATGAATTTATCTGCTCAGCTCAGCTCAGCTCAGACAATAATCACTCAGCTCAGCTCAGCTCAGCTCAATTCTTCTCGAACATGATCTGTTCTGCTCAGCTCAGCTCAGCTCAGACAAGTATCATTCAGCTCAGCTCAGCTCAGCTCAATGATTCTAACACAATTTCAGCACTAAAAAACAGTAAAAAATAGCTCAAATCAGCTCACTCAGCTCAGCTCAGCTCTAATTAGGGTCTGCTCAGCTCAGCTCAGCTCACCTACCTTAAAAAAAGGTCTGCTCAGCTCAGCTCAGCTCAATGACCTCTGAAAATGGCCAGCTCAGCTCAGCTCAGCTCAGTGAGCTCCGAAATAGGCCAGCTCAGCTCAGCTCAGCTCAGAGAATTTCTCACTCAGCTCAGCTCAGCTCAGCTCAGCGAAAATAAAGCCAAATTTGCAACTCTGCGTATAAGCGAAATTACGATCACCCCTGAAAAAATTCTTGTCGACGCCCCCCTTAAAATAAGCGCCTTCTGTTGGGCTTAAACTGACCTGTTGTAACCTTGTTGAAAGATCCTCTTTTGGAGCTGTACCGGAAGCCCGACCCGACATTGGTAGATGGACAAAGTCTTACGACCATGTTTGGAAAATTCCCGCCTGAATTACTGGGGAAACAGATCGAAGACGTTGATTACTACTACCGTAACAAAAAGGTGAGTTTGGAAGTCGTTTTTTTGGAAAATAGAAAAGAAGGCTGCTCCTCATCATTATTCTTTAACGCGGGCGGAATTGAACTTGGAGAGGCTTTAATCTGCCTTTGAAAGTTTAATTCCGTTGTGATAGGAGAAATGTGCTCCAGGAGAAGTGCAATTGGACAAGCTTATTCCATGGCTGCGCATGAATAAATGCACAGCATCCGAGCACATGTAACACTCGCCCATTGAGAGACAGAGAGATTCTCCTCCTTTTTTTTCGCTCATTTTTTCGCGCTCCGGTCTGCTCGCGCTAATAATCAACCCGATTCTTGCACAAGACGAAAATAGCTACGTTTTCAAAATTTTTTCTAAAAAATTCCCTTCGACCTTCCATACGATGAGAGATATTTTAACATCGATTCGGCGCAAGAGGATATTACTGGATTTACTCCCGATATAGATGAAGTTAATAGAAATGAAGCCAAATATGGGGTAAGTTTCAATGTCGACAATCTAGGACGTAGGGTTAGGGTTAGGGTTAGGGTTAGGGTTAGAGTGATTTTTTGATCTTATAAGAGGAATATCAGATGGTTTGAAAGTCCCATATTTTGTAAATAAGAGCTTTTTGTGCATTAATTTTAATAAGTAATATTTTAGGACGATTATTTTACCACCAAATTCTTGAAAATTCTTTTAAAAATATTAAGGGTATCGCAACGAAATCGCTGTTTTGATTATTCGCTATCTTGATTATTGAGCTATCAATATTTGTCGAACTACTATCATAGTTGAATAGTTACTGTAATTTATTTTGCATGAATTGATGATTTTTCACATCTTTCACAAAGATTCGGACTAGTCATTCTTCTCTGAGCGTGAAATGAAAAACAAAATTCTCAAGTTCAAAAAATGATTATAGAAAATTATGGCGGCATTTGTTAAATTGTTTCTCCTTGAGGCGATCTATAATTTTAAAAAAATGGAGTCGGCGTTGTGCTATGACCAATTCCACCGTAGAGATAACAAAGAAGTATGAGCGAGCGCGCTGAGCGCAGCTCAACTAACTCAACTATTTTGAATCAGCCGCTTTTAATTGATGATGAGGTTTGCCTTTTTTTAATTACAATTTTTGAATTAGGGCTTAGTCGTTTATTTTGCTTACAAAGGGTTAAGTTCTGAATTTTAAGAATCAGAAAATCGCGCAAATCGACGACTAAACCCTTAAAAACGAAAAACTGTAATTGTAACTGTAATTTTAGACGTTCTGCGTCATCAACAGACGTTTCGGAAAGCGGTATATCAACCGCTTTTCTGCATCAAAGTCCCTTTATTTATTTTCTCCGTTCAATCCTGTTCGAAGGGCAGCAATCAAAGCTATCATCAATCCAGGTAATAAAAAACAAGCGCAAATGAACAACACTATTCTATTTCAGGCTTCGATGTTGTAATTATTCTCACCATTTTGATAAACTGCGTATTTCTTGCTCTTGATGACCCTGTAGATGAATTAGAATATGTTTTCACTGCCATTTATACCTTGGAAGTTGTCATCAAGGTAAGCCGCTCTAGAATCTTCCTGAATTTCAATCTCAAATTTCAGGTTATCGCAAAAGGATTTATTTTAAACAAATTCACCTACCTACGAGACGCATGGAACTGGTTAGATTTCATTGTCGTCGTCCTGGCTTACGTAACAATGATGACTCCAGAAATTGGAAATGTTTCCGGCCTTAGAACCTTCCGTGTCTTGCGTGCTTTCAAATCTTTATCAATCGTGCCTGGTAAGTGCAAAAGACAAAAGAAAAGCTGAAGAAACACGTGGGCTGTTTGGAATTAATTAAGGATTTATTCGGGCTTATTTAGGCGCATTTACTTATTAAAGGAAAAAGGTCATTTTCAGCAGACTTAAAATAGTGACACCCTTAATTTTGAACTTCTCACATTCGATTTTCAGGTCTGAAAACTATTGTGAACGCCCTTTTCCTATCGATGAAGCCTCTTTCTGAGGTGTTATTCATTATGGTCTTTCTGTTGATCGTGATTTCTTTGATCGGCCTGCAAGCTTACTCGGGCGTGCTGCAGCAGAAGTGCGTCCTCACCGCGCCGGCGAATATCAGCTACGACATCAGCAGTCCCGACACGCCCTTCAAGCAGTGGATCGCCGACGAGGCGAACTGGATGGACGGCGATCCGGACACGATCCTCTGCGGCAACTCGACTGGTGCCGGCCGCTGCGCAGAGGGCTACACTTGCTACGGCCACACGGGCAGCAACCCGGCCAACACTTACGGATACACTAACTATGATCACATCGGATGGGCGATGCTCTCCTCCTTCCAGCTTCTCACACTCGACTTTTGGGAGAATACTTACAACATGATCTTGCGAGCGTCGGGCGCCTGGAACGTCATCTACTTTATCCTCGTTATCCTACTTGGTCCCTTCTATCTTTTGAACTTACTCCTCGCTGTCGTCACTATGGCCTACGCCGAAGAGCATCAGAAGCAAGAAGAGCTCAAGACGATGCGCGAAAGAGCCAAGAAGAACGCAAAGAAGAAGGAACGGTTACCTAACTTTACTTCTTAGAAAACTGATTTTGCGGAGCCATGCTCTTATATTTTGAATTTTCATTATTTTAATTGATTACGTAACCTATTAAAAAGGCTTTAAAACGACTGAAGCAGCTGAAACAGGCTGAAGAAGCCGACGGCAGAGGTAGCCAGCTGTGGGCAGCCACAATCGCATCGACCAGAATCGGTCTCGGCGTTGGTATCAGCTCAAGAACTAATTCAGGCGCAGCAAGTCCAGATGATGAGGATGGTGGAAGTGTCGTTATCGCTATGAAGCGAGACGAGTCACCCGGTGGCGCGGGTGGCGCGTACGGTGGGTCGAGCCTCGGCGAGTCCGAAGCTGTCAGCGCGCAGCCGCAGTCGGCTTCGACCCCACCAGCCACTTCGCACGCCCATCAACTGAGTCCACAAGATTCGATCGAGATGGATGAAAGTAAGTATCTGACTCAGTCACTCCGAGCGGGCGATTTCTCTTCCTGGAAACGGGTCTTCGCGGTGACTTTTTTTTATAGCTAGAAGTAGTAAAATCATCAATTAACAAAATGCACGCAAATCCGAGTCGCAGTCAATTAGGACAGCTACTGTTCCATTTGATTTCAAGCAAAATCAAAGCTCGCTAACGCTTAGTTCACGAAAACCAATCAGTTTCGTGAGCTCTGACTGTAACAGTAATGCACTTCAAATCTCGATCATCGTAGATTTCAAGAAGATTTCAACTTACTTCATTTACAATTAGACCTGAAATCTTCCAAAATTTCCAAAAGTCAAAAGTAGCTAAAAACCAGCGAAAAAATTCCCGAATTTTTCCCAATCTTCCCAAAACTCTAACCAATACTAAATCATCCCTTCCAGGCCCCGACGAGCAGTTTATCAAAAAGCTAAAGATCGCCAACGAATGGTTCAACAAGACTTTCTGCGACTGGCAGTGTCCAACTGGCTTTATCCGATTCCAGCAGCGACTGGAGAGCATCATCAGCAAGAAAGCATTCGACGTGATGATCGTCCTTTGCATCGTTACCAACACCATCTTCTTGGCTGCCGATCATCACGACGCGGATCAAGATCTCAAGGAAGGTTTTTTTTTCTATTTTAAATTATGGAATATTGATCAGAAATAACACGAGGCAAGAAGACAGGAATAAATTAAACTGAAATGATAACCCTTAAAAAACCTTTGTAAGAACATCTTGACTCTCGGCAATTCCATCTTCACCTACATCTTCGTCTGCGAAGCTATCTTGAAGATTACCTCTTATGGCTTCTTTACGTACTTGAAGGACCCGTGGAACACTTTTGATTTCATCATCGTTGTCATTTCTGTTTCCGATGTGATTCTGGCCATGCGAAGTGTCGATGAAGGCTCTCAGCAATCCGGACTCAATGTTCTTCGAACCCTTCGGTAAGCTAACCCTTCTGTATCCTACATATTCGATGTAAAATGACCTTGAATATCGTTCGGGCTACAACTGTACCAAAAATCAAACAGAGCAATTTCGCCGATTTTTCGGAAAAATTGACATGAAAAGCCCCTTATTTAAAATTTAAATCTTTTATCATCTATCATTGTCGCGAAATTTTATCTTTTCTTCGAAAGTAATTTCATTTTCGACCGTTTGTTGGTATCCTTAATTGTTGCCTTTAATTTCTCGCCATTAAAACGAGTCAGACAAGACGTCACCATCGGCGTAATTGGCAACTTGAGATAACATGACATTCAGATTGCTGCGTGTCTTCCGACTTGCTCAAATGTGGAAGACAATGGGCCGCTTGCTTTCTATCATCTACAAATCCATTATGGATGTTGGATACTTGACGCTTGTTTTATTCATCGTTCTCTACATTTTCGCGGTCATCGGTAATTAGTTCTTTTTTCGTAATTGTCGGTAACCGCGATTGATAGGAAAGCAGTGCTTCGCGGATAAGTACAATGATATCGACAAGTTGAGTGAAATTGACATGGATCAGGCGCCCAAATGGAACTTTACCGATTTTGTCTTCTCTTTCCTGATGGTAAGTCTGATCAGGCCAGACGTGATTTTGAGCAGACTTGTCTTCGTGAACTTTGATAGAGACCCCTTTAATTTATGGGGAGGTGTCTGGAACCGACAACAAAATTTCGACAAATTTTGCGTGGAAATTTTCAACCAATCAGAAGCCTGGATTCGGCAAACTGGCCAATCAGCAGCCGAGTAGCCGCCTACGCAAAATTCGTCGAAATTTTTTTAACCTAACCCTAACCCTTTAGGTATTTTCTAAGGGTGTCACTTTGTTAAGTTTTTTCTTCAAGGCTTCCCTATTAATTATGATAATAAACAAGATAACTCTGGTCCAATTTCCTGACAACAGTTTGAAAGAAAGAGACAAGTTGGTGACCAATTAGGCTTTAAAAAAATGAATAAATATTTATGCTTCTCAATCACGAGCAGCGTTTTAATGAGATTTTCAGGTTTTCCGCGTCCTCTGTGGAGAGTGGGTCGAGCCACTTTGGGATTGTATGAAGCTCGCTGATCCGGCCACCTGTATTCCCTTCTTCTTGCTGATCACATTTGTCGCTAATTTCATGGTCTTCAACCTTTTCGTCGCCATCTTGCTCGAGGCTTTCAACATCGACGAGCTCAACAAAGACGACAAGAAGACCGCCTCCGCGAAGAAGCAAATCTTCGACGGAATCAAGCGCATCGGAAGCAGAGTCAAAAACACCATTCCGACTAGTTTGCGAAAATCGAAACGAAAGGATACCGCGGAGACCAACGGAGTCCATGTTCAACCAGCCACCAATGTAAGAAATTGAGCCAAAGAACTAGAAATTCAAGAGTAATTCCTCCGGTTTTGTCCTTTTGGAGCTTTGCGATTTTAGTAGAATTGACGACGAGGCCTTTATAATGTGCGAAATCATCATTTTTCAAAGCTCATTTATGAGATTTAATGATGAATGATAGTTGACCAGGTTTGATATTTTTAATTCAGGCGGAGTATTTGACCGAAAATGGAAACGATACTTCTGCGATGCAACTTGAGGATATGGGCGGCAACTCAGCTGTAGTGATGTCAGAAACTGAATACCGCAGCCGCAACAACCGCGACGAGAATAGCCTGAGCATCACCAACGATCGAAAGTGCTCGTACGCCTCGGTTGACATGCTCATTGGTAATTAACTCGCTATCGTTGTTGATTGCGACTTTTAATGAATCAATTCAGATGGCATTGGCAATCGCGAGGACGAGCCCAAGACAAAGAAACAAAAAGTCGACTTCGAAAACGACCAAGCTCGTAAAATGCGCCTCGAGGAAGAGCTCAAGAACATCGAGCCGCCGAGCTGCGGGCCCAGCTGGAAGAGCTGCGACGAAAGCTGCTGCTACACGAGCTCGCTGGGCAAGAGCTGGCACAAGTTCCGCGCTGGAGTCTATTTTGTCGCCAAACATCCTTATTTCGAAGGTTTCATCCTTTTCCTCATCGCTGCCTCGACTGTCTGCCTGACGCTAGAAGACAAGAACCTCAATGATGGAAAGAATGGCGCTCTCAAGGTCTGATTTTAACGAATTTGATCAATGTAAATAATTTAATTCAGGAAATTCTCGACTGCCTGGAGCTTATTTTCGCCGTTTTGTTCACCATGGAAATGGGCATGAAATGGGTTGGCTTTGGTCTTTGGGAATATTTCACCTCTTTCTGGACGGTGCTTGATTTCATCATCGTGTGCATCAGTTGGGTCGGCATTGGTGCTAATGCTTCAGGTGTCACTTCGCTGCGATCTATGCGAACGTTGAGAGCCCTCCGACCGCTGAGAGCGATCTCGAGATGGGAAGGAATGCGAGTCGTTGTCAACGCGCTCATCCACTGCATTCCCGCAATCGGAAACGTCATCACTGTCTGCATTCTATTCTGGCTCGTGTTTGGAATCATGGGCGTTCAGGTACATTAATTTTAACTCCCGTCTGTGCCTGCGTCTCAATCGCTTGCGCGAAAAATGTTAACAGAAAAAATATAAATAACTAAAACTCGTTTCTAGTTCTTCGCTGGAAAGTTTTTCTTCTGCGGATTCACGGAAAACCATGACGCTGCTCACGAACGAGTGGAAGGAAACTTCACCTTCAGTTCGATGGATTTCGATGGTTGTGATTCGGCAAAATGCACGATCGACCACGTCCAGCGAAGTGAAATCTGCGGCCTCGATGGAAAAGGAAACATGACCACGATTTCGACGATTCTTGCGAACCATCTTGGCAAGTCGATCAAGCTCAATGATGATGGTACTCCGCAGCTGCATCAAGGAACGCTAGGTGAGTTATTGATCCAAGAGACTTTTTATAAAAGAGAATGTAGACTTCTGTCAGCGAGACTACGATGTGGATGAGGAGGAGTTATCATTTGGAGAAGTCGAATGGGTAGACCAGTGCTTGGTCTGGGCCTATGCCACAAAGAGCAAGCCTCAGGATGGCGTCGACGAAGTTGCTTTCCCGAAAGGACAGCTCGAGTGGAGCAAACCTGGAATCCACTTTGACAACTCCGCCATGGCCATGCTTGCGCTCCTACAGGTAGATTTTAAAGAAATAATATCATTTTCTCAACATTCCAGGTGGCAACGTTCGAAGGTTGGATGGAAGTTATGGAAGCTGCAACTGATTCCCGCGAGGTCGGACAGCAACCTTCTCGCGACGCTAACAAATCTGCTTATTGGTATTTTATGATCTTCATTCTTGTTGGTGCATTCTTCATTCTCAACCTCATTGTTGGTGTCATTATCGAATCATTCCAAACGTTGAAGAAAAAGAAAGGAAGCACTTCGGCGTGTGATACAATCATGACCCCAGAACAGAAAAAATATGTCAAGTAAGGCCCATTCTCCCGAACCCAGGCGATTATCAACCATAAATCTTTAAACTTGGCAAATGAACGACACGGTCTATTCTGAGCGAATTTGAAATTTTCGTCTTCATAAAACTTATAATAAATTTTAAATTAGAATTTTTCTTAATGTTTTAGCAAAAATTGCCAGAATTGAAAACAAGGAAGACTAATCGAGATGGTCATTTTAGTCCGAAAAGTCAATTTCGAGGCACTAGAAAAAATAAACGAGGAGATTATCAGGCGCATTAACTTGAACTCCCTTTATCTTGAAATCTATTCTTCATAGAATCATAAACGACCTTCGAAAGAGGGCGAGTTTGTGTGGCAGTGGACATGGCATACGTACACTAAAATTGTACAAAGTAGCCCGCAATAATTTATGCCCAGTATCGTTGGCGATTAACACTTGGGAGTGGTGATCCGAGAATGTAAATCAAGAGGTCGCTCTTTTCGCAAATTAGTAATTTCCAACTCCAATGACCTTTACTTCCTCTTTACTTTCGCCTGACTCACGCTTCTTTCCAGCACGATGCAGACGCTCTTCTCCACCAAGCCGAAGAAGCACGCGCCCAAGCCCCACAATCACTTCCAAAAGATGGTTTACGACATCGTCTGCAAGCCGTACTTTGAAATCTGCGTCTTTGGCTTGATCTGTCTCAATATGCTCGTGCTCGCCTGTGAGCACTACGGAATGAGCAAGGAATGGGCCGATGGTCTCAGACTCGCTGACATCGTCTTTACCATCATTTTCCTTCTTGGTAAGTTGCTCGTGGAAAATTGCCTTTTGGCTTTCCTAATTTCGATAACGACATTCTGCTACCACCATAAATGTATATTTATGATAGTATCAAGTTTGTTTTATGTGTATGAAACCGGTAGACTAGCTTCACTACCGCCGTCGTTAAACTCGACTTCATCTTTTCATCTCGCTGTTTAGAGTGCGCTATAAAAATTATTGGATTGCGCGCTTACTACTTCCGCGATCACTTCAACAACTTCGATTTCATCGTCATCATGCTTTCCTCGATCGGCATCATCCTTGAGCAATTCCTCGACTTCTTCATTTCGCCCACTTTGCTGCGGGTCGTCCGAGTCTTCCGTATTTTCCGCGTGTTGAGGGTCATCAAAGCGGCGCGAGGAATTCGCCGATTGATGATCACGCTCCTGACCTCGATCCCCGCCCTGCTCAATATCGCCGTTCTTCTCTTCCTCGGCATGGTGATCTTCGCCATCCTTGGCATGTCCTCCTTCATGCACGTGAAGAAGCGAGACGCGCTCAACGACATGGTCAACTTCGAGACCTTCCCCAACTCAATGCTGCTGCTCTTCCGCCTCATGACCTCTGCCGGCTGGAACGATATCCTTGACCCTTTGATGAACGATGTAAGTTTCGCATATTGTCGATTTCCTATAGCTCAACAATCTCTTTAGCACGATTGCATCGCGCCCAACAGCGCGGCGGAAGGCGACCCTGGCAACTGCGGAAGCCCCTCCAAAGCAATCATCTTCTTCATTTCCTACATTATCATCATCTTCTTAATTATTATTAACATGTACATTGCGGTCATTCTCGAGCGATTTGATGAAATCTTCACTCAGGTACAAGCCGATTCTTTTGTCAAATTTTACTTCTAACTTCAGGAGAGCGTCGGAATCGTCGACGAAGACTACGAGTTCTTCTACAATGTCTGGGGTAAATATGACCCGAAGGCAACGCAGTTCGTGGACGTTCATCTGATGTCAGACTTGCTCCATGAGCTTCCGAAACCGTTCAAAGTCAAAAAGCCAAATGAAATCAAAATCGCGGCGCTACAGCTGCCCGTCATGGACGGTGGAAGAATCCACTGTCTGGACGTGCTTTATGCGCTTACAAAGCGTCTTTTAGGAGACATAGAGGTAAGTTCTCGGACATCTAGAATTATCAAATTCCAGAATTTCTCTTCTCTATTTTTGCTTCAGGTGAAGAAAGAAATGCTTGAAGATGTGCAGCGAAAGTTGGAGAAGGTGTTCCCCAACAGGAGAAAACTGTTCCCAGTGACAACCACTCTCGAAATCAGACAAGAACTCAAGGCCGCGACGGTAAGCTTTTGGCTCTCTCGAGTTTTATAACGATCTTCGTTTCCCCCAGGTGATCCAGCGTGCTTACCGAGCTTGGCATGACCGTGTCAGTCGGGCGAAAGTGAACGCCTTGTCGATACCCGTGGCGAACGTCTCGCAGACCGCCTCCGTGCCATCCAAAGCGCTAGTGTTCGAGTCCGAGCTGCTCGAGCCGCTGAATCCTCTACGAGAAGTTGCGGAGCGCGACCAATTCGAAAGGAACGGCGTTTCTCAAATTTAAGCTCTGAAAAACTAATAAAATGCATGAAAGTGATTGAAATGCCGTGTGCAGCTAACCAAGTGAGTGATCCCCAGTGCGTACGATCGAAACGCGCCACAGGCCCAATCTGATTGAGCTGGAGGCAGTTATCGAAGAGATCGACCGTTCACTATCCAACCCAAATGCCCAAACATGCTCTCAAGCCAACATGCCCGTCCCGACCTCTGAAACAACAACCACAAGCGAGTCCGATTGTGGATCCGCTTACGACTCCGCTTCAGCCGTCGAGTCCGCGTCCGACGTCGTCTCTTGCGCTTCTCTAAGGAGCTCTCAAGCTGGGGAAAGCTCATCCACCCAATTTTCTTAAAAACCAAGTTCACTGTTGCTTTTCTGTTCATTCAGCCTCAACCCTACTGGATCCAAACAAACTTCACCACATCAAACACAAACAAACAAAACCTTGTTTGAAACACTGTTTGAAACACGATTTCAAACATTGTTTAAAACAAACAAGCACACTTTGTTTGAAACATTGTTTGAAACACTGTTAGAAACGCTGTTTGAAACGTTGTTTTAAACATTGTTTGAAACAAACAAACACACCACCGATTTCACAGATCAACCTTCAAATAGTTAATTTCAAATACTTTGTAATTATAAAACGTGCCTTAATGTTGCCTCTAAATATTGTACAGTATGTTTAACTGAGTATAAAAAACACAGTCGACCCTCGGAGTCCTTCTCTAACTTAAATAAAGTGCGAAAAATCCTATTCTCTCAGAAAATAAATTGTAAAAAGCAAAATAAAATCGATTCTTGTTATTTTTTCACTTTGCAGGAAAACTTTCTAGATATGATTTTCGAAAACCATAATTCGCTTTCAATATAAGCTGAATAAAAATTTTCTATCTTTCGCTATTCATTGATAATCAGAAATTAAGCTTATCATTTAGTCGTAGAATTTGCTCACGAATAAAAGTATCCATATCATCTAACATAACTTCGCAAAAATATAATTCGCAGGAGAAAGAAGTTACAGTTACTCATAAATAACACTGTCGATCCAGGTTCGGACCCGAGCAACGCTCGCGTATCCGCTAGGTGCCCCAATTCGACAATCGCTGCTCGCCCAGGATGCAACCCCGGCCATCGTGGCTCTCCCTTGCTCGTCTTCGCAGATTAGTGGGCCGCCAGAGTCACCGTTGCAAGCAGAAGCCCGGCCGCCGTAACCAACACAGAGGGTCAAAGAATCTATCAGAACAGAGTATTGGCCGCACTTTTTTTTCGAGCTCATAAACTATTTCTTGTTTTACGGCGAAATAAAACAGTTAAAATTAAAGACTTTTGCCTGAGAAAAAAATTGAAAATAAGCCCGTTCCTGATTACCATCAGCGATCTTGAGTTCTGCTTCTTGCAGCTTTTCGTGATACTCAACCGGGTTGGCTTTGATTCTCCCCCAGCCGGCGATTTTGCAGTGTTCGTTTGAGAAGACTTGGTTCAGCCGAGGCAAGCAAATTGGCCGTATTCTTTCGTTGAAAGAAATCGCGCTTTCGCTTTTGACAAGCTCATAATCGTAAGTCCAAGTTTTAAAACGCGTCTGCGCAGCTTTCGGGTGACGCTTAGTTAGCTCAATCTTGCGCACTTCTGCGCTAATCGAGCTGCTTCGACTGACCGTTCCAAAAACTAGCTGATCGGTAGTTTCGACTTTGCAGTGAGCAGCAGTGAGGATCCAGCGAGAGTTGAGCAATCCCCCGCCGCAGAAATGAAATCCACTTTTTGTTCGAATCGACACAAGCCAGGGATGCTTTTCGGCGGTGTTGACGGATTGTCCGCCAGCGACGATGCTTGTAGCGCTGAAATTTGTGAAGCTGGAAGAAAGCTCGACCAATGAGCCAGATAGTGTTCGATTGTCATCTTCTATTTCTTGGCCAGAGACGAGGAAATGAATCTGCAAATCGTCGAAAGAAGAAGAATCGTCGATCGAAGATTTCGTTTCTGAAATTTGTTGAGCTGAAAAGACGGACACTCCGCATTCGATTTTCGCTGCTGCTGTTTTTGTTACTGTCGTTATTGTTGTTGGAGTTGGAATTGGGCAATTGGTTGCGAAAATCCACTTTCTGTTGCAGAAAAGCCATCGTTTATAGGATTTAATTGGTGGAGCCGCTGTCGTTGTCGTAGTCATTGTTGTCGTAGTTGTAGTAGTAGTTGTTGTTGATGTTTTCCTCCTTGTTGTCGTTTTCTGAAAAGGACATTTTTCGCCAAAAAACCACCTTCCATTGCATATTTGCCATCTTGATCCTGATCCTGATCGAGTTGTCGTTGTCGTCGTGCAAGTGGTTGTTGTTGTCTTCGTGGTCGTTCTTTGCTGACTAGATTTTGCCGGACATTTGAAGCCGTACAACCATCTTCCACTGCATTTTAACCAGCGAGACTTGGGAGCTTTTGTCGATTGAGTTCGAGAAACCGTGATTGTCGTTGTTGTTGGAATTTGCGAAAGCGATGGCTCGTTGGAATCGAAAGTCTCATTTTCTATCTCTTCTTGTGGGACTATGTAAATGCCCACAATAAAATGAAGCAGCGGAAAAAGTCGCGAAAAAATCATCGTGGAAAAATGACTCTGAAGAATCCCATGCACAGCAATTGCCTTATAAATGCTCATAACGGGATCGGACGCATCCACTTGATTAATTTTTCTAACGCGATTTTACACCGAAATTCAAGCCGGAACGATCATTAGTTGTGACGGTTACGCTTTCAGTCAAAGAAATTGCGCCGCTAATTCCTTGCACTTGCTTTTATTTCCATTTTTTGACAATTAGACCCTGATGTTTCTATTTGGTAGCTTCAGCATGGAACTTTCTCTAGTTCCGACTTTCTCTAGAATTTTTCCAATTAGTTTTGAAACTCGAAAAAAGGAAGCAGAACAGAGTATGGAGCCTTTTCCGTTCAGTGATCTTCCTTGGCTAGTAAAACAGTATGTCTGGCAGTGCCTGGACAGTAAAGACTGCTTCGGCGAAAAAATGGCCTTAGGTTAGTTTATTATTATAAAACTATTATTCGACAAACAATTAAGGCTTGGCTGAGCCACAACTGAAAGCGGCGATGAAACATTGGACTGTCCGGAACTTAAGTTTATTTGCAATAATCAAGTGCGGGATACTCTACAATGCTGAATTGAGCGAAGAACTACTGGAGATGCTCTTAAAGTAAATTGATATTTTTGACTTTTTGATTTGGTAATGAATAATTCAGAATGAAATCTACGATGGGGAATCGTGAGCGAGACAACTACCAGATCAAGAGGGGGTCCCTACGAATGTGGACAACCGTTAGTCCTCGAGAATATTGCTAAATCGTGGTCTTAGAGATTTGTTCATATTCGTAGGGACCCCCTCTTGTAGCTTATTCACGAACCGTTATTCACCGCTCAAGTCATTCGCAACAGATTTTTTGGCAACAAGACAAATTGTGAAAAAATAAAGACGATTGGAAGATTCCTGCAATTCGACGCGGATGGAAAGGTGCTAGACGCTCTCATAAACGAAGTTCTCGACGGCGACCTCAGAGAAACCGTCCGATGTATTTTTTCTCCACTTCCGTCCGGATCCGCGAAGAAGCCTGCCAGCGATCCAAAGGGAGCCGAAGGAATGATGGAGTCGAAGGAGTATCCTCCTCTTCCCACAATTTCGAAAACTGTTTATCGAAAATAAAATGAAAAGCAAATCAATTTTTGTCTTTTTTGATTTCGTTTCATTTCTATTTGTGCAAATAGTTTGGATAGTTGCGTTTCTTATCAATTCTTTTTGGTTTCTGCGGAGATGAGAGATGAGAAATTCGAAGATTTCGAGTCTGAGTAGTTTTCTTTTTGTATTTTGTGTTTATTGGAAATCGGTTGAGTTCGTTATTTTGTTCTTTTGGTGGAGTGCCCCGGGGCTAAATCCTCCGGTGGGGTACAGGCTGCGGTCAAAACAATGAGAGCCAGAGCCGCTTTGATCCGCCGCCCATGTCCCTTTGAAACCAGAGAGCCAAATCGACCACCCCTAATTTTTCCTTTTGCTTCAAACAACCTAATTTTCCGATTTTTGCCAAATTTCAAAATCAACCCACTTTCGCCCCTTTTTTCTGAACTGCGCAAAATTGCATAAAAAATAGAAACGATTTGTAAGAAACGAAAACTTTTTAGAGAGAACAAGAAAACGAAGAAAATTAAGAAAAAAAGAATAGTCACGTGGTAAGTGAGAAATTCTAGTTTTGAGAAGTGAAGATTGAGAATTGATTTTGAGAATTAAAAAAAAAAAAGAAAAAAAGGAATTTTTAGCTTTGAAAATTGGGGAAATAAATTTTGACTGAGACACCCTTAATATTTTTTATTCATTATGAAGGGACTGCGAATTATTTTTTGACTCGAAAGTTTTGAGTGAAAACTAAATAGTTTAATACTAATTATCGCTTATTAATTTAATAATTTTAAATGGTTCTAACACCCTTAATATTTGCTCAAGGTTTAAGGGGATCGGCTGAATACCATCTTAAATTTCCTGAATTTTCTGAATGTACGGCAAAATAAAGGGGATGGAGCGAGTTAAAGGAGAGACAGTGAATAGAAAAAACTCTGTTTTTAATCTGACTGTATCTCCTTAAACTCATTCCTACCCATTAATTTTGCCGTTCCTTCAGAATGGTGAGGAAAAAAAAAGGGTTTTAATCAGCTGATCCCCTTAAATTGTGAGCAAATATTAAGGGTGTAACAACCATTTAAAGATTATTAAAGCAATAATGATTCATTTTTTCGCAGATTTCGGAAGCTTTTCCGGTCTTCCGAATTCAAATATTGACTAGAACGGTCTCTCTTTCCTGCGCGGTACCCCTTCATTCGGCAAATATTTACAATTGAGAATTAAAAAACGAATCAATGCTTTTTGTGAAAAAATGAAGATTTCTTTACTTTGAATCTGACGGATTTAAAATAACAAACTCAAAGAAAAAATCGCCTTTCTTTTTGAAATTCTGCAGGCTTCTTTTCGGTGTGCCCAAAACACAATCGCCTTTTCAAACAAAGCACTTTTTATCCTGCTTAGTTCTCCTGCCCGAAGCGAGAGTTTGAGTTCTTTGGAAAAAAACAAGGCAGAATTTGAGAGCTAGAATTTCAAATATGAAGATCGAGCGATACACCGGGCATTTTGAAGGGTTCTTCAGGTTTGACCGACTTCAAATACTTAATTTTAAGGGGGTAGACCAGGATTGAGACTGATTTTCGAACAGCCTTTTCTCTTCGACTTATCGTAGTGAATCCCTTAATTCTTCCGCTAACAATCAATTCAAGCCATTTTCTGAAGAGAAAATCTATTAATTTTAAGCTCCTAGAATTTAGATAAGTGTCCGAACTTCATAATTAGCCCAAAAAATAAGGGTGTCTCTATGTCAAATCAAGGCGAAATTTCGAGCTATCTTTTTCTGATTATTCTGCTCGATTCGAGGAGCCGAGTTTGCTCTCGAGGAGCATTTTTCCATTGTTCTTTTCAATTTTCAATTTTCAGCTTTTCTTTTTTCAAAATTCGAATTCCGAAGAATTTCTTTCCTTTTTTCTTATTTCGATTTCAGAGTGATGTCATGGCTGACTGGCTGCTTTGGAGCAGCGAAACGCACCGTCGCCGTAGAAATCAAGTTTCCCGACTCTTCAAGGCTCACCATCACTTATTCGGTAAGCACCTGTTTATCGCGCCAGTTTAATCCGCCACGAGCTAATTTTAATTCGGAAATCCTCTTTAAAATTTACCAAATTCAAGAAAAATTCACAACTATTTCGAAAAATGAAATTTTGGAAATATCTTTTTTGAATATCTATTTTATCAATTTTCGAACGATCCGTTTTGTAGCGAACGGCGCGAACCCGTCAGCTGATAACTTCTGCAGTTGACCATTTACGACTGAAGCGGGAGGGTGAGTTCTTCGGCCTCGCTTACAAGGGCAAAGGCGGCTGCGACCACTACTTGGACCCGAATCGGACTCTTTACGAGCAACTACCCAAAACTGCGCAGAATCAGCAGAAACCAGCGCTCAAGTTCCGAGTTCGCTACTACCCGCCCGATCCGCAGCGATTGAAAGAAGAAGCGGCGAGGCACTGGCTCTATCTTCAAATTCGCTCTGATTTGCTAAACGGCGATCTTGACGCTACCGACGACGCTGCAGCGGAACTAGCTGCTTACGCCGCCCAGGCAGAACAGGGCGATTACGGAAACATCAAAGACGGCGAATACGACCAACTGAAACTCGTCCCACGACAAGTGCCAAAAGGATGGATAGAAGAAGTGAAAACGTGTCACCGCCAACTGGTCCAACTGAGCCGACAGGAATCCGAACAACGCTTCTTGTGGAGAGCCAGGAAGTTGGAGAAATATGGAGAACAGCGCTTCAGACTGCAGCCACTCGCCGGATCGACGAAAGAAGGAGAAGCGATTCTTAGTGCACGGGGACTTGAGATACGCCTCGGCAACCCAGAAGACGGACAGGTTAGTAATAATAATTATAGCTTCTTGTATTCGAAACCTGAAAATTTCTCAGTCCGAAATTCCAAGATTCTAACTTCTACAGATTTATCGACAATCTTGGCGAATTAGTCGTCAATTTTGGACAGAACGATAAATTTGCGTTTTCCAAATTCTCAAATGGAATTCTCTTTCTTTTCCAAAGTGAAACTTATTGAACAGTCAAACACTCTCGATTCCGGCCTAGCCGTGTAAAAGCTCGCTTTCTTCAAAGAATTCAATTCAGAGTCAGTTTTTCCGCTGGCGACACATCACACAACTCGATTATCGCGAAAAGACGTTTGAGCTGCGCAGTCAGAACGGGATGATCATGCCCGCAAAGACGATCGATAGAGCTTCGTGCAAAGCGCTTTTTCAGCAAGCGACGGGTCATCACAGTCTATTCAGGTACTGTCAGCTACGTTTTAGGAACTTTATGAAGATGAATCCTTAATCTTGGCGGCTTCGATTTAATATAAGACGCTGTGCGGCTTTTCATTTAAGCACTTCTAGGGTCTGACTCGGATCGCCATGCCGAGGGTTAACCTTTTGTCAAGCTCTTCTTTGAGTATTTACAGTATTAACAGTACTCTTTTCCTAAAGGCACTACAAAGAGCGAGAACACGACCGTGATGCGTCAAAATACTCCCTCCAGAACAACTTCGACCGTTCAAATCAATCTCAACGAGCGAGCAAACGCGAGCTGGGAATGTTCACCGACAAGAGGTAAAAACAAACACTTGTTCAAAAAATTACATATTTTTAAAGCGATGTCGAATCCGTGGCCGGGCGAACGACGACTGGATCAGTTAGCCGTTTCCCACCCGCTAAAGGACGAAGAAGAGCCAGTAGAGAAAGAGGTACAGTAGTTTTTCTCTTCTGTCTTGAATATTGAAAGTGAAAAAAGTGAAGAGAGCAGTATTCCAGCTGTCTAAAAGTCAATTTGCTCTATGACCAGCTGACCTCTTTTTACGGGCAAATAAATTCCGCCCGCCAGATTCAATCAAGTCAGAAAGACATTTTCATAAGTTCGACTTTCAGGAGCGAAGACATCTGGAGACGAGTCCGAAGTGGATTCGCGAAGAAAGAGAATGCGAAGACGCGAGCGAGTGCGAAATGCAATGACGGACACGGAAGCGATCAGAAATGATCCTCACTTGAGGTTAGCTCTTTTAAATTTCAGTTGGCGCTTTACCTGAATCCCTTCTTAGCAAAAACGCTCGAGCTTCAACAGAGAAACTCGTCCAGCCGCAATTTCCATCGAGCGCGTTCCAAGTCCCTGCCCGTTCAAAAAGAGCTGACCAAGAAGCGAAAACTGAGCTTTGGAAGAACATCGAAAAGGTACCCTTTTTCTTCCCTTCCTTTTCTTGACCAAATCCAGGAACTGATCGAGCCCGGACAAAACGGCATCGAAGACCTTGCTTTTGTCGAAGTCACGACGAAGGGAAATCCACTAGCAACGACAAGGTAAGACAATAATCATTAAAAACGCGACTTTTTAAAACAAAAAAAAAACTAGGCAAAAGCAGAAACGCCATCAACAAAGCTCCCAATACGGTTCGACCGGGCGGGTCAATTCCGGGAACGCGAGGAGAAGAAGACGCGATAGAATAGAAAGAGCAATTGCCACAGATTTGGAAGAAGCGGGCATGGTCGGACCTCTACCAGGTAGTCGCTAGTATTCTCCATTGTCTTAACTGTCTTTTAGTGACGGCTTCTGTGATCCAAGACGACCGTGGCGCCATGTCCGACTGGGACGTAAAATTCTACCCCGGGCGCAACCAAAACCGCAGCGGAGGAAGTCACAATCATCGCAAACCGCTGGTCGAAAACGCTAACTTCTCGCCAGTCAAGCGTCAAGAACAGCGCCCCGGCCGCAGCAATCACAACTCAACTAACAACTCAAACCACCATCAGCACCACCACAAGCCCTCGCCGCACAGAACGCATCAGAATTTCAGCAGCCACAATTTCAGTTTCTACGGCACGCAAGTCTAACTTATCAAACTCAAAACTAAAAAGAAAAACGTTCAAAAATGCAACAACGAAAACTAAAATCTACAATTTCTGTACCAGCTTGACCCTATTTTTAAAAATAACAACTCTTTTTTAAACAGAAAAGGAGAGAACGAGAAACTACTGTACTTGCTAAACACAACGCTATCTTTCGAGGTATTCCGTAACTAAAAAACGACTCCGTAAATGCAAATGATTCTGTGAATTTTGTAACAAAGCTAATATAAAAAGAAAACAACACTTCTGTAACTAAAACACAACGCGAAATAAAAATCATCGTGTACTGCCTGAGAAATAAAAAAATCCACTGTCGAGATTGAACTTTCAACAGTCCACTGGTCATCGTTTCAACACTTGAAAATTTCAATTGAAAATAAAGCTCATAAAGCATCATGCTTTAAATTAAAAACTACTCTGTTTGTTTATTCATTTGTTCAAAAGCAGAATTCAAGCAGCATCAAGCAACCATTTCTGATCGCTCAAAACCGCCGTCTACATCTCCCTCGAGTTTTTTCGCCATGTCGTTTCCGTTCTCGAACTTTCTCTTCATTCCAATATGAGGGGTTAGGGGAATCACTACTGCCGCCCGAGGATGAGCTTAAAACAGAAAATTATATACATTATATAGACCAACCATATTTAACAAACTAAATTGAAATGTTAAAGAGCGACACTAGAATTTCTAATTTAGGAAGAATTTGCGATGAAAATCGATTTAGAAGTAAAAATGTATATTTTTTATGGTCAGATTCAAGTCAAGTCAAAAGAAAATCACAAGAAAAATGATAAAAACATTCGAGAATTTTATTCAGAAAACGTTTGACCTTTTTTTTGTTTCATTTTATGAATATCTATTCCGTTTTTCGGCTTTATATTCCATAGAAACAGCTGGATAGCAGTTGCGCCAAATTTGATCTTTGATGCCCCTACTTTCAAGTATTTCGGCGGATCAAAAGTGCCATCGAAATACCGGCATTTTAAAAGCACAAGAAGTTCTTACCTAGGACTTTTCCTGGTTCTTTTTCTATTAGCTTGGCCTGCTTCTTTATCATCGCTTTTTGATTGTCATCGTGATATCCGAAATCGAAAAGGTACTTCAATAATTCATTTCTCTAAGCACCAAAATGGTCTTACTTTGTGTTTAATCATGTGATACCAAATGCAAAAAATGGTGTAAGCAACGCATCCCCAAACTGCCGAGCATCCAACAATAATGACGCAAATGTAGAAGAAAACGGATTCCCTGTCGATGTGTCTCTAAATTAATCATGTTTTTTAGTTATCTACGATCACGCTAGAAATATCAACTCAGCTTTTAATTCCAGTTCTTTATACAAATTTACGTATATTCTCGACTGCCATTTGTAAATTATATATCAATCTGGGGGTGTTTTCACAAGAATTATGGTCTTCAAAAATAGTCTCTAGAAATTCCAAACTAGAATCTCATCAAAAAGGGCTCTCTTTTTTGTCTCTAAATTCAAGTTGGATTTCGACTGTACCTGAGTAGCCAGGTCTATGATCATTCTTCCTCGATACTTTGACAGTTGAACTTATGCTTCAGCGAGTGTTCTATCTTCTGCGAGGTATCTTCGGCAGCGTGCCCTTCACTTCACTTGGAATAGCTCTCTAATAAGCCCCGCTTAGATCGATGTAATTATCCTCCGAAGACGAAGTTTTTAATCAATTTCCAATCGGCACAAAGTTCCCCATAAATCATCTTCCTATCTTATTAAGGGCCCTGCCTTTCAATTGTCTTCCTAGATTATTGTCTTCTCTCTTAAAACATCAAGACAACTTTGGTAGAGCTCCAAGATCGTTTAAAATGAAAAATATACTGTATCTGATATACAGTAACTGGTAAATTGGAGTGTCGAATCATCATTTTAGAGATTTTTTTTCCAATCAAGTCATTAATTAATGAATTTATTAATTATAAAATGAACCACTGTACATCATCATTCAATGGACAGCACTATCATCGATGGTGCTACATTTCTTACTGTCTTTTTACTGAATTTACTGGGAACTTTCGTCACGTAGATAGAGTGGAGGGTAAAATTGACGATTGGGAAGGCGCGAAAGTGAGAATTTCATAATGAAACCGTGATTTGAGGGAGACAAGGGCGGGTTAGCTCAGTGGTAGAGCACTTCACTCGTAATGAAGGGGTCCCGGGTTCGAACCCCGGTCTCGCCTTGTTTTGCCGAAAATACACTAGTTTTTCGTACTTGCAGTCTGTGGTACAAACTGTTCTTTACTGTACTACTTAGTTCTTCAAAAGAAAAAACTTCCGAAGTCGTTTTTTATGTCTATTTATAGTTAAATTCGTTTATTTACTGAAAAACTGCAAGTTCGGACCGCTTCGTGAATTTTGAGAGGCGAGAGGGAAGAGAGAGAAGGCTTGGCTACGATTCCTACCTGTTAGACAATCGAAATCGGACTCAAAAATGGGATGAGTACTGAATTAAGGTGCTCGATTTCGAGGTCGTTTTGTAGCTGCGCATCACTAATTTCACGCTCATTTGAGAAAACTGCGCGGCGGAGGGCGCTAAATGAAGCCAATCCACGTAAGTTAGAAAAAATTATTGAATAGTAGATACTGAAATCGGACAGATAACTGTCTGATTCTAATTCTATCACTTCGGACCGGAAGATGGCCAACATCTCAGACGGTGTCTCGGACACGCGCTCTCGACAAACAGCTGCGTTGTCGAACAACTTCATCTTCAGCTGACTGTTAGCTAGTACTCACTTCTAACTCTTTCAACTTCTTCAGTAGCGAGAGACGGGTCAGAGGAGAGAAAATGAAACCGACATTTTCTATTTTTCTGCCATTTTTGGTGTCCGTTAGCGCCTGGCACGGGGGAACAGCTCCGACCGGAAATCCAAATAAGACGAAAAATCCGAACAAGACTCGAGACCCGAACAAAACTAGAGATCCGAATAAAACCAAAGCGCCGGACAAAACTAAGGAACCAAAGTTGCAAATTTCTCTGAAATGAAAAGCAAGACATTCGTTTTCGGAGTCTGTAGCTTACATATTCAAAGTATCATTTATCTCTTGTAAGAAAATCAAAACAAAACGTCTCTTAGTTTCATTTATTTTCGTTGAAAGATGTATATATCGATCATCGTCAAGTATACAGTTCAGCATTTTATAGATTGACAGAAAATGAGTCCGTTCTGGCATTTTATACTTTTAAAAACTACTCATGATTGACCGCGATCTGGTCATAATTCTTTGGATTTCTCAGGATAACAAACTAGAATAACAACGAAAGTAACGATGATAGCAGGCCTTTGTCCGGGATTTGAAGCTGTTCGCCACGGATGGCGAACAGGTTATCCGGTCAGCCAATCACAAGACAGGATTCTCTTAGTGGCGGCGTAACCCCGGATTTGAGTCTGCTATCATCGGTATCACTACTTACTGCTGTTGTTTATAGAATAACCTAGCTCCGAAAATTCGCAACTTTTGAAGGGGCCGTGGACTTGGACGCGACCAAGACCAACAGAGTACACTACTTATGCTTGGACGACAACTGTTTATCGCTCAACAACGACGCCAACAACCACAACAAAGAAAACTACAACGACGAAAAGAACAACCACGACGCGAAGGACAACAACAAGATCGCCACAAGGTCATCATAATGGCCACTGCGATGATTTTTCAAAATTAGAGAATAAAAAATGCAAGTCTTTTTGCAAAGCGCTTCATGAAAAATGCCACTCAACTTGCGGGCGAAAAATGACTTGCGAAAACAACTGCGACTATCGCTTGACACTTTGCGAAAACGAATGTCCCTGCGAGCACAATTGTCCAAAGGGCTGTCCTTGTCCAAATCCGTTGTATTACAAGTGTGGCCCGAAGAAGCCGGTTTCTTGCGAAGAGAAACATGCTCAAGAAATGAAAAAGTGCAAACACGATTGCTGGGAAGATGTTGGAACGTGCATGCTAAAATGTCCAAAGCACGATGAAAAATGCACTGAAAAATGTTTGATGCAGGATCATTACAACTGCCTCGTTAAAAACTGCCCTTGCGCGCCTCCTGCGACCACTACCACGACGACTACAACTACAAAAACAACGACCATAACGACCACAGCTACTACAACGACAACTACGACGACAACAACTACAAAACCGCCGCTAAGCTGCGAAGAAAAGCATTACTACGAAATCCGCGCTTGCAAAAGAACTTGCTACGAAGAGTTTCTCCATTGCCTCCAAGTCTGCCACAATAAAGGAAATGGCGAGGAGCAATGTCGAGATAAATGTGCCTATGCGGATTTTCCCTTTTGTCTCCATCTTTGCCCATGTGCTGATTTCGACGCTACAACTACCACAACTACGACAACGACGACTACCACCACAACGACTACCACAACTACAACGACGACCACCACGACGACAACTACGACAACGACTACGACAACGACTACTACTACGACAACTACTACGACGACCACAACGACCACAACTACTACAACTACAACAACGACGACAACTCCCTATGTTCTCCGCGATGACGTCATGATCAACCATGTCAATGACTATCTTCTCAGGACCGAGTTGAAAATTTATCTCATAAGCTCAAAAGAAGGATTATCAAAATCGTTGAAAAAAGAAGGTTGTTTCATGACTCGTGAAAAAGCTCCAACGGTTTTGAAAAGTATTTCTCCTACAAAGGAAGAACTCCTTCTATCTGGCGCTTCCTAGAACCTCCAAATCCGAATACGACAACGCTTTTCGTCGGCTGCAAAGAAGAAGGGGATGAAAAGTACAGAGCAGGAGTGGTTGGTCCGATCAATGTCTTGTTCAATCAGACTGTTTTCAGTAGAAAAACTAAGGTAAATATTTTCAGAATTTTCAATCGCTCATAATTATCTGCCATTTTAGCTTGACCACGAGTGCTTGAAAGAGTGCGAAAAGGAGCCTGACATTGTTGAGTGTAAAGAAACTTTGTGCCCTCCTCGATGTGAGCAAGAATGCAACAGAGACGAAGCAACGATTAAACAGTGGGAAAAAATGGAATCGCTTCCGAAGTACAAGACTTGCCAGCAGCAGTGCGAGTCTAGCTGCAGACGTTTCTGCGCCAACGCGTGCAAACCTTACTGCAAAGGTTAATTCAAAGAACTCAAGCCCAATTTTAATCCAATTTCCCAGTCACCGAACAAGCTCTGCCAGTAGAAGGAAGCAGCTACTTCTGGTACTACTCTAAGAGCTCAAGCGAGCCGATGGGCTTCACTCAGTACTCGAACATTTATCTCTACGACGGGGACATTTTTGACTGCCACAACAAAAACAAGAAAGCAAATACTTGCGGCCCAAGCGAGCTGCAAAATCATAGAGTTTCGTTTTTTACTGGTAAGTGATAAGATAAAATGACTGTTCTTATGATTAACTCGTTCAGATCACAAGGACTTCAGTCTTTTCCGCTGCGGCCGATTCACGCGATTCAACACAGAAAACTTCGAAGACCGCTTTGTTCTGGATATCTGGTTTTCTACTGACTTTTACGGAATAAATTAAAAAGCGACCCTTCTTATTGTTTCGATTTGATTAACTCGAGTTGAAACACTCAAGTGGATTCAAGCGTCATTGCTTGTCCTGCTTTGTTTGTGCGTTTATTAAATTAATAGGCTGAGAACGGACGAGTCCGATTACTTCCGAGATGTCGGCCAAAGTGGCCCTGTACCTTTCAGAATGACGAAAACAAGTCAAAAGTTTCATTCAAAGAGAACGTCGAATGAAAGTTTCAAAACGCCGATTTTTACTTTTTCTATATTTCGTTTCCGCTCAGGAATGCGGATCAAGACTGACAGAGCCTGTTGGATTCATTCAATCGCCGAATTATCCGACTCCCTATCCGAATAATTTCCAATGCAGCTGGATTATTGGAGCTTCTCCTACAGGTATTTTTTTTTCTACCGACCGACCCCCAAATAACGATCAGTTTCATCGAGCCGCGTGATTGGTCCAGAAATCGCTCTATAAATGCCTTTTTTCGTGCTTATCATTAGCCCCAAACTTTTCGAGTCGAAATTCTAATGAAATTTAGGAACCATAACTGTCAGACTCGTTTGACTAATTGGGTCTTTTTTGATTGGTTGACCTTCAACTTGCACTATGCATGTTACGATGATGATCGTTTAGGGAATTACTGTCAGTAACTGTCAGTATCAATGGTCACATTGATATCATGAGTGAAAGGAACTAAAGAATAGTTCGTAAGTTTTTGAAGCCCATCTTAGGTAGTGGTGGACCTGGACATCACTGATGGGCTATAATCTGAATTCATATGAAAAGACAAGATCATGAACAAGATGTTTAAAAAATGCATGATGTAATTGTCAAGAGGTTTATTACTGCATATATTTATATGTATTCTTCAAGTTAAAAAAACAAGATATCACCAGAATAAATAAGGGATTGAGATCAAGAAAGCAGGTGTTTTTGGGATAAATAATAGGTAAATTCTTCGGTTTCCATGAAATTCTCCGCTGTGAATTTGATAGGGCGGAACCCGCGCATGCCACTGTAATCAAAATATTAATAAAAGTTTATTATACCGAAAATAAAGAATTTCGCTATAATAAATTTTTCTTCATTTTTGTGTTCATTTTAATAACTGGTCTTTGGCTTACTTTTTGTCGACTTATATGTTCAAAAATTGCCATCTGGCGCTTTCAGATGGTCAAAGAAGTCAGCTTTTGGCGGCGCAGGCGGAAACAATTATTGATTTAAAACTTTGATCGGAAATGACTGTTCTTAGATACTGTAACAATCAGCGCGGAAGGATTCAACGTCGAGCCTGCTCAAGGATGTCTCTTTGATTATGTAGAGTTGCAGACTTCGACATTTACAGAACGATACTGTGGCCGGACATCCCGAAACTTTGGCGAAAATAGAAGCGGGCAATTGACAACAACTGGCTCCGTTCAGATCGTTTTCCAAAGTGACGCTGGGGATGCATACCTCGGCTTTCGACTTCGATACGAAATCACCTCTGGCGAAAGTGCTGGCTGTTCCAGTGAACCATGCCAGAATGGGGCTGAATGCCTCGATTTAGGAGGAGGCGATGTGATTTGTTTCTGCACTGACGGCTACTCTGGCGATTTCTGCGAAATTGGCTCCGATCCCTGCTCAAACTCGCCTTGCCAAAACGGCGCTCAGTAAAAGTTCGAAAGCTTTTGTCTTTCCTTTTTTTCAATCGTTGTTGAACTTTGATTTTACTGCACAGCACTTGGAGTCGGAGACGATGATTTTTCATGCCAATGCGTTCCTGGCTTTGTGGGCCCGTTTTGCGAAACGAATGAAGATAACTGCCGTATAAATTTGTGCGAAAATGGGGGCCAATGCATTGATAGGTTAGTTATTTTCAAGAGATGATCTCATTATTTATTACGATTTTAGATTGAACAATTTTGACTGTATCTGCCCCGCTGGTTTTTCTGGTCCTCGCTGCCAAACAAGTTTGCATTTTCTAGTTTATTCTGAAAAACCAATCCCTTTTTTCAAGTCCGCGACCCGTGTCAGCCCAACCCTTGCCGAAACGGAGGCGCATGCGAATCCCGTCAACTCGAGTTCACCTGCTTCTGCCTTGGCTGGGAAGGATTCCTCTGCGACCAGCCTATTTCTGAAGAATCTGAAGACACTTCTAGCAGCATCAGTTCCAGCTTTTCCAACGAAACATCTCAGAACACGACGAATAACAATTCATCATCTGGATTCAGCAAATCTGTGATTGTCTACGGCGCTGCTGGAGGTGGCGGGATCATTGTTCTCGGCGCTATTGCTGCTGCCGCGTATTTTTGGAAAAAGGTAGAATAACGAAGGATTTAGGGCTAACGAATATTTCCAAATAGAAAAAAACGTCTTCCAAAAACTGGGTGCAGCCAGTCAACACACTCCCAAAAACCATCATCGAAGACGTCGAAGCCCCTCCAGTTGCTGATGCAGAATTGAAGCGCGGCGTAAATCTGCTCACTTCAAAGACAACAACTCACGCTAAAACGTCCATGCCTCGCTCAACAATCGACTTTGGCCAGTTTTCCGAGCATCTGTAATTTATCTGTAATTTTTGCTTGCTCATTGACATTTTTTCTTATTGTAAATAATTTCCCACTTTGAAAAAAAATACATTCTAAAAATCAGTTGAAAAAGAAGTTAGCTCGTTGGTTGAAAGAGAATCGGTCCCTGTGATAGCGGATTAAGCCGACATTTATCCGAAATTTACTGTAGTGCAGAGCCAATAATCGCATGTTGAGAATATAGATCCAGACGGGCGCTACTCCCTACTGCAGCTGCGGCGAGTACAGAAAGAGATACGTTGTTTTTTTCTCGCAAATCTAGGTAAATCGCCACGCGCCCAGGAGAATCCGGAGACGTCTCAGAAAAGAGAGAGAGATAGAAAAAAGAGGAAGAGAAAAGAAATGTGTCTGGGTCTTTTCGAGTGCCTGTGAAATGAGATGGCCTGTTGCTGCTTTCACTGGTTCACCAACGTTGTCGAGCCCATCTTTGTAGGCACGGGTTAACCCTTTTTCATAGAAACTGTCTAGGGGGAAGATAGAAGAATTTCTCTTTTTATTGCTAGAGAAATTAAGGGGGTCAGCATCTTAATTCAAGGACAAAAGCTCTCTTGAAAAATCGATGCGTTAGTATTTCCGCCCTTTTGAGGTCAATGTCGAATAACCTGAAAAGAAGAAAAAGAGGATATAAACGGAAAAATGACGGAAGAAAAAAAGGACCGCCAAGAACGCCTTCCCAAACTCTCTTCAACTGACGTCGTGGTCAGCGATGAGCCACCAGCTCAAAATGGATCGAGAGATTCTGCAAATTCCGAATCAAGTGCCAAAGTAAAACGACACGTCTTCAGAAGAGTAAGTTTACCGGAAAATTACAAGAAAGCTATATTTTCGTCTGTGCGATTGAATATATAGATAGTTTCTTTTGTGAGAATTTGGTTAATGCGGGTGGTTTAGCGGTGGCGTGCCATGTCCTCTCGTCGGAAGGGGCCGGGCACGGAGCCGGTAAATCGATCCCTGGATGCCGTTTCCAGCTCGCATTTGGCCGTTCGCAGCTCGTGTGGCCAGGCAGTGAACGAGTGCACTTGCCCCTTTGCCAATTCCACCACGACGGGGCCCTTCGCCAACACATCTTACGTCGAGCGCAATGGCAGACGATACAAGGTCATTCTCGAGCCGGTGGTGGAGACAACGAAGAGTATCGCGCCGTACAGAAGACATTCTATTGAAACCCCGGGTAGAACATTACATCCACATCGTTTTCTTAACATGTTATAAAGAAAAATCATTTTCTCTTCATGGATTTGATTTGCCAGAGCTGGTGCCTGAAACAACACGGAGAATGTACTCGGAGTATCCTCAGCTAAATGATTTTCTCAAACAAGGAAAAGCTCCAAAGCAACTTTTATTTTAAACAAATGAACTGATTTTTGGAGCTTTATTCTAGCGCAACTGAATGATTTTAATTCCACGATGAATTGGATAGTTGAAATACGCGATCGGTTAGTCGAACTCGAGCAGATTTCTTCTTCAACTCCGGTAGGAAAAATCGACCTTTCTGATGATTTAACAGGTGTCTTAGTATCACATTCCAAAAGAAGTACTTCACACGACGCTGAACACCGCCGTCGAAGCCTTTTCAAAACTACTCAAGAAAGACTACCAACGATTACAGACAAGTCCGAAGGAAGAAAAAATGAAAGTTCTTCCGGAGCAAATCCTGACCTGGCTAAAGTCAACTTTTGGCCAGGAAAAGACAGAAACCGGAACCGACAAGAAACGGACCTTCCGGGGAGTTGTTGCTGCTATGAGGATTATTTATGGATTCAAGGGGAAGAAGATGTCGCTTCATCAGTCAGGTAAAAGTAAGAAACAAACGAGAACAGGAGTTTATTTTTTTCTCCAGCAGATGAGATTATGACAGCGATAAAATTATTTTTTGCTCAAGATGTTATAATGCTTCATGAATCATTCAAAACATACTTTTTCTCCTTAAAAGTAATATGAAGGCGGAGAAAAAAATAAGAATATGAAGTATTACTCAAAAAAATGAAACACCATAATTTTGTTTCTCATTCAAAAATTCAGGTCATTCTGAGATGGGGATAGTTCGAAAAAATGACTCTTTACGGCATAAAGGACATATACCCCATTGTAGAGGGATAAATAGTCATATTTTACTTTTTGATACAATTTTACTTATCTTCACTGACTTGAGAGAGCGATTTACCGTCTCTAAGGCAGGACCTTAAAATTTGAATTCTAAGAAGGAAACGGTTTGAAGATTCTCGTTATCTACTTCTTTTATTTAGTTTTCGCGCTGAACTCGGACTCCGTGGCGGAAGTGATGGCGACGGTGAACCTGTATCATTTCAACGTCTTTGATTTGACGGAAGCTGGGAACGGGAAGGGAATGCGCTACTTGCTAGGAGAACTGCTCGCTGCTTACGGTCTCATCGACAAGTTCGACATTCAATTCGACACTTTGGTGCGCTTTGCCGACCAACTCGAATTCGGCTACAATTTGCACTCGAATCCTTATCACAACTCGCTGCACGCGTGTGACGTCCTCCAGACCACGCACTATCACATCCACGCTTCGGGTATTTCCAACTGGCTATCAGGTAAGACACCGCGTTTATTTTAACGAGTCTATCTCTTTCAACAAAACTGACATAACTTTTCAACGTTAGACATTCGAATTTAAATAAAAAGGCTCTTTTCTTCCTTTTAATTTAACCCTTATTTCGAGTGAACCAATCTTCTAAAATCAGAACTGGGCTCGCCAACCTGCGTAAAAACCTGAGTCAGGGTTTCAAAGAATTTTTATAAAAAGCCGCGCAGCGGCTTTTACGAAAACGAAGCCGCTCCGCGGCTTCGCCAGTATCTTAAAAATAGATCAAATTGGAAATTTCGGCTTTCTCCCGAAGCTTTTTCCAATCCTGACTCAGGTTTTTACACAGATTCCGAGCCCAGCACCTGAAAAATCGATTTTTCCGATGAAAACCTCGTTTTGTTTTCTTGCCGAGGAAGTCGCCAGTCATTTTGAAAAGCTCTATCTGATCTCATCTTTCAACAAAACTGAGATAACATTTTAGACATCGAAATTTTCGCCATGCTTTTCGCCGCCGCCGTGCACGACTTCGAGCACACCGGAACCACGAACAACTTCCACGTCCAGACGAAGTCCCGACTGGCGATGATTTACAACGACCGATCGGTTTTAGAAAACCATCACTTGTCTGTCGCCTTCCGGCTTCTTCAAAACCCGGATATTGACATTTTGATGGGTTTATCGAAAGACGAATTCAAGGCAAATTCATCATTTCGTAGAAGTTTTTGTTTATCGTTTTTAGGATTTTCGATCGCTAGTTATTGACATGGTTTTGGCTACTGACATGTCTCTTCATTTTCAGGACAGCTTTTCAACCCTTTTAAGGGGTTTTAAAGGGGTGGTGTCTGGAACCGAGAAAAATATTTCGACAAATTTTACGTGGAAATTTTCAACCAGTCAGAAGCCTGGATTCGGCAAATCGGCCAATCAGCAACCGAGTAGCCGCCCACGTAAAATTTGTCGAATTTTTTGTCGATTCCAGACACCATCCGGGATGGTGCATCCCGATTTAAGGGGGTATCGATTTAAGACATTGAAACCCTTATTTTTATGGTACGGTTTGAAAAGCCCAATTTTAGCAAGTAAAGACAATGAAGAAATCGTTGAGCGACATGAAATCCATGGACAAGGGAGCTGTCATGTCTTTCATCGTCCATTCCGCTGACATTTCCCATCCGACGAAGACTTGGGAGCTGCACGAGAAATGGACAGCAGGGTTGGTCGAAGAGTTCTTCAGACAAGGCGATGCGGAGAAGGAAAGAGGTAGAAAACTAGCCATTTCCATCCCTAAATCATTTTCTCCTAGGTTTGCCGTGCTCGCCACTTTGCGATCGAGAAACGACGCAGGTTTCGCAGAGCCAGATTGGCTTCATCGACTTCATCATCATTCCTACGTACACGCTGCTTTCGTCGATCTTCGAATCCGTGAACGAAATGCTTTTGCGCGAAGCAGAAAGCTTGCTCCAGCGTTTCCGGGAAGAAGATTCCTCGGCGCAAAACTCGGAAGAAACGATTCTAGCGCAGGTACTGCATAAGCTAGTAGGGAGAGAGTTAGATTCTAGGCTGGGTAGAAAGTAGCTAAGTCTGTTAATTTTCAGAGAGTGAAGAAGATCGGCTTACAGGGGCTCCGCGTGGAGAAGTTCCGCGAGATGATCGAGCGCCAGATCTCTTCTAATCACGAGACGTGGAGCCGCCGCGCCGCAGAGGACAAACACTGTACCTCCTAATTTAACAACTTTAGACTCGCAAATACCTCCAATCAAGCCAACTTCTAAACCAGCCAAAACACTTTTACCTAAGTCTTAATTTAATCTCTTCTCTAATAATAAGCAAAAGAGGTAAGAACTCGACTTGATCTACCCTAATTCAAAATTTGTCGACATCCTTTGATCCTCTTTTTTTCCAAATTTTACATAATGACACCCTTATTTTTTTCTTATCAAAAGAAAGCTTAGGCCCTTATCTAATTCCCTATTAGGCCAAAAGTCATCTTTTCGAAGTAAAAAATAAGGGTGTCACTACATTAAAAGTAAGTTGAAAAGTCGACTTTTACAGTTGTAAGAAATCAGGCTCTAGAAACCTCTTGACTTCTTTTGACTCTAAAATATTAAACATATTTTTAAACTGAAACTTATGACTTGAAAAATGGCCCTATTACTAGAAAATTATCTCTGTACAAAACCGCGTATTTCTAAAAATTTCTGAAAATTTGAAATAAAAAAATCTAAAAAAGCAAGAAAAGCACGCAGTAGACGCATGAGGCGGCAACTAAGAGAAGGCAAAGGAGAACTAGGTGGCAAATAAACAACGATTTTGTTTAGAGCGCTGAACATGCTTTTTCGTCACTCCATGCGGTTTCCATGCTTTCTTTTCATTCTTTTCATGCATTCAGCAGCGACTCAATTACGTAAAATCAAAGAGAAAAATCGGCTTCTCAAGCGGATTTTTCTCGAATAGCTAACCAAAGGACACCCTTATTTTACGGCTACTACCGTTTCTCGCCCAAAAACTGCTACAGTCATTCTTTTTTTTTGAAAGCGCGCTTATTTTCTGAAAACAATCGCAAAAAACAAGAGCCACTCTAATTGTCATTCTAACAAGTTGACTGGCAGACAGTTGCATTTTAAATACTCGACAATTTGAGCAAAGCAGCAATTTTCAAGTATGCGAAATTAAAATTGCCACTTGGTTGAGCGTGTTTTCGGACTCAACAAAAAGAGAACAGCGCGAGTAAAATTAACATGGTGACACCCTTGTTTTTCACCTTCTGTTATTAGCTGTTTTAACCAATTTCAATGCTTCCCTAAAAGCCTGATTGATAAAATTTACCAAGATTTTCGGCCCTTACTATTTAAATTTGAAACAAAAAATTCCAGTAAAAGTAGCGATTTTATCAAAATTAACGATTTCCAATTAATTTATTTATTAGATATCTTCATGAAATTTGAAATTAAGGCTTTTAGAGCTACTAGATAAGTGTCTGAGCTTTCTTCTGGTAAGTTAAAAATAAGGGTGTCACTAAGTTAAATCATGAGAAAAAGCAGCTTGAAAATTGGGTTTTTCTTGGTCTTTTCTCTTAGGGTTAGGGTTAGGGTTGGGTCATCAGTAGCCCTGGCTCTAACCCTAACCTTAAGGGTGTCACTATTTTAACTCTCATTGAATCACCATTTCGAGAATCGTGTTTTACGATGTCAACTCGAGATGTAAATAAATTTGTCGAATAGAATGTCTAGCTCGATTGCGTTGGTTCAGGAAAGATCGGACTTGAGTCTGGATTCTTTTAAATTTTCGCGGTTTGGCGGATTTGTTTGAATGCGTTGTTTCTGTTGTTTACGCTTCTGGATGAATCTGTTTTCGTGAAATCGGCGCAGCATTTGCTCAAGCACCGGCCGCCGCAAATGTTTTTCCTTTTTTTTTCAAAATGAATCAAGTCCACATTTCCAATTTTCAAAATTCTCTCAATCTGTTGAATTGTGTTGTTGTTTGTTTTATATTTTTGCTAGCACTGGAAATCGCCAGCTATAAAACAGACCGTTTTCGGGCCATTTTGAAAATTCACTTTCGAGTTTTCGATTATCATTTTCTTTTTGAAGAAAATTCTTCTCTCTTTTGCTATTCTTCTTGTCTTTTTGGAAGATCTACTGGATAAATTACAGTCTTTCTTCATAAGAATGGATAACTAAGGATAATTAGGGTTAGGGTTAGGGAATAGTTGGCTGGGCTCGGCAACCTGTGTAGAAAGCCTGAGTCAGGGTCTGAAAAAGCTGAAATTAAAAGCCGCGCAGCGGCTTTTTTAAAAACGAAGCCGCTAATACTACCATTACAATCTATCAAAAATTTTGGCGAAGCCGCTTTGCGGCTTCGTTTTTAAAAGCCGCTGCGCGGCTTTTAAATTCAGCTTTTTCAGACCCTGACTCAGGCTTTCTACACAGGCTGCCGAGCCCAGATAGTTGGTCATTTACAACTGTAGTTTCGTACCTTTATGACTGTACTTTGCTTAGATATGAGTCCTTAGTACAGAAAGTTGTTACTGATAATACCAGAAGTGCGGTGTAAAAATCACCATGAACCATCACCATGTTAATTTTGGCACTGTAAACGTATTTTTCAATGGATGGCAATTTCGGTATTTGGAATACAGAAGAGCCTGTAGCCTGGGATTGCCTGTAATGAAGCATTTTTTTCCAATTCAGATGGAAAAAATAAAAAAAAAAGAAAATAACTTTTTTAACTGAAAGTGGCGTTTGTTTTGGGGGCTATCAGCAGATCAGGTGGCTTATTTGATGGAACTTGATTGCTGATTGAAAGTAATTTGATTTCTGACGCTGTTTACGAAAAATAAAGAAGTCACTAACGGTGAGATCGGAATGAAGGTCCCAACGCATCGCCAAAGATTTACAAACAAGCGAGACGCAAGCGCAAAACAATCAACAACTATTTCTAATTCACTGCTTCGCCGATTGAATTCAAAATTCTCAAGAAAGCTGTTCTCGTTTCGCTTACAAGTACTTACGTAGTCATTCGATTTCGTAAATTAAGAAGGAGCAAGTTGCTTTTGATCAAATTTAAAATCGTTTTGAAATAACTCGATTTGCTGCCCCAAACGGCTGGAGCGTAATTGACGTCAAAATAACGTGGCTAGAATTTGTTGATTGGCGGCTGCAGATTCCGTGGCTTTGGACTTACATCACCCATGCCATGACTGTTCGACCTGTAGTTATATTGACGACCAGAAGAGAACTCTGCTGGTTAGAAAGGGCAATTTTGCGGTATTTTACAAGCATCTTAAAAAACCTAAAAAAAAGAACGTTTTCTAGACTGATTTTTGTTATTCTGAATTTTTCTGTCTAAGATTTTTTCTGGTAATTCTCAATGACATCTAGTGGAGAAAAATAAGAATTTATTAAAAATTTTGACCGCTACTTTCTTCTGGTCGCAAAAAAAGGGAGATGTTTGGAACCGACAAAAAATCCAGACAAATTTTGCGTGGAATTTTTAACCAATCAGAAGCCTGAATTCGGCTTACCGGCCAATCAGAAGCCGATTACTGGGCTAAGCCCCCCACGGAAAATTTGTCGAAATATTTTTGTCGGTTCCTGACGCCACCCATAAGGGCATCGCTACATTAACTACCCCTTCGAATCCGGTTTTCTACTGCTCAACTCTAACTACTGTACCTCTATTTCTATTTCAACAACCAACAACTCAAACAACCGACTACACAACAACCTCAATTCAACAAAAAAGAGACAAGAACACTTTTGATTGAATCAAGAAAATTGATTTTATTCAGATCGCCTTCTTGTCGATTTCTTCCTTTTTCGGAAGTACAGGACAAAAATATTCCGTTTGGAATAGAAATTCCGATGCCTGGAGACTCTAAATATAGTCAGAGTTAGAAAAAAAAAGTACGAAATCAAATTACCTGCTTTATGCGCGCTTCGGACTTTTCTACTTTTTCGCCCTTTTCGTAAAAAAGCAAAATAGTGAATGACAAAAGCCAAAAAACAATCATTGGTTAGGACCGATTCTAGAGAAATTCGAGAATTCTTAGAATTCAACAACAAGTCATTCACGTTTAAAATTGACACTGTCAATTTGACAGTTTTTCGGGAATAAATCTGGTTCTCGTATCAAGATCGGTACGAAAATTGGTATTTGGTACGAGAACTCGTACCCGAATTTGGTACTGCGGACGAAATTTCGTACCGAATTCGTTTTAGGTCGGTTTTAGCGGAAAAATGGTCGTATTTTTCGATTTTCGGCACTTCTTTGCTTTTATTGACAAAATATACTGTAATAATAAGATTACAGTATCATCGTTTACTGTTTATGATTCTAGAAAAAAATAATTTTATGAGTTTTTCAAGAAAAATTTTGAAAAAAAATTTTTTTGCCGATTTTGATCATGTGATCTTTAGGAGCGGTTTTTTCTGCTTATTGCACATGATGCTATGCGAAACAGTACCGTGACGGCGTTGTTCGTTTTAAAATCGTCTAGCTTCGTTAGAAAACAAAAACAAAATAGCTATTTTCGTAATTACAGCGCTCGAAATCAGCGCTCCCCCGCTGCGTATAAAATCCTCCCCTGCTCCTCTCCAAACCTCATCTCGAATTATCACAGACTCAAAAAAACAAAAACAAAGCGAGAATAAAAAAATGCAATTTTCAAAGATTCTTTTTTTCATCGTTTCCGGCAGCGAGGCCTTTCCCAGAGGAGCTTTCATCCCCCCAGCCACCGTCAAATCGGCTGGCGGCTTCAACTTCGGCGGCTTCAGCTCAGAATTCACCTCGTTTCTCAGCGGTTGCGGATCAAACGTCAAGTGCATCAAGAAGTTCTTCGGCTGAGACTGTAACTGACCGCCACTTGCATCAGTAGATTCCGTCACATGACATGTGATGCTGCTACAAACCCTTTTCTAATTTATGCCCTGAACGAGTAGTTCGACCACTATTGCTAAGATTTAGCGACTGAGAGGCTACTGTAATTCCCCTTATTTAAAACCCCTGTAACTGTAACTTACTGTAACCCTTTTTCTTCTAGCCCTGATTGAAGATAAGCTTGGCGGCTTAACTTGAGAGACTCTCAAGTCCCAAACCTCGCCATCTTCTTTCTCTTTTTTTTTATTTTTCTTTGTTGACTGAAAAACACTAACTAAAACTGTTGAATAAAAAATATTTGAATGAAAATCAAACGTGTTTATGAAAATTGGAAAGCGGCAGAAATGAGATGCTTGTTTGGAGTTCCAGCAAAACAAATGCGGCTACGTTGAGTTGGAGTTTTATATAACAATATCAACAACGAGTAGTTTTCAGATTTTATTTTTTATTGGGACTTTATTTTACTCTTGTTTGTAGTAATTTTGAACAGCGCAGAACGTCTATTCGGGAATCTGAGTTGCGGGTTGTTGTTTTCATTTTAAGAATCTCTCTTTCATCGGATGAATTGTAGTTGGAAGTAAACCCACAATCGGCGATTGTCAATCGCGAGTCGTATGTTTTAATGCATTCAAATTTTCATAATTTATATCTCAGGATTCTCTTTGAACCTAGAACAGTTCTGGCCAACTGCATCATTTTGAGTACTTATTCTTTATTTTTCTCAATGGACTGAAGAATATCCGAGTGGCAACCGCTGAAGATCGTAAATGGAAAATTGTCGCTACCACGGGCTATCAATTTTATTTGAAGAATTATTGCGAGTTGCGATAGTAAAAAACGGCTCGGTCTTCGCTTATTAAAAATAATTGATAAAGTTCAAACAAGTATCACTTATTTTCATTTAAGAAAGGTCAATCAAATCAAATCAACGTTTATCTTCTGAGTTTTTCATTAAAAGTGTTAAAAAATGTTATTTCTTTCACGCTCAAAAAACTATGGCAGACTGGCTGAACTGAAGTTTACACAGTATATTTTATTCATTTTATTTCATAAGACAGGACTTAGAAGTTATGGATGCCAAGTATAAAATTACTCAAGGATTCGCTTTCATTTGAAGACTTCAGTATTAGTGAATCAGTAATAGTCATTTTTTCTCCTTGTTCATTTTCTCTGAAGGATTCTTTTTGCTTTGCTAACCAAAATCACGAATTCATTTTGAATTTTTACAAACAAACTGGCTCGCGAATGGAAAGTTATTGCTGCTACGGACCATCAATTTTACTTGAAGTTTTACTGCCACTTGAAATGGCAAAAAAAACATTAATAATGTTACATTGTTGGAGACTCTTAAAGATTTAGAAGGAGTACAGTGAGGTCTCAGTCAAGATGGACTTTTACAGAACAATATCATCAAAGAATTTTTCTTGTTATTTATTTCACATATTTTCGAAGACAGTAGTTAATAACAAAACACTTGGTCATGGATCGGTTTTCATTTAATGAATAAATTTTTACTGATTATTCTTAAGAAAATCAAAACGATTACATACATGGTATTTGTAGAATAATGGCTTTCATTTTATCGCTTTTCAAAAAAGTTCATTTATTCTCTGTGAGCAATTGTAACTTCCTTGAAAGGATACACATCTCAAAATGGAATGAGTAGTTTTCAGATTTTTCAATCGACATTGATTTTTTAGGTAGTTTTTAACATAAGTTGGAGATTGCATCGTTCAAACACTGCATGATGATCTGTTACACAGTAGTTCGGCAATTTGCTTTCATATAAAAAAATTGTGATTCATATTGTTTTTTTTCTTATTTTATAGTTTTTTTTTATTAAATTATTCAGTTTTTAGTTTCGAGCTAGCAAGCGACGATAATTTTTTTAAAAGCTTCTTTATATTTTAAAGATTTGAAAATATTTATTGCAGTGTGAAACCACCAGACTTGTAGACCGGGTACTATCAAAAGAATTCATTTTATAATTTTTTAACAACTATCAACCACGTAAGAATATCAGAATTAAGTACAGAATTCATTTTAAAGTTTCACAGTTAGTTTTTAATGTCTTCATTTTCTTTTAAATTTTGAAAACTAAAATAGTTTAACACATTTCGTCGATTCGACAAGACCATACGGCCATACAGAATTCATTTTATTTTTTTCAAAGTGATGGTTAAAATAATGGAATCTTCCGAAGGAATATTTGCAATTATCTTTTCTCTCTCATCATTTTTTTTTCTCAATTGACTGGGACTAGTTTGTAACGAGTTTTAAGTGGTAACGATCGTAAATGGAAATGTATCGCTACCACGGGCCATCAATTTTATTTGAAGGATTATTGCTAGTTGCGATAGTAAAAATAAGGTTCGGTCTTGACACCTCTTTTTTCAAGTTCTGATGATGACCGCTTAGTCGAAAGATCAACAATAAAATTAAAATTAAATTAATTAAAAAATAAAAAATTAAAAAATAAAATTATTTTATTCGTATTTTCATAAGACAGGAATTAAAAATCATTAATTGTTCAGTAAAATATATTGATAATTTAGACACAGTATAAATAATGATCATAATGACACACCAATGCCAACGGGATATGAATTGGCTTTCATTTGAAGACATCCATAATAATCATTTTTTCTCTTTTTTTCAAATGCTCTAACAGCTCCCTATGATTGGCTATTTTGACAAGAATCACGAATTCATTTTGTATTTTTCAGTTAGTTTGCTTCTACGAATAAATTGGCTCGTAACAGGAAAGTTGTCGCTGCTACGGACCATAAATTTTATTTGAAGGTTTGCTGCATAATTGCTGCATTATTGTTGGAGACTCTTAGGTTTAGCTGCAAAAAAGCAAAGAAGGAGTACAGTGGGGTCGATTGAATTTCTAAAGCATATAACAGTGATTACGTAATGAAGTTGTGACTTTGGCTACAGAGCGGCTTTACAGTGTTTTTGCTGCAATTTATGGGCACAATAAACGAAAAGGCATTTGGGATTAGCAACGACAGGTTAACCTGTCAGCGCAAATCCCTCGGCATGGGTAATTTACTGGCTCATTTTAATTTCAATTTTGAGGATTAATCTCGACAGAAATTGACGCTCAAAAATGAGAATTCCTGTCGCCTTCTTTTTTCCTCTGAAATTTTGTTTTGCCACAACTCAGAAGTTTCAAGAGAAACTTTACTCTGATCTCTTTTTGGACTACAATGCTCATATTAGGTTAAAATTCAAAGCAAAAATGTTATTTTCGTTCATTTTCGAACAAAATTTGAGTTGATTATTCGAATAAAAATTCTCTTTCTACTGTTTTTTGTCCGTTGAAAACCTCTTATTTTAGGCCCGTTGCTGAAGATAGTGGCCCCGTGAATGTGTCTATTGAAATTTACCTCTACAAAATTCTCGACCTAGGTAAATTTTAAACTTGGCATTTGCGTTTTTATTTCTAAGAAAAGATGAAAGAAACCAGATTCTGAATTCCTACCTTTGGATGCGCCAGCGCTGGCAGGATCTTCGACTCAGCTGGGACGAAGAAATCTACGCTGGAATCAAGGTCTACCGCCTTAAAATTCAGTCGCTAGTTTGACAAAGATTCAAGGTGATTCGACTGCCGCTTGATCTTGTCTGGACTCCTGATACTGTTTTGATGAACAATGTGGACTACTACAAGCACCTGGGCTCGGCAACCTGAGTAGAAAACCTGAGTCAGTGTCTGAAAGAGCAAAGTTGAAAAGCCGCGTAGCGGCTTTTTTAGAAAAGAAGCCGCGGAGCGGCTTCGCAAGATTATTATTCCATCTTGTATCTAAATTCTGGCGAAGCCGCTTTGCGGCTTCGTTTCTAAAAAAGCCGTTACGCGGCTTTTCATCTTTGCTCTTCCAGACCCTGACTCAGGTTTTCTACTCAGGTTGCCGAGCCCAGACAAGCACGACGAAAAGACCGACGCAAACATAGTCGTCTACTCTGACGGAACAATCGTCTGGGACCAGAGCTTGATCACAAAGTCCAGCTGCCCGATGAACGTGCGTTACTTTCCTTTCGACTCGCAAACTTGCAAGAATTTGAGGCGTGAAAATGGCAATTTCTAAATTCTAACGCGTTTTTAACGTTCATTCATTTTCGCCGTCGTTATTTTGAAAATAAGCACCTCGGCTAAAAGTACACCTTTGCCTCGTGGAGCTACCCGAGCGGAGATATGCTTTTAGTGGACAAAAATGGAAAGGGCATTTTGGACGATTTGAACAGCAACATCGAATGGGAAGTGGAAAGCATGCCGCTGGAGCAGTTTAATGCTACGTACTCTTGTTGCCCAGATAATGGTTAATCTACACGCGGAAATTGCTATTTGCCTTACTTGCATAAGAAGCTTAGATAACGCGCCAGGAAAGAACCACTGATTAGACGATGTGTATCCGACACTGGACTACTCCTTGAATATTCGACGAAAAAGCCGATTTTACTTCCACAACCTGCTAGTGCCTTGTATCTTGATTTCCATGCTTTCGCCTTTTGTCTTTCTATTGCCGGGTAAGCAAAAAGAAGGCTACCTCAGTTGGCCAATCAGCAGGCCGATGATCGCCTTGATGAAAAGATTCGTTATACTGATGAGGCACTGTATGATTGTAATTTCTATTTCTAGCGGATTCTGGGGAGAAGGTATCACTCGGAGTAACGATTCTCCTTTCCCTCACCGTTTTCCAGCTGTTGGTGGCGGAGCAAATGCCGCCGAGCGAAGACATTCCGATCATTGGCGAGTTTTATTTGTATACAATGGCGCTTGTTTCCACTTCTATTCTAATCACCATCTGCGTCCTCAGCCTCCACCACGGCCCTTCTGATCCTCCACCAGGAAATTTCATTCAACCACAAAATAAGGGAGTCACTATCTTATTTCTAGTAAAAGAACCTTGTTATTTGCTTGAATGAAATGATCAAAGTTCCAAACTGGCTGGCGACGCTGACGAAGATCACATTTGTAAAAGCAATTTCTCAAAAACGCCGCTCAAAACGTGATGATGGTTTCCGCAGGTGCAGTGCAATTTTATTTCCATGTTTTATTTCAATGTTATTACAGCGTGGTACAGAAGATTCACACGATTAGAAGTGGCTCGCAGCGCACTTGCCAGGTTTGAAAGGTTGTGACAACAGCACTTGCTTGACGAACGCTTTTCAGAAGTCGGCCTTTGCTGCTGCTAAGTGGAGGACATTTCAGGAAAACGTGGCGCGATACTTAGACATTTGACAGAAGCAGTGGGAGTTTAGAAATCCGCGTATTCAGAGAGAAACTATTCGAAAAAGAAGCACTCTCATCGACCAGGAAGCTCAAACGACGGCGGATTCGACAGCCAAAGAAGGAATCAATCACGAAAAAGTCGAAGAAATGAATGAAAAGGTAAAGTATCTTTTTACTTTGTTGGAGTAAGACTGAATTGCAGATAAACGAAATCGCTGCGAAAATCGAATCGATGGATAAGTACTCGGCAAGAGTAGAAGATTGGCGCGAAATTGCCCGAGCCCTTGACAGGGTGTTTTTACTGGGTTACATTACTGTACAAATTGTGCTGACGATAAGTGTTTTCAGAAGCGTTATTTTTTCAAAAGATAAATTTGCTTAAAAAAAAGATCATTTTTTTCAAAGTAAGAAGGTCGCTTTATTTAAGTCTGCTCTTAAAGAGTTGGTGTTAATGATATGCACCCCCTTAACGATGAGATGCCTTCTTCGCTGGTTTAACTCTTAATAAACTTTCTGTAGAAAAAGCGATTATGCTGCACGCTGTAGCCTCGTGCCCTAAAATTTGCTGTTTTGAACACTTTGCAATGTTGATGTTGATCCGCGGAAGTACGTACTGTGTCGATGTGGCGTTAGTGCTGACGGTGAGAAACAGCGTCCGGTGGAGTAACTGCACCACGTCAGGGCAAAGAGGAGCCCGTTGGTGGCGCAAAAGGTACCCGACCGCGATATTTAACGCGCCGCGGCGGAGAAAAACTAGAAGCTCCACCGCATTCGACAATACGTAAGAGAATAAACATTGCGTTTTTTAAGCCATTAGAGAATTAATTTAAGAAAAGGCCTATCTTTAAAACATATTTTCAGGTTGGGTAGGATGAAGCTGTCAGTCACTCTTCCCATTTTCGCTTCGGCGCAGAATGCCCTCGACATCGCCCAAGAGAACTTCCCGAACAGCCGGGTCTGCGGCATGCTCAATGGATCCAGCGGATCACTCAGCGAGGACGTTACTTTGGACGTAGATGAAGCCTGCATCTACCGAGTTCAAGCGCAGGACGCTGGAATCATCCAAATCAACCTCGCCGAGGCCGCCGAATTCGACTGCAGCGAGATGTCCCTCTACATGGTCACTGAGGACTCCGTCCAGGGTCCATTCTGTAACGAGGGTCGGCACAGACGTGGCGCCTACGACTACAGCTCCGGCTACTCTGGCAACGACAACCACGAGGTCGACCTTGTCTACACCAACAACGGTGGCATGAAGTTCAACTTTAACTTCTGGTTCGATTTCGAGCTCCTCCCAGGCCTTCCTGGAGCCGCTCCACAAGACGGTTACAAAGAAAACGTCGGCAGCTACTACAAACCAAGCTACGGCAACGACGACAAGCCATCCTACGGCGAAGACGAAAAGCCTGATCCAGGATACACCGCCCCAACCAAGAAGCCATACAAGACTACTGCTGCTCCTTACAGTGAAACTACGACCAAAAAGTACAAGCCTCCAAAGAAAACAACTTACAAAACCACCACTACTACCAAGAAGTACAAGCCAACAACTACCTACAAGACCACCACTACTAAGTACGAACCTGAAGAGCCCGCCTACACAACAAAGAAGCCAAGCTACACCACCAAGAAGCCATACAAGACCACTGCTTACACTACCAAGAAGCCTTACACTACCAAGAAGCCAAGCTACACCACCCCATACGGCGGCGGTGGCAGCAACTACATCACTTACAAGCCAAGCGGCGACTGCCCATGGACCAACTCCCCAACCGGTGATTGCGCTGGCAACGAGGGCAAATGCAACCTCAAGTACTTCCGCGTCTGTGGCGAGGACTTCTTCAACCGAGTCTACAACGACGTCTGCAAGTGGCAAGACGCCAAGCAGCTCATTCCTATGTTCACCAAAAAACTCGTCCCACTCGGTAACCAGTTCGAAAAGAAGTTCGGCAAGACCTGCACTGGTTACGGTTCTCGATCCATCCTCGACCTCATCGGCGAAGACTCCCTCGATGCTCTCAACGAGAACGAACGAGACGTTGCCCGATGCGACGCCGAAGCTGGTGCCCCACCATGCGAACTCCTCGACTTCAGCGACGTTGATACTGCTCGAAAGTTCCACTACAAGATGGTTGCTCTCTTCGAAAACTGGCTCAAGAAACACTGCAACAACGAATTCCAGGTCCACTTCAAGGCCCTCTTGATCCGAATGCAGCACTCGCTCTTCTGCGACGATGGTTCCCAGCCTGATCACGCTGGCTACACCGTTTCCGAGGCTCCACCACCATACGATCCCAACAACGACCCATACAAGCCAACCAAGGATCCCTACACCAAGCCACCAAAGCCATACACCACCAAAAACCATACACCACTCCTAAGAAAACAACCTACAAGCCACCAACCTCAACCTACTGGCCACCATACACTCCACCAGCAGGCGGTTACACTGGAAAACCCGACGGAAACGGTGTCTACCCTGGACCAGCTCCAGTTAACAACAAGTGCCCATGGGCCCAGGATGACTACTTGAGCCACCCAGATTGCCCCGGCACCAACCCACCAAAATGCAACTTGAAATACGTTGGTCGATGCTTGAAGAACACTTTCAACAAGGTAGAATATTCATGCGAAAAATATATTCATTTACTGATTAATTAAGGTCTACGCCAATATCTGCCGATGGAACGAGTCTGTCCAACTCCTCCCAATGATCATTTCTCCTTTGATGATTCTTGGACGAACCTGGGAACAGGCCACTGGCACCCAATGCCTTGGTTCTCAATCTTCTCGATTCATTACCGGCGAGTTTGAAGACTACATCGAATTTGCTGATCTCATGGACGGTAAGAGAAAGTCTCTTGTTTCTCGATTAACATAAATTTTCAGCTCTCGACTACATCCCAGAAGAAGAGGATCGACGACGACGATCCACTGCCCGAGAAGTCGCCTCTTGCAAAGTCCATGCTGGTAAGAAATCGAGAGAAAGGAGTTTTGTTTACGTTTTCAGGTGTGATCAATTGCTCCGTTTTGGACGGTTTGGCTGAAGTCGAGAACGAGCAGGACTTGGCTGGCTGGATCGAGAAACTCGTCAAAGTAGTCGGAAACAAGTGCAACAACCAGTGGAAGGATGACATGAGCATCATGGCCAAGCGATTCCGAAACTCTGTCACTTGCGCTCCTGGACAGGTCCCCGGTCCTTAATTAAATCACTTTCTCCCTGCATTGCAAATACCAAACTGCCTCTGTAGAGAAAACAAACTCAATAAAACTCATTTGAGAACGAAATTTCGCCGAAAAAATGAAAACTGAAATCATAGAGGAGAGTTTCCTTCCTTTCGGTTCAAAGGTTATTTTCCCAATTTCTTTCTGAATTTTACAAAATGGTTGAAGAATCCGAGGTTATCTTCTGGAAGAAAGAGGTTTCTTTGCTGGAGGACTTTTAGTCAACAACGCTCCGATTGGCCGAGTCAAAACTAAAGAGAAAAAAAAGGATTTTACGAATTTTATTCTATTTTCCGTAATTTACGAAAGGAATGCTCAGTGTGGGAATTTTCCTTCTGCTTTTTTGTTTTCATTTTCCAACGGTTTTCGATTTTCGCGCAGCTGTGTGCGAAAAAATCTGTTTTGTTGAAAAAAAATGCCCAATTCAGCTTCAAAATTACGCTTTTTTTCAGAAATTTTGAAAGAGAATTTTTCTTTAGAGCAAAAAGAAGTCATTATCTGTACTTTAGCATTATTCGCATAACAGTAGGTAATGTTCTTTATTCATTTAGACAGTCGTAAACAAGGAAAAACAAACAAACAACTGAAAAAATGCCTTCTGCTGAAGAAATGGCCGAGGCCTACGATGCCGGCACTGCCGACGATCAAAAACTCATGGGAGGCTGCGGAGGTAACTGCTGCTTTGTATAATTCTAGCGATTAATAAAATAATTCAGGCAAGCACCGAACAAAGGCCGAGCAAGGGCAAAAGCAAGCTGCCAACGCTGACCCTTCGAAGAAAGCCGTTTCCGCGATCGTCGCCGGCGAAAACGCGCGAAAATCGACCTAACTCCAAGTTCAAGCTGTCTGGGTTTTCAGAACCTTTATTCAGCCCAAGCATCGTGTTTCTCCCCTGACAACAACAAAAAAACATTGACCTGTCCAAAAACACTTTCATCTTTCTTGAATTTCAGTCGAATTTAAATACATGTATGCTTAATTAATTAAAATCGAGTTTCAGTGTCTTCATAGCAAAGAAGATTTTCCAGAGATAACATGAGGGATGCAATAGTCGCGAACAAAGCTTGTTTTCCGAAATCTCTGATACAAGACTTGCATGATAATCCGGGATAATCACTAGTATCGTTGTAGGAATCAGAGTTGGTAAAAAAGTATACTTCACTCGCCCTTCAGAATGAAGTATACTTCGTGAAGTATACTTCAGGGCGTTGAAGGGCGTGAAGTGTACTTCCGCCCTTCACTCTACTTCAACTTGGTTCTGTCGGCCATCAGAATCCATCCGCCAGAATTTTTCAAAGTTTGCGCTTATTGGCTCTCAGGCGCCATAATTTAAATCACGCTGATTGTGACAGATGAAGTGGCAGCTAAAGTTTTCGATAAGAACCGATAGCGGAAGTATACCTCAGCGCGTGAAGTATACTTCAGAGCCATTTCGTACTTCACCGCCCTTCAAGAATGAAGGGCGCCCTGCAGATTTTTGAAGTGCGGGGGAAGTATACTTTTTCCAGCTCTGGTAGGAATGCTTTTTTGCTGAAAAGCGACATTTTATCAATGATCCCCGTCTCCGATTCGTGTTGTTTTTAAAATTTTGAATAAATTTATGGTCTTCATCGTTCAATCCCAAGTCGAGGGATTTTTTTAGTTCCCACTAAAGTTATGATATCTCAGAGAAATCTCTGTTAGAAAATCAACTTTAGGATGTCTACCCCCTTAATACAGTAGCTGTGTTGAGTTGTTTGTATCCTACTAATTGACGTCCCACTAAGTTTATTACTCGATTGGGCGCTTCCGAACTTCCATTGTTTTCGATTTATTTCGACGAGTGCGCCTAGCAGGGCGTCGATTTTGTAACAGTAGTCTTTGGACCTTTGGACCAGCGAATTAGTGTTTCAAACAAGCTCGAGCGCGCGTGTTGTTAGGATTTGGTTTTTGGTTTCTCAAAATTTAAAAGAAGGGGCCTTTAGCGGTTTTCGTTATCGGTCCTGGCGACTTCCGTGCGCAAACAGCGACCATTCTGAAAAGCAACGAAAACTGGCTCCTGCCAAAAAGTGCCACGCCCGCCTCAACTTACTGAATTGTTATGGTAACAGCTATGGCTGTAGGAACTGACCAACAAGTGTCTTTCAGTCTTGACGTATTCCTAATCCAGCGGATGAAATCGAAAGTACCTTCCTTGAAAATTTCGCGTTCTTTATTGACCGAAAAATTCTAGTTTTTTATCGTTAGGATTTAGTAGGTTTGAATGACGTACCGTTGCGGCACACCAATATGAGATCCATATGATTATGGTTTCATTTTAAAGTCAAATTGTTGATAATCATACTTCAATTTAAATAAGTCAAAATAAATCCGCAGTTATGGTTTTTGTACGCATCCCTGAATTGGATATCTTTTTCGGCTACCTTGATTCAGAGAAGCATATTAACTAAATTGAAGTTAAATTATGTATTTCTAGTGCTTGAAAGTCGTCATTTCAGACAAAATGCCGATTTTGCTCATCTTTGAAAGGACTCGATTTTAGTTGGCTTTTCGTATTTTTGCTGTGGGAATGTTCCGTCGCTGTAATAATTGAGAATTTAAACAAGAGCCCCGTGTGTGCTCGAAAAAACGGACAAAGAGTCTCGGAAAGAGCTCAAACATGAGGAAAACGGGTGCGTTTGCCAAGCGTCCACTGTATCAGCGTTTATCAAGCTCGCGCTACGAATCGGAGCCAGCATCCAACTGGCAGCTGCTTTCCGAGGCCTAGAATTTTGGACATGCTTCGTGCTTTTTCGATTTTCGAGCGGTAGACGAAATATACAAATTTCAAACTTCGAGGAAGGACTCATCGCTTGAAATTAGTGTAATTGAAAGCGTCAGATTTGCTGGTCTCAGATCTGTGCCAAAAAGGATTGTTAGCGGCAATTAGACCGGCGAAATACCGTGCTTGACTGGAGTTGATTAGGGAGATTTTGATCCGTTGCGCAGCTGCTCGGGCTGTCAGAAAGTGTGCGAATAACTTTGGCAAATATTCGCCGAGGTGCCTGTGATTTTGAATTATGGCATGAAATACAGAACTGATCCGTTGTGACGATTTGTATCGATTTCGCAATGCACAAGTCAAAGGTCTTTTACAAAATCAGAGGCTTTTATTTAGGGTTAGGGTTAGCCGCTATCTCTGAAAACATTGACCAATCACGGTCAAAAGTCTTCCTAAAATGTCGATAAATACTTGAAAATGGAACCCTAAAATGTTCGACTTTTGTACAACCTTGTTCTTGAAATGTCGATTTTGAAGATGAATACGTATTTCAATACTATGAAAACTTGATTTATCGAGTTTTTTGTTGAGCTTTTCGTTTTCAGTTTTTGATTTTCGAAGCTGGAATGAGGAGACAATAGCAGTGCTATTAAGTTCGTGCTAGTTTAGTGCGGCGTATTCTTTCACTGCGGAAACTGGAGCTACTCATTGAGTCGGTACTTCAAGGGCGATTTCTTTTTTGTCCAAAGAGCTGTATGCGCCCGGGCTGGCATTGTTGTCCTGACGAAGAATAGTTTCCCCAAGCTGGTGGAAGGAGCGAAGTTCTTTTCTTCGCCGCTCCAACGAATGCAAACACTTGAGTGAAACAACCACCCCACAAACACACACACACAGGATTGATAACCGGCCAGGCCAAGCTCTGCTTCTCTTTTTCTTCATCTCTTATCAGTTTGCTCTTTTTTCCACGAACGGAACTGATACTGCTCTTCAAGAACTCAAGGATCACGATTTTCATGCTGACTTTTTTTCTCAAAGTCAATCTTCCTTATTTTTTCAAGAGAACTTTATCATTACAGTAATAGCCGTAAGGCCGAAACGGTTATTTGTTAAAGATTTTTCATAAGCCTAGAACTTCATTTTTGACGACTCAATGAACAACCACCGCCTGGACTCGGCAACCTGAGTAGAAAACCTGAGTCAGGGTCTGAAAGAGCAAAGATGAAAAGCCGCGTAGCGGCTTTTTTAGAAACGAAGCCGCAAAGCGGCTTCGCCAGAATTTAAATATAAGATGGAATAATAATCTTGCGAAGCCGCTTTGCGGCTTCGTTTCAAAAAAAGCCGCTAAGCGGCTTTTCATTTTTGCTCTTCAGACCCTGACTCAGGTTTTCTACTCAGGTTGCCGAGCCCAGACCACCGCTCCCCTCAAAGAAGAATCAGTAACGTACTGATCTGTTGCCTCTTCACTGTTGTCTAAACAAGCTCATCAGTGGAAAACTGAAGTTGTTGCTTGGAGGTGTCAAGGCGACGGCGTGCGAGTTGGTGCCCGCGGCGCGTTTTGTTGTGGCGACGGCGACGCCCGAGCGCCCCCCACGAGCAATTATAAATTTGCGAATTTCCCTTCCGCCAGGCACCATTAAATTCGAACATGAGATAGCGAAAAGATCCAAAAACGGGACCAGCTTGTTCTTCCCGGAGCAAAAAAATGAACAGCCAACCTGCTAAAAGATAAATGAAGTCGCCTTCCAACGCGAATAGCTACTGAGTACAGTTACTGTAACAGCTCGTTCTTGGTACAGTAGCGTGCTCAGTAGCTGTTTACTGTCAACAGTAATGCCAGCACAAGCATTTACTTAACAAGGTAAGCCCTAAAACATGACTGAAATCAAGGAAGAGTACCTCTATCCAAACCCTAATCCTAACCAACAAAAAAGCATAAATCTAACCAGATTCTAGAGTCGCCGCTAGAAGAGATAACAAGCAAAGCGTTGGAATCGCGAACTTCCAGAAAAAAAAAACTATATTTTTATACGAAATCTTCTATTTTTATACAACTTCAAACCTTTTTATACCCAGAGCCTATTTTTATACAAGTAAAGTCCACGAACTCTACTGTAGCTCCTCACGATTGAGTCGAGCTACAGTTTTAGTGGCAACAAGTCGAAAACAAGTTCAAACAAAAAAACAAAACTATTTTTATACGAAGTCTATTTTTCTAAAAAAACTAAAAAAGCAAAAAAACGCCGTTTCCCGCCACTGTTCATATTTCAACTTCCCTCTTCGAAAAACGCTAGAAATCGTGAAAATGATAATTTTTCTCTTAGAATTCAAATTTTGTAAAAATCATCTCTTCAATAAGAGCCTGTTTTCTTTTGAGAATTATCTTTTCGCGGCTATTTATTCTGTAAATATCAAAAAATAGCCTCGATCATCCATTTTCGACGACTTTGAGGATCTATCCGATCAAACTCATTTATCGTCGGGTAGATCCTTATTTCTGCCGTTTTCTGAAGGGGATCCATTCACAACTTCCATTCCAAAGATCGACCGAATCGTCGGAGTTTCGATTAACCCACCGCCGCAAAACTTCATTTTTGATTCCTCACTTTCCAATTCATCATATTATCTCGTCTCATCTCCCTCCAAAAACATAAAAAATGATCCATCCGATTATTCAATTTTTCGTAAATCGTAAAATTATTATTTCATTTCATCATTTTTTCTGAAATCACTTTTCTTTGATCAAAACTAACAATTCATCATTTCTTTGAAATTCATTCTTTACTAACAATTCCAAAAACTGTTCAAAAAAAATCTTCCTTTTGAAAATTTTCCAATTCGAAAAATAAAAAAGTTGAACTCAACAATTAAATTCGATTCTTTCATTTTTCATTTGCATCGTGGGAAAAGGATTCGGGCACACACACACACACTTGGCATACCGAGAGACACTCTTGCCCCGCCGTTTTTCAAAAGCATTTTAATGCCTCGGGCACAGTGCACTCCAAGGCACGTAAGAGGCTCTTTAGGCGCGTGCCCGAGACTTAAAATATGTTTGATCTGCGGTTCGCGGATTATGGAATGTTTGAAGCTACTGCTGGCATAAGCGATTTTACTTGAGCATCCTGAATAGCTTTCTTTGTGAAGACTCTTCCACAAAGAGCTATCCTGAGCTCGGGAACCTGTGTCGAAAACCTGAGTCAGGGTACTAAAAGTTTCAAAGTAAAAGCCGCATCGCGGCTTTTTAAAAACTAAGCCGCATTTAGCGGCTTCGCACTTTATTTACTTTAGCACTTTCAGGACCCTGACTCAGGTTTTCTACACAGGTTGCCGAGCGCAGGGTTATTTACCAACAAAATTCATTGGAATATTTTGAATTTTATATTTTATTTCAAACTCGTCTAGTTCAAAATTTTTTATGAATTTAATCATTATTTGTGTTGTGTATTAGGTAAAAACATCATTAAAATAGGTGACTGCCTTAATCGTCGTTAAAACGTTGCATCGGCTGCCTTAATCGTCGTTAAAACGTTGCATCGGACTGCTTTAGTCGTCGCTAAAACGTTGCATGGGCTGCCTTAATCGTCGTCTGACTCATCTTGCCTTTTTCAATTTCAAGATAGCTTTTAGTTGTTGTTGACAAATCGGAGCGTGCGAGATGCAAGTTGTCTGTTAGCCCATAAATAGCGATCATTATCGTAAATGATTCCCGTCGTAAAGCAATTAATCATAATGAGTTAAGAAGCGTGGCGTGTTGGATTAAATGTATGATTCGGCGGGCGAGTGGTGGTGGAGTAAGATGACGTCATCCTTCGGGAGTCGATTGAATCGGTCGGGCGGCCATTGGGCGATCACTCGAGCCGCTCTACCAAAAGCCCCTTTTTTAAAAACGCGAAAAAACTCTTGATTTCACAAAAGCGAAAATTTACGAGCCCCAGGGGAGCCAGAGTATTTGTGCACCAACGACATCAACCCCTCAAGAGCCGCCAAGAAAACTCTGGAGAGAGATAGAGACCAAGAATAACGCAGAAAAAATAACGCGGAATAAACAACGAAGGAGAAAAGAAAACGCGAATTCAGCACGATCAAAATAGGATAAATGGCATGGCAAGCAAAGGCCACAGGAATCGGGTCCAGCAGTTTTTCTAGCGCTGATAAAAAGAGTATTTTATCGTTGAATTTTAACAGAAACACCCTTATTTTATTTATCTAACATTTGATTTTCGCCTTAATTTAGTTTTTCAAAAGCCCAAATTAAAAATTGAACTGTAAATAAAATTTCTTAAAGAAAAATTCCGGGTGTCACTCTGTTAAATTTGAGAGAAAAGCCGTAAAAATCTAATTTCATAAATGAACTTTTTCGAAATCGCTTTGTTCAACAGTTATTTCTATTTTCTTCTTTCCTCTCTTTTGTCCAGTTTAGCTCTTTTTGATTTATGAAAGAGTCAATATTCAATAAAAATTAGCGACTAAAATGGACTTCCATGTTTGAATTAAAATTTGGTGGACCCGTTACGTAGCCTGGCGGAGATACTGGAGGCGTTCAACTCTCCTTTGAAATTCGACCAAGCCTGGGCGTTGATTCATGTCTACCTCAGTCAAGTACAAGATGATCCCTTGTGGCCGATGTTCAACAATTTGTCGGAAGTGTCGGTCCACCCGGACGGGGCGATTTCGTCCTCTCACGATCTCAAGCGAACTTCCAGTGAGACGGACTTTCTCGAGGCCTTTGGCAGGCTCATTTACAACGCCCTCGACTACGGCTACGGCGAAGACGACGAGCCAGACCTGCCCGAGGATCTGGAGAGATTGATTACCTTCATGACCGGGACCGTTGACTCGGATCCGGAAGATGACGGATACTCGGAAAAAACGATGACGATCAAGGCGGTACTCAAGCACTGTAGAATCAGAGCCGGCTCAGGAAACGGGTGAAACTGCTCTATTTCATTTGCGAAAAGCCTGCGAGAAAAAGACAAGAAAGACACTGGAGATTTTGAAAGGTTCATTTTCGCGAGAAAAATCGCCCTTTCAAAATCTTTTCCAAAGTTAAAGCAAAGAGTTTATTGTAAAAATTGATTTTATTCAGGTGGTGGGCGAATGTCACGGTTCCTTTTTTAGGAATCGCCTCAGTGTCCCAATATCTTGAGATTGAGGTTTTTCTCATCATTTGGTGACGAAAACTTTTGATACCAAAGTCGGGAAGCCTAAAAGGATAAATTAGATTAATCGTCAACGAGGAAAGATAAATTTTAAACAAGAATCTTCCTTGATTTCGAAAATGTCAAGAACTTACTTTGATTTAGATGTGCGCCGGACCCGACAAGTTCGGGAACTGACGAGCTTTTGCAAAAAAGGCCTGACAACGACAACAATTCTAGAGATTCTAGCGCTTATTCTTCGGGAACGGCGACTTTTTTTTCAAAAACAGCTAAAAAAGAGCGAAGATTTTTTTTCAATAAACAATTCTAGAAAACATTCTAGAAGCTTCATTTTTTTTTCAAATTCACCTGTGACAAGGATTCTCGGAGCATTACACCAAAGTCGTGAAAGCATTTTATTTCGAAGCGCTCGAGCTGATGGAATTCCTTTCCAAAATTTCCACCGCCAATGAATCACTGAAGAGTTTAAACGCTGACCCGAGTGAGAGCGAGATTCAAGAGTTGGAAGCGATGGGCCGAAAGCATTGGTCGTCTGCATGGGGTGAGGTAGTTTGATAACAACGAGGAGTCGTTTTTTTAAGAAGTAGAAAATAAAAATTTCGTTTTTGGGGGAAAAAAGCATTTGATAAAATTTATACTTTAGCTTTATTAAATAAGGATGTCAATATAATAAGTCCGGGACAGGATGTTCTTTACCTGTATTGACGATTTGATCCTAGGTAATGCTGGATCTTCGACACGGTGTTCCGCTCAAACACATCCAGGAGAATCAAGCACCAGCTCCAGCTCGCTTCGAATTCACGCCGTATGAAATGCTCCTGTCCGACATTCGCAAAAAAACCTACAAACTCAAGCACGTCGAAGCGCAAGAGACTGAAAACACGGCAAAGACGACGCACGACGTCATTCTCGATTTCATCCGATCTCGTCCTCCACTGGCTCCTGCTTCCAAACGCCAGCTGACGCCGAAGCCCAAATCGACGAACACGCACGACAATCTAATGGAAGAAATTCGATCTGGCTCCGTGTTGAAATCTGTCCCAATGGATTTGAGGCCCAAGCCAGAAGAGTCTGCCATTGACAGCATCAAGGACATCATCCGATCTGAATCTGTTGGCCGAAAAAATGCAAAGAAAAGGTCATAAGATTGAGCCAAATCGACCTGGTTCAATCTGAATCGGACGAAGAAGACATGCTCTCGCTCGAATTCGAACAGCAAATCATCTCTTCAACATCGAGTTCTTCCCGCGAGTCGCCGAGCAAAGCCCATCCGACGAAGCCAGAACCAGAATATCGACAATCTCATCCGGAGATTCTCATGTCTCCTGCTTCTTTCATCGCCCGTACCGGGTTAAGCAGCGGTCTAAGTAGATCGAATTCAATGAGAGGCGCGGGGAATGCCTGGAACTTGAACAAACCGAGACCGCTGCAGGGATCGTCCACGAGCTGTTATTCCATTTCGACGAATGTCAGCCCGATGCGAAACGGACAGGTAAGCTGCGTAAGAATCTGAGTGATATTATTTACGGCGAAGTAAGCATGCCACCGTAATAATATTTTTCCTAAATAAGAGATTGTATCTCATCATTCTTCACTCGTGCTCTTTTACGGAATTTATTATTAGGACGAGATGTGGAATTTCACTCCCTTCAAGCGCTCAGCTACCCTCAATGGAATTGTAAAGGAATGGCTTCACAGAGAGACTTTTTTAGCTTCGAAGTTTGGAATCGTTGAGCACTCGGCTGTGGAAGCGGCGAGGTTGTTTCCAGTGCGCGCGATTCCGAAACCTCGCCTAATAGAAAAAAAGAGATCCGGAGCCTTTATTGATAGGGTCAGCGTTACTCCGATCACAAGACTCGCAACCGCCCGGCTGGGCTTACTCCAGTACGGGGCGAGCAGCACGAACTGTGGTCCCATCCGATGGAATGTCTGAAGCTCACAGTGCGCGAGCTGAGCCACATTTGCCAGGTCTTTTCCCGCGCCGAGATTGAAAAATACCACTCGCAGACGAATTTGTACAAGCAACTTACAAAGGTAAGACAGTACAGTACTTACGATAGAGGACGATTTCGATTCCCTAACGATGAAATTCAGGACCAAATTTGCCTCAACTGTAAAATCCAAAAGTTCTCGTGGGTTCTGTGGGCGCACACGTGCGAAATTTGCAAGTCAAAGGTCTGCAAAAAATGCGTGCGGAAGGTTGCCTCGCCGACGGATGATATTTTGGAAGCGGCGGCTTACACATTGTACCCTGTAGACACGCCCGAAAACGCATGGGACTCGACGAAACGATTAGAGAGGTATGCTTTTTCTTTCGCGGAATTTCAGTAGTTTCAAATTTGGCTTCTTCAGATGTCGAAAACTGAACGTTTGCGATTCGTGTGTGGATATGCTGTCGCACATTGTCGATAACGCTCGGCGCGCGTTGGAAGCTCGCAGCAAATTCAACTGACTTCGACTTCAGCTACCGATACCAGCTCCTCAGAAATACCGAAAAAACTCAGACGTACCTAAAGAAGCAACTTGGGAAACTGGCCAATAGCATCAATAAATATAAATTCGACCCTTGCCCTGTTCTTTTGCTGTACATATGGATGAAACTATCGAAATAGAATAAATTAATTCAAAATTTATTGTCTATTTAAATCAAGCGAAGAAACTTTATTTATTTAGCCGTAGTAGCAATAGCCACCGCATGTTATCCCTTCGTATCGAGATTCGTAAACGTCACCGCCATAGTAAGATCCGCCAACATCACCTCTTGAAATAATGAGGCCTAAGTAGCCATTGCTGCAGGATCGTTGATTTTCTCGCATGCAGTCTTTGACGCATTTGGGAACATCTGCCGCATAGTAGCACATATTTGTGCAGGTGTCACACTAAGAATATGTTTATATTTTCGCTTGACGCTTGAGTTCAACCTTATTTTCGAAGGCCACTAGATCCACATTTGTACTCGACATCCAACTGCAGTTTCCATATAAATAACCAGGATAATATCCACTGAGACAGGTTAAAATATATGAATTTTTATATCTAAGAATTAAACTACATATATGTCAAATTTAAAATAGTCTATTATTTTTAACTCGCTGGTGATGCTGCCCCCAGCCAGATATGTCACCAATGTAGCGCTTGTTTGTTGCCAGACAACTGTATAGCCTTCCAAATTGCTGTTCAAGTTTTGTTCGCATTTCTTGTGCGCAACGCGTCATGCTCCAGCTGTTTCGGTAACAGTTTTCTAGAGCTTCTTCCATCACATCTTCTTCATAGATTCTAGTGTCAGATCTATTGATTCTGGCTGGCCGCGATGATTGATCGAAAGAGCTGATTTTTGGATGTAAATAAAAGTAATTATTTTTTTAAATAATTGATTATCTTTTAGTTTGTATCCTAATCTTTCGGTTCCAATATTGAAACCCACGGAGCTTTCTTGCTGTGCAAGACAGTATGAGAAAAATGCAATCGACAATTTCATTTTTACTTTTTTTTGTTGTTAGTCGGCATTTATAAGAAGAGAATCATATGTTTTTTTCCCATAAGCAACGCTCTCATAAGAGGAATATTTCTGTAATACTGCATCTCTCGCACATGCTCTCATCCCAAGGCGTTCAACCGCCTCTTGCAAAAAGAAAAGTGATGATTCAGTAATGATGAGTTTAAAAATTGTGAATTTGTTTTATTCGAGAATAGTTGTCAGCACAAGAAAGCCGTAACGTCTTTTCAAACAAAGGGTCATTTCGTTCGGTTTTGTTAGTTTCTGAACTTGTCACTGCAGAATCCGTCATCCAGGGACATTTGAGCGTCAGAGTTGAAAATATCGTTACAAGCGACGGCGCACTCAGATCCTATAAAAAATAGTAAGACGGAGAAAAAGAGGCTTGAATGTACCTTCGGCCATGGCTTCGCTCCATTTGCCGCTGTGTTTCCAGTTGAGGCATCGGACGGCGTCCCATCCGTAGTCCCTGTATCGGAGGCATCGGTTGTAGTCCGACTGCTTCTTCACATCGGGCTGGGAGTCGTCAACGGAGCTGCCTTCGCCGCATGGGGTCCATGGGGTCTTTCGTGGTCCACGTGGGCCTTTCCCGAGTTTTTTCCTTGTTGATATCAAAGTTAAAAAGAATGTCTTGAATTTGAAATTTTGAAATTTCTTCTTTCATTTCACTAAAGCTCTCTAAAATGTAAAACTCGTGTTCCTTCAGAAACATCATCGCCAAACATGGCTCCGGATCTAGCTTGGATTCCGCCAACTTGGACTCCACCGACGGCGTCTTTGGGCTCGTCCTTGCCGAGCTGCTTGGCGAGCTTGTTCTGCTCGGCGATCTGGGCGAGGACTGCATTCGCAGCCTCTCGTTGCGCGTTCTCGAGCCTGTTGTTCTCCTTGCGCTGGGCTCTGCCGGCTTCGGCGGCGAGGAAGAGTGTGACAACGGAAAGCTTCATTTTATTAATTTCTTCTGAAAGTCTTTTCTCAAGTTTTCAAAAAAATAAAAATAAAAGTGTACTAGCCATTCTCCGCCGAAGCCAGGCTTTTATAAGAAGCAGCGGCTGATTCGATTAGCCACGCTGGAAATAGCACAAGCAGAAAAAAATCGTGAGATACAAACCCGATTTTAGAGCTAAAAGTGCACCGTAAAGGCCAAACGCAACGAAATCAACGTGAACCTTGTTAGGTCCTAAATACTGGCTAGCCGAATACAAGAGTTTCCACGGCTTATTCTCGTAAAGTTAAAGTGCTGACACCCTTATTTTTCAATAAAACAAATGAATACAAGCATGAACTTAAATCAGCAAAGGCGTTTTAGATCCTAATTCCGGGCTGACTAGGGAGAGAAGGCACTTCTTTCCGCCGGTGGAAAGAGAAAACACACGCAGATGAGAATGAATGTACATCTGGCTCAGGACCCGGAATGAAGACTTTCCACGACAAGCTGTGAAGAAGGAAATCGTTTGGAATTTAGTTAAATTTAGAGACTCAGGACTTTTAGGCTGAATTCCGAATCGGAACTCAGGTTCAGGAAAGGTTTTCATCCAGGATGAAGACTCTCGATTATTGAATTCAGTTCCATGTCTAGCAATCGTATTTACGTTCATGCTCCTTACAGTTGCCGAGAGCAGCCACTCGAGCGGCTGTTAACCTTTTTATGTCCCAACTCCTCGCGCGTCTAAATAACCTGTTCAAATGGGATTTTGATCTAAGCCGACGATTATAAATTTGGACGGGCAATCATGGCACCCCTTCGTTTGCCAAAATAATAATACAAACACCTCCCTTATTTTTCCCCACTTTCTCGACTCATTTTATTAAGGGTGTCACTTCGTTAACCCCAGAAGAAAGCTCCCTTGAAAATTTCTTTTAAGATACTTACCCCCTTAATGTTGTTTTTAAAGAAAGAATGCGCGATGATAGAGAAATGACTGTAGCTCTAGTTTAAACTCTGTTTATCGTGTACTCGAACTCAATCAACAGGATATGCTTGGCCTCGGAAATTTGTAGATATCTCGAGTGGCCAGTTTGAGAAAGGAAAGAAAGAATTTCCGCAAGGATCTGCGATAGCCAACTTCAGGTGACAGACTCTGACGGATTTAGCGCCGGATTCCACGCCGGTGAAGAACGACCTCTGCCATGACGCAATTCGCCATTCCAGCAAAATTTTACCGGACAATTTTCCAACTAAGAGTTTTCCAAAAATCTACTGTAGATCTAGTGTAACAATGGCGTCATAGAATTAAGAATATTTAAATTTCAACCAATCAAATTGCTGGATGAAATCATTCGTTTTCTAAAGACGATTCTGTAGATTTGAAGCAATAAAACTTTCAAATAAAATTGGTGGCCCGGAGCAGCGATAACTCCCCATTTACGATCAACGTAAAGATGATTTTTGTTGATCGTATTCAATAAGAAATAAACTGAATTGCTACAACCACGTAAGAACTTTACTTTTCAAAGATAGAGAAAATTCTAAAAAGTTTTAGTAAAATGCAACAGAAGGTGGTTTTAGAAGTAGCTGCCGCGTCTGCGCTGTTACAATGGCTACAGAAAAAATATGAAAGTAAATGGATAATTGAAACTGAAATTTAACTAATTCGTAATATGTCCTTTAAAACTTCTGCTTCTATCAGACAAAGAAAATGAATCATTTTAGATGTAAGTTGTGTCTTCATAAATTGTTCTTTAACCAAGATAACAATTTTTAATATATATCTTGAAAAAGTAAAAACTTATTGCTGTATCCAATAAATATCAGCTGACGAAGAGTCATCGCTTTTTATTTTTTGCTCACTCAGCTGCTGAGAAAGCTTCTTGATACCGGGCGTGCCACATTGCTGTCCTCCTTGTCACGATTTCGTTCACTCGGCTGCCTGGAACACTCGCCTGAGGCTATTTACCCGCAAAAATTGTTGATGTGCCTGGGAAGGCAGGTGTGACCAAATCTTTACACGCGGCTTAGGCGCGTTTTCCAAGCCAGGCGATCTTTAGTTACAGTCGACGGATTAAAAAGGTGAAATCCAATACGTAAATTGACATAAAGCTTATTTCTCAAAACTGGACCCAAACAGATCCATTCTCAAGAGTATTTCTTCTTTTCAAAGTCCAAAATAACGGCTCTTAGCGGAAATTTAGGCCTTTCTGTCGTAACCAAACATGATACCAAAAATGTAACGATCTTGACGAACCTCGAAATTGTCACGATACGGCTTTCGTCTCGTGACATTTTCAGGAAAATTACACTTTTCTTGACTTTCGTGAAATTCGTGACAATCGTGATTTTCGTGAGATTTTCACGAAAATTGCGACATTCGTGACTTTCCTGAGATTCGTGACAATCGTGATTTTCGTGACATTTTCTGAAGCGCCCGAAATGGGGATTGAACTTGTCGGGTGTGTTTTTGAGAATTGGAGTAGGATTCGGAATTGTTGATAATTTCGCTCTTTTCTTATTTGGCGATTGGCTTCAAAGCGAAAGGGGAACTCGAGTGCAGCCCTAAGTGGTCTTTTCAGTCAGCGACAGATGTGGGACCGCTCTGTGATTTAGTTAGATTATTTGAACAGTTTACCTGTTTCAAATCACAAAAACTCGACACTCGAGTTTCCCCGCACAAAGAAGCACTACAGTAATGCAACTCTCAGTTCACAGTACAGTCGCTAAACGACTGTATTTTGGCCCCGCGAGAAGCCGTTAACTGCTGCGAGTCCTTCCTTATTGACTCTATTGAAAGTGAAATGCGCGTTGCCACTCAGTTTGATTGACTGTTTCTGATGTCTATCGGCCGTTCTACTGCCTGTAATATCGCACTCCTGTCGCGATAAGCTCTTTCCGCCGAGTAAAGGTGTGCCCAAGCACTATCAGCTACAGTATCTCGCCCGGGCACACTTTGCCCGCGATACTGTCGCCCAACAAAGCTCATGACAAGTTTACAATGCGTTGATTCCACCAAGCCACCTGGCAGGGGAGAACTTTTACAACATAAAAACAAAAATGTGCCCTTTTCAAACAAATAACCAGTCCAAACTTTCTCATAGTTTCACTTCCATTATGGAACTTTTCCGAACTTACTCGCATACCGCAGATCTGGGCATCTCGGCAATATGTGTAGAAATCCTGTGAAAAAATGAAAAACGCTATTGAAGTTGATTTAATTTATTTAGATTTCTTCAAAATAATATTATGGCAGGGTCAAACATGAAGTAGAAACCGCCAAATACCAGCTTTTGACTAGCAAGGAATAAGCTCACGCTTTTGGAACTTTCCGAATAAAAGTCAGGGCCCGAGCATTACTTCATATTCTTGTTTCCATTTTAGCAATCTGTATACTTTCTTCTTTGTATTCACATCAATTTCACCGTCGATAATTTCTTTACCACAGAGGTTATGTACTAGGTAGAATTCATTTTATTTTTCGAATAGAATGGACCGGAGTAGAAAAAGCTTCATTTATAGTGAGTCTGATCGTAAATGGAAATGTTCGCTGCTACGGGCCACCAATTTTATTTGAAATTTTTGTTGCTCCAATAAAATATTCTGAAACTCAAAAGGATCTATTGACTATAGCCTGAAGGGACGATTGGGTCTGGCCGTTTTTTTCAGTGACGAACATCGCATTACATGATATCTCTACATGTAGAATCGAAGAGAGGGGTTATCATTCGGGCCTATGATTCGAGCCATCTAATATCTCTAGAATCTAAGCTAATGGTTAGGGTTAGGGACTGGGGACTCTTAAGGGGGGCCCCCTGGTTTAGGCCTTAGGTGGGGGTCCCGGGGGTTAGGTTTAGGCTTAGGGGCAGCCCGAGTGATAACCCCCTACTACCGGTAGAATTTCTAGAGGCCGATAAGCCTAAAGCTGTGTGTTCCTTCTTTTCTCGTTATTAGTTAGGATTTGCAGTCTCTCTTAGTTGCGCGATAAAGGCAGTTTCCACTGGGCGCTAGCTCGATTATCCGCTATCAGCATTGGCATTGGGATTAGAATGGGCAGAGTTCCCACTTTTGCGAGTACCCAAAAAAGTCGTTAAGTGTTTGGCGACGGATTCTGGACTAGCGGCGATTAGGACACCGATACTTCAGTTCCCAGTTTGGGCGGAATAAACCAAATCGCTATCACGAGAATTATTTGGTGTAATGAGATGTTTGTCACTGAAAACGCGGCCAGACCCACTTCCGGCAAAGTTACTCTTCTATGATTGCTTACGGAATCCTTCCTGAAAGATCCTCGTCGATTTCAAAATATTTTATGGAAGCCGTTAAAATCTCTCATAAGATTGGTAGCCCGTAGCAGCGATAACTTTCCTTTTACGATGAGACGTCTTAAAAATGAATTTTCTCCATTCCGACAAACATTTCCAAAATTATGTACGATAGTTTTACCATCACTCGTCGGAATTGAAAAACGAAATTGCAAAGAGAAAGAAAAAAAATAATCCCTGAAATGAAGCAAATTTCTAAATTGAAGTGGTTGAATTTTATGATGAAAAAAAATGAGAAACAAAAAGAACAAAATGAACCAAAAAAGAATGTTTTGTATGTGTGTGTAATTCATAAAAATCTATATTTCTGAAATAAAACCAATTTTTCTGCATCTCTTCTTATCTGCCAACTGACTTTTAATAAACTTCCTTCATTCATTTACATCTTAGCAATGATTCATAAATCAGCTTCTTCAACGAATCTCGCATGTACTTTGCATTTTGGTGATTATTGGCAAATGATTTGTAACAAGGAAATAGCATTGGTGTTGTGTTTTCTTTGAGAGTGTCAAAGGATACTCCACGGCGTTGAATAAGTTTGAGTAGTTTCGGAGGAAAATCGTCTGAATCCACTTTCGCGGCGCCTCCGGGGCGTTCCTTTGATCCCTCTAATGAAACAAGAGAGCGCGGCGTAAGTGGGCACGCAGCCTCAGGCCCAGCCAGATCCTGCCCGAGGGTACTTTTCGTAAGCTCC